CCCTGTTATTTTAACAGCTGTCATTTCGGCATCTGTCATTTAGGTACCTGTTATTTTCAGCACCGTCGTCATTTCGACACCTGTCATTTTTTCGGTATAACGAAAGGTATAAAAGTAAAGTCAAATTTGAAAAAAAAACATTTTTAAGCACTCGTAAATTCTAGCCAATGTTTTGCTAGATATAACACGAACTACACATTCGGTTAGTTTTGTTCCTTTAACCTATACAAAGTGTTCAGAAATTAAGGTAAGATTTATAAAAAGGATGGTATTTTGATTAAAAATATTAATTTAGTTAGTGGCATAATATATTATAATATTAATATTAATGCATAAACTATACACAACTGTGCATTGGTACTTAAAAAAATACTTTTATCTATTTTGCGTTCATAATGACTTCATTATAACACCGCTTTCTGTGCTGTACTGAGACATGATACAACAAACCTTTGTTTGTTGTATCATGGTACTGAGATACTTTATCCCACCCAAAATTTTGATTTTATAGGTTGCCTATACTTTAAACAGCATAATATTTTGCATATTGGTTATAATATTTTTATGATTTTTCTAGTACTTACGAGACTTTTCTGGCAATAAATTTTGTTTAACACAAAAGAAAATCCTTTTTTCTTCTTTAACATTAACAGCCGCTTATTGTAAATACATAAGTAAATTAAGGACGGCATGGCGAATCGATTTTGACGTTAACTGTCAAACCAATGACTGTGATTCCAATTGTCTAAAGTAAAATTTGACCAAATTAAATGTAAGGTATAAAATTAATTTTTTTATAGATTTTTTGCAATATAGATAAAATAAAGAACTCATGTCATAAGGCCTTTTGTCGCACTCGTCGATATAAATTGTCCGCGTGCGACAAAATGACGTCTTATGACATTAGTTCTTTAATATACTATTAAATGGTTCATTCAATAATATTTTGACTCTAATTAGATTAATAAGCTTTATACATTTTGTATAATTTTCGACCTTAATTTGTGAACACTTAGTATAAGCTAGAGTAAAAAAATTAGGCAAATACCTAAAGAAATGCCAAAATGATTTAGCAAAATCTTTGCTAGAATTTAGAGTGCTTAAGAAAATTGATTTTGTCCAAATTTGACATTACTTTTTGACCATCCTGTATAAAATTATATTACGAAATTTTTATTTTAGGGGTTTTTGGATATGCTTAATTCAGAAACGCGGTTTTATATTTAAAAATTTCTAACAACTTTTATGTACGTTTCTGGAGACCTTCCATTAAGCATATATCGATGACTTTCTGCCAAAGTATCGTAAGCAACATAACTCAAATTTCAGAAATTGAAAACATTTTTTATTTTAAAATCTGTTTTAACGCATATATAACCTATAGGTTTTATAACAAGTAAATAGCTATAATTATAAGCTATTTACTTGTTATAAATCCTTTAGGCTATATTTAATTTGAAACAGTCTTTAAGACAAAAAATGTTTTCGATTCCCAAAATTTTAGTTATGTTGCTTACGATACTTTGGCAGAAAGTCATCGATATGAACAATGGATATGACATGTATTTTCTTCAAAATAAAACACACTGTATATACTTTTATAAACATGCAAAATAGAGTATGTAATTGTGTCAGTTTGTCTAAATAAATATGATGAATATTAATTTGCAAAAGTGAGATAGAATTTACGCACTCTATTTGTTTTCGTTCTTAAAAGCGTGTAATAAAAACTGTAGGAAAGTTTGTCATAAAAAGAATTTATATAAATTTTAAAATAGGTTTTTATTATTATCAAGATAACTTTCCTATTGTATAAAAATATTTTGTTATTGTAGTTCAAATTTTAAAATAAATAAAGGTTTTTATGTCCAAGTCAAAGTAAATTTAATGTTAGTTTTTCCAGGTTTATAATCCATTTTGTTATGTTTAAAATTTAAAATCGGGAATATATAGTATGTACTTTACCTCAATTTTCAAACAATTTAATTGATTTAGGGAATTAAATTAAATATCCTTAAAACAGATGTTGGAAATACACTTAAAAGTTACATTTTATATATCAATCTTGACTAATATATAAAATTTAACGAACAGGATTTTTTGTTTATTTTTTTTAATCTTACCTTTAAAACAGCCATTATCGTGTTTCTATCACACTAAGTGACCTTTTAAATACAAATTGACAAGTTGTGGCTTTATGGTGTTTTAGTCACGGGCTGAAGTTAGCAACAGGTTTTTAGTCACATGCCGAGTAAGTTAAGTTAGTTAACATCGTGAAGTGCTCATAAAACATTTTCTTTACTTTCACTGTAAAAAATTAATTCATTTTCAAGGGATACATTTCGATTTATAAAAACACATAAAAATTTGACTGTAACACAGATTTCCCTGTTGTTTTATAGATTTGGCTCTATACAAATATTTAATTTACATTATTTTGAGATAATGATAAGTGTGGTCGTAGAAAAAGTATAATTTTCTAGGCCCTTATTAATTTAAGCCCTGGCTCATGCCTAAATTAAATTCAAGTCTAAAACTTAATACATAATATACTATTTTTTCACTTTTTTATTATAGGGTTGTATGTACAAAGAACAAATAATACAAAATATAATTTTTAATTTTATATCCTTGTGCTTCTAAAAAGATATTTTTTATTAAAATAATAATTTTGTTAAAAAAAAATATTTTTAGAAAAAATCGATACGGCCTTTGTGGTCAAAATATTTTAAAGGAAGCTCCTACTTTCTTTAAAAATTGTGGTTTATTTGAAGTCGGTACCTTAATCAGGTCAAGAAATATGATGTTTAGAAATCCTGCAAAACAGTAAATTCCTAAATTTGCCCCACCTTAAAACACACATTTAAGGGGAAAGAAGAAAAAATTGGGCTGATTTAGGTGTATACGCTTTAGTCTAAAAATAATTTAAAAAAATTAAATTCCAAGACCCTATATGGTATGCCCTGCAATCATTTGCCCTTATTTTATGGATTGACACATAGAAGAAAGAATTTGTCGAATTTAAAAAATGGAGAAGATTAAAGGGTACAAAAGCAATGCTGCTGGCATATTTTTAAAATATGGAGAAACCAAAAGTACTTCTTCAACCCACAAATTCAAGAATAATGTAAATTTAAGTCTAAATATATAAATAGTGAATTCTGACGTATTTTATTACCATAAGTGGAAGAGTGATTTTAAATTAAACTTTGTCATTTTAAAATGTATATGTATGTACATATTTGAAGTCGTTTATTATTATTAATATTATTATTATTATCAGTATAATTGTAATATTGTAAAGTATATAAAATAATATTTTACATCTAGTAATTACAAATGAAATTAAACTGGATATAATGTTCATACGACGACGGTACTGTTTTCATTGTCATATTCTGCCGTGCTTAATGAAAACGCCGTAACCAACAATTTTGAAATTTTTGTTTTACGGCATTTTCTACTAGAACAATTCATCCTGCGTCTATCCCCGGTACTCAAAAAACCGTATCTATATATATACGGTTTTTTTGAGTACCGGGGATAGACGCAGGATGAATTGTTCTAGTAGAAAATGCCGTAAAACAAAAATCTCAAAATTGTTGGTTACGGCGTTTTCATTAAGCACGGCAGTATTATATCACACAGTTTAGTTGTTTTAGTAAAAAATCTGTAGAATGCGATGTTGTAAATTAATTTCGACATTTATCACTTCTATCCACAACTTTTTCAAATTGATTCATTTAAACTTTTTTAATTTTAGCGAAAAAAATGAAACACTAAACTGCAAAAATATTTTATATTTTCGCGCATAAAATACTTTTAATATTTTATTTTTTTATAAAAAACGCTAAACGTCTGTCTGACAAAAAAACGCGAATTATTTGTATAATAAGTAACTACGAATTTTGACAAGAGATGTGAATTTTAATGCCTTTTTGTCAATTTTTATTTAATTGTATTAAAATTTTAAAGTTTCGCAATAAAAGTTATGCAATAGAAGTACAAAAACCATAGTATTACAGTCATATACGGGTGAATATATTGAGATGTCCCCCAAATGAAAATGATTATTTTTTATTTTTGGTTGTTTCACTGTTAGTCTAGAATGGGGTTTTTGGGAAGCCACCAGGTCTAGTAATAACATAACATAAGTGGTTCTGCACTAATGCCAGAATTTTAAGAAATCATACATTTTGAATATTAGAGCTTCACGGAAGATAGCTTCACGGAGGTTAGGATTTCGTATGTTTTTTTTTAAACATTCCTTTGTATATTTGAAATAAGATATTGTATCTTTTGACACCATTTTTAAAAATACAATTGTACATATATAAAATATTTATAAAAAAATTTACTTACTGAGACATTACACTTCAAGGTGAATAGGTTTTTAAATAGCAAATTAATGAACTTAAACTTTTGAATTATAAAACAGCAACACTCTCATCTGCATATAAAATTTAACTGACCTTCAGGAATCACATGCATCCATAATGTTGTAAACAGAGGTTTTTGCTTATTTAAAATGATTAAAGCGCCATTCGTTGCATAAAATATAAAGCAAAAACAGATTCACGGAGGATAGAATAAATTTTTGTAACACCTACATAAATGGTTATAAAAATTATTTCTTTTAATTTTTAATAATATTTTATATTTGATTCGATTGCTTTGGATGTGTTTAATTTACTTAGTGAACTGATATTTTTAGTATGTTTTTACTACCTCAGATATTTGAAAACATATAGGTTAACCTAGAAAGAGTAACCATCACGGAGGATAGGTTTTAGACTTTTAAAACATTGTAAAAAATAATTGCTGCGTGTGTGCGTCTCCCTCCCTTTCTTCGGCACGCCACTGCTCTACCACCGCAAATAGTCCGTCGCGTACGCTATATTTCCGTCAAAGGGAATTGAAGCGTATCCCGAGATAATATTAAATATTAAAATGGAGTCATTACACGGGTCCGCGACATCGAAGGAAAACGAAATGTGCAACGCTTTGCGCTAGCTGATTTCGTCGTCTATTGTAGTGGTAGCACTGTATGCCGCACCGACATTTTAATAGTCTCCGAGACATTGCCCAACATTTGGCAGGACAGTGCACTGTGAACTATGAGAATGCACCATATGACATCCTGCTGACGACGTGTGCCTGAAAAATTATTTTTCTGTGATAAAATGATGAACTCGTGGGTATTAATTTTTTTAATCGTGATTGTGGATCATGTTCATTCAGAGGAGGCTGGCGATAATAAGGATATTGTTAAGGATAAGAAGGATAATTCCTGTTGTGATGTTTCAAGACGTTTAACAACCTGGCAAGGGTCCTGGGAGATGTTTCCTACAGTTGGTACCTGGTCCATACAAACGAAACTCCCCATGACAACAGGTAATTTTTTTTATCAATAAAATAAAAATGTAATAAATTGTTGTTATACTATTAAATAAACAATGCAGTGTCTTTGTATAGAAACTATAGGCGATTTTAGATAACATATGAGGAGTGATTTTTCAAAAGGCCTTATTTCCATTTTTACTTGAATGTACTTTTTTGACAAAACCAAAGGTATGGTTAAAAGGCATATATTAACGGCGAAATATGACAGCAGGTCTGAAGTATTATTAAATATTCATCAGAATTTTTTTTTAAATAATCTATATTGCCCTAACCTATACAGGTTATAGTCATTTTTTTGAAAAATTGTTGCAAATGGAAATACGACCTTTTGAAAAATATCCTTTAAGGATCTTAAGATATTTTAGTAATTTAAATTTTCTTAATATATCCTTTTAAGATTAATATTTAAATAACTTTAGATAAACCAATCAATGAATTTCTGGGCTACGTTAATACAATGTTTGATATAAATTGATCCACAAAAAAGCAAAGTTAATGTTTAGATTTATTCTAATTTTAAGAATATATTGTAAACAAATTTATATGGTCTACTACAATAAGATTTTTTTATTTTTACTTTAAAAACTTTTGTCAAAACTTGTTAATTTATTAAACAAAAAACAAAATTGTAGTTTGAACCAATGATTTTGAGTCAAATATTTATAAATATAAAGGAGCATCTCATTGAAAAACACATTATTATTTCTAAATTATTTAAAAATTAACTTTTTTCTTCAAGGCATAATTTTATTTATTAAACAATACATAAAACTTACAATTATAAAAATAATTACTCTGGTCAACAAAAATTTTGTTCTTAAACTTTTCCAGGGTAACTAATGTCAAAAATGACCATCATTTAAAAATATTGCAAAAACAACGTTATTTTTGGTCTAAATTATATTTTCAGCCTAGGCAAAAATCAATCACTTTAGTAGTAAGAAATGACAGCAATAAATTATAGAACCCCTAACACTAGTATTGAAATATTGCATTTTTATTAAGTAAACCTTCTTAAAAATTAAATTTTTAAATGAACAATTTTAGGCGACTTCTAAAATATTGTTCATGTAAATTTGCCGTTCCAAAACATGCTTTTATGTTTACTACGACTACATTACATAGTTCATGATTTCTTTACTGATATCCACCGTATCAACAGTTACTATACACTATTTATTATATGCCTTACATGTACATAATAATAATAATAATATTTTGTATCCACTGTCATTTAAAATATATACAAAACTTTACGGTTTTTTGTTGAAGTAATTATTTTTAAAATTATAAAAAAGATAATTAAGTTTAACATTTTCTGAAAATTATAATTCTTTAGTTCTCTGAAAGTTTTCTAAGAAAATAACAGTTCTTTAAACAAATTTTATCGTTTTAACGACAAGTTTAGCAGATGTTACAACCTAAACACCTTCATAATTAAAAGTAAAACAGGCTATAAACATAGTATAAACCTGAATTATTATAATGTAATAAAAGATTTTGAGGTTAGGTTAGTGGTTTTTAGGACAAAATAAAAGCTTATCTTAAATTCACCGAGGTTTCGAAAGCATTTACTGATTTTTGTCTCAGGGCTTATTTATTGCTTTTGCATGAATTCGCTAAAAAAATTAATCTGTCATTTTTTACTTTTGTCACCTATCATTTTTAACCAGTTTTTAGTCACATGGAAGTTACAGAATTTTTTTTTCAGCTCCTAGGCCGAAATCCTACTGTCTAAAAATAAATTAGTCAAAAATGACTAATTTAATAGTTACTATTAGTGGCTGCTTTTTCACTTGTATCATGGTTAACCATGGGATACAATGGTATCCCAAAATTTAACAGCCAATTCTTATGTAAAATTGTCCCCTGAATCCGAAAATGTCGTCAAAAGTTAAAAAAGTAGAAGTTTTTGAGATATAGTCAATTTTCCATTTAATATGGAATTAACTTTATCTCAAAAACTATTCCACTTTCATAATTACCCATATTACAATAAATAATTTCTAAAAAATTTTGATTTGTTGTTAACCTAGTATAAAAATACTCAACACAAAATTTTAAAAAAATCTGATTTTTTTTCTCTATCGTGTTTGATTCGACGTATGCTAAATATTTAAGTTTGGGAATCAATCCCCAATTTACTGGATTTTAGTAACTATTCCCAGCTCCTTATATATAAATGTTAATTTAACACTTCGATTAAACAATATTAATTAATAATAATTAATTCAGTTAAACATTATTTACAATAAATCTAAAAACATGTATAAACAACCTGCAGCTAATAAAACACCAACAAACACAATGGCGGTCATTAAAGTCTTTATTAGTTTGTATCGTTTTGCAATTTAATTATGGAAAAACAAATAAGTTTCTAGCCTGAGCAGTAAAGAAACTAACAGTAGAGTGCGAGTCTCTTTAAAAAATCAGGTTACAGTTATACGTTTCTTCTATGGATAATATGACATTAGGTTGAATTCTTCCGATAATGACATAGATCTACATACCAAAGAGTTGTGACTGACTATATGATATTTTAGTGTGTTATATTAATAATGCTTTATATGCAAATCAAAGCTTTTTGTTATGCTAGATTGTATTATAATAATAATAACAATTTTTGTTTGTTTAGTCCAAAATGTAATGGCAATTTTAAGTATATTTTGTTGTAAAAAAAATTACAACTTTAATTTGTTAAAACAAAAATCGCTTCATTGATTTTGGGTCAAATTTTAATAATGTAGATATCTAAAACAAATACACTTTTTAATTCAATAAGTAATCTCTAAAAAGTATAAATTTTTGGTTTAACGCCTAAACGATTTAACCATAGGTTCTTATATTAATTGGTGTAATATTTACGGTAAATTTCACTACACAGTTAGATGATCTGACTAATTAGTCCAAAAAAATTAAACTATGACAAAGTTTTTTTCTTCTGTAAAAAAATATTTAGTAATGCAACAAATTTTTGGATTAAATTTAGAATTATATTGAAAATACTTTTTTTTATTTTTTTAGACGTGGAAGAAGAAATTGACCTTGGCAGGCAAGAAAGGGGAAAGTACAAGGTGAAGAAAAAATTTAAAAAAATCCTTTTGCCTCTTCTATTGGCCTACAAGTTGAAATTTTTCACTCTCATTCCTGTCCTGATTGGTGGATTGGTCCTGTTGACAGGAGCAACAGGATTGGCAGGATTTTTCTTCGCGCTATTTGCTGCCACAATGGGGTTAAAAAGCGGTCACTAGATATTACTTTGTATTCATTAAATTAAATTATTTTATAGTATTAATCTTGTAAATAGTTTTATGACCTATTAATTTATTTATTTAATGTAATTTTTGGAAATTGGATATCTTTACTTCAAGTAGATACAAAACTAGTTATAAAGTGAGCGCGTATAAATTTTAACGTCAAAAAGTTGTATTTTACCCTTAAAAAATAAAAGGGAGAGATTTTTACGTGCTTACTATTTATTTATGTTAATATAATTTTTAACAGAACTATTGTAGATATAGATGCAGCCATATGGATTTTTACACCATGTAAAAGTTAATAGGTAGCCTAAAAATATTGTTTATTTATTACGTTTTTGTTAAAAAATACATTGTTTTAAATAAATTGCTCAAATAATTCGTGAGGAAATAAATGTTAAACAAATTGATTTTTTATTGCTTTCAATAAATTGAAAGCATCCAACTAAGATATAAATAAATTTCAATCTTGAAAAGGAAACGAATAAATTTTGATATATATTTTTTTATGATATTCAGTGGAGTAAGACCTTTCAAATAAGATATCACTTGCCCTATCATCCCTATTAAAATTGCTAGTAGCAACTTGCTACTACTGTGCGAAAAAAATCACTGCATACTACCTAAAAACCCCTGTATATTAATGAATTGAAAATATAAAAAAGATAAATGGAGCTGGCAACAAAGCATTTATATAATTCATATCACTTAAAATCTATGGTCTGCGACAACGTTTAAAAATATCTTAAAAAATAATGGGAGTCATTTTGATATTTAATGGTTTAATTTAATATTCATAAGGAGAAGTTTAAATAAATAATTATAAAAAATATTTTGCATATTTTTCAAAAATTAAACCATGCAAAAAAGTATAGTAATTGGGAATTTTATATAGTAATTGAACACATGGACCATAGTTATTGGACATACAATTTTTATATAAACATAACAACTTTACATCAAATAACATAAATTGTTAAATATTTTTTAAAGATAAATTGCTGGTTTAGGTAATTTTTTTATTTCGTATTTGTAAATATCATATAATTCATATATTTCTTTCTCGGATTTTTCATCATTTTTCTGTATTCTGAAGGTAACCACTAATTCCTTGGTCTGACTTCTATAATAGTTTGTTGCAAATATCACCAAGGGTGGTCTCTAGTTTGTGAAGCATTTATAATGTTTAGGCCGGAACAGAATGATTTATATTTGTCTAATATTTTTTCGAGTGGTATGTTAAAAGTATTTTCCGAATTTATTAATTTTGTTGCCATTAGTTTTTTATGTTCTCTATCATGCATTTATTACTGTTATTCTGCAAGATGTCCTGTGACGAAGAAATCACTTACTTTCCAAAAATGAATTAGTCAAAAATGTTATAGCGAAAAAGCAGCCACTAATAATTCTCGTCAACAGCAATTTGTATCCAGGACATTTAGCATTCAATTCCTATGAAACATTATTTTCTGAATTCGAAAATGTCATCAAAAGTTATATAAATAGGACAGTTTTTGAAATATAATCAATTTAACGTATAATATGGAATTGACTATATCTCATAAACTGCTTAACTTTTATGGTTTTTGACGGTCTTTTCAGATTCAGGAGACAATTTTACATAAGAATTGCCTGGTAAATGACCGGGGATATAAATAGAGTATGGTATTGTCCAATAATAGAAATTTACATTTTTTATCAACCAGTAATTGGACACTGGCCATTTTACTGTTTGTTTTTAGAATTAAAATTAAAACGCATTAAAGTGACAATGTTTAAATCATGTGGAATACATTTATACCACACACTGATCTGTACACTTTTTATAAATATTTTTTTATTGTAATTTAAACACAGCCCTGCTCTTAAAAAGAACAAAAATCTTACCACCAAAGTAACGTGCGAACTTGTTTGTCCTATATTGGACCAAAAATAAAAGACAGCGTCATCTAATGATTTAAATAAATTTTTGATATCTTTTTTAGGTACAGACTTATAGACATGCTCGTTTTTAAATAGACACACTGTATATGTTTGAAGACCGATTGAATCCATCCCAAAAAAATGTCAAATTTTAATTTTGTATTAAATGTAACCTCTTTCCATAGGTCTCTAATAGATACTATCTACGTTGTTTTAACCAGGATTTCGGTCAAAGCTCGTGTAGATACTTTCATAAATAGTATCTACTAGAGAGCCACTTTCATCAGGATTTCTACAAAATCTTTGAAACACGTCAATATCTCGTTTAGTTATTAATACATTTTCGGTTAACAGCGTACATATAAATCTATATCTATACCCATATTTACATATAGATCTATATCTATACCCATTTTCTTAAGCAGTGTGTTTGGACATTGTTTTCAACATCAAATGTCTAAAGTATATTAAAAAACTAGCACATAAGTCTCGACACATTTATTTAGTTAATCCTAGAAAAACTACAACAATTTTATCTTTTTACACGTTAAATCACTCGTGAATAATCGAAGTTTATCACAAATAAAAACCATTGTTGTTCATTCGACAATGTGTTGTCCTAAGCATCGGTTGGTCTTTTTGTTTTTTATTATATTATTTATTGGTTTTTGTAGTGGACAACACTTGAACAATACTGATTACCATGACATAGGTAAGTGATGAATTCTTTTGTGTTAATAAGAGTAATAAATTTAATATTTTTAGAAGCAAGAAAGAAAAAAGACAAATACCTTCTCACCTTAATACTAGGAGGTCTAATAGTAAAAGCGATAGTTTTTCCAATCGCTCTAAAAGTAATGGCTGTAATGACCAGTTTGGCTGTTTTATTAAGCCTTATGAGTCTTATTATATCATCAATCGTTGGATATATTAAAGTGGCCCTAAGACATCAACCACGACCTTTTAAAGTAATTCATTTAACTGATCATGTATGGTCCAAGGATGAAGGCATAGATTGGGATAATCCTTATTATGAACATGAACCATATTATGATCATGATCACTACTTTGATTCAAGGGAAAAGTATTAATTTATTAAGTAAATTTATTAACTACTAAACAACACGTGTTTTATTTTTGACCAGGCATACTGTATTTTAAAAGAAAGTAATTTATTTAACATCTGGTGATAATTTAAAAAAAATGTGTTAATTTATAGGTAAGTGTAAAATAATTATTAATTAAGTATGTGGGAATTCTTTGATCTTAACCTTAAATCTAATTATATATACATATTCTTTCGTTTTGTTGTTTTTATTCTCTGTCATTTTCTAGTATTTTTGTAGTAATTTTAAGTTAGTACGTTGGTACGAATTCACCACATGCGTAGAAAACGCATGTACGTTGTACAACGTTTTTGTATTTTTCTCAGTTAAATTTGTTATCACTACTTTCCAGTCAGAGCTGGAAAAGTTACTTCTGAAAAGTATCTAGTTACTTTTCTAAGATACTTTACACAAAATAACTTAGTTACCTCGGGTAACTAGAAACTTAAAAGTATCTTTGGATACAAGATACTTTAGAAAGTATCCAAGATACTATCCGAAAGTGTCTAAGATACTTTTAAGTAACTAAGATACTTTTAAGTCACTAAGATACTTTTAAGTAACTAAGATAATTTTAAGTAACTAAGTTACTTTTAAGTATGAACAAAAACTATAAAATTATGAAAATTCAACAAGTTCTAGGTTAGGTAATTACTTTGAATCATTCTGGAATTCCCCCAATTTTCTCTAAGAAAGTATCTTGAAAGTTACTCTGAAAAGTATCTAAGTTAGTTTAAAAAGTATCTTACTTACTTTAAAGTATTTAAGTAACTTGAATGTATCTTATTTACTTTACCCAAAAGCGCTCACTCCTAAAATATAAAAGCTTTCTCCAAGTTACCGGATTTTTTGTTAACCATACCCAAAACAGTAATTATTTTAGAATCTTTAGAATGTTTGGATTTTTGTTGTAAACATAAGGGGCCAGTATTTGCTGTTCTCAAGTTTAAGTGTTAACTTTCCCAAATACTCTAACCAAACCGGAAACAAAACAGCAAGCAAAAGTAATTTAAAAAAACCTTAAACAACAATTAATGACAGTTTTAATTTTTCGGGACCATGTAAACGAAATAGATCTACTTTTGTTTTCCAGTAGGTCAAACATACAGAGGATGGGCCTATGTTAACATTTTGTTTGAACAACAAATAATTGAGATCTCCCTACAGACGGACATTGTCTTCGAAAATTTTATTGTTTGGAGAAAATCGGAAATCTAAATGATATAAAATGAGTGTGAGTTTTGGTTTTGTATGCAGTACGTTTTGGGCTTTTGGGTGTTTTAAGTGGTAGTGATAATAAAAAAGTCCACTATGAAGCGTTTTGTGATTTTAAGTGTGGTATTGATTGGATACGCATTTGGAGTAAGTGTATACACTATAGTTTTAGTTTAGTTTTATTTAATTAAATATTAAATTTATAAACTTTTTAATAATAAATTAACTATAAGGTACAGAGTGGTTTTATTTAAATAAAACACCTCTGTAAACGAGATATTAAAAAAAGTAGTTTGCATGGTTAAAAAGTTTTTTATTATAAAACAAATTGGCTAATTGCAAAAATGGCATAAACATTTTTTTACATGCATACAAAGTAAAAAAAAACAACTATATTTCTTACGTTAAATTAAAAATTATAAATTTATACGTTTAAGGATGTACAACAATTTTTAAACCATTGGAAAATGTACAGAAATTATCAACATTTTTAATTAATCCTTAAAAATCTTTTTCTACTCCCACCTTTAAAACGCCCTTTATCGTACATGTTTCCATGACACTAAGTGACCTTTTAAATACACATTGACAAGTTGTGGCTTTATAGCGCTTTAGTCACGGGCTGAAGTTAGCAACAGGTTTTTAGTCACGGGCTGAAGTTAGTTTTAAGTAAGTTGACAGTTGTCAAATGTCATACAATCGTTAAAAAAAGTGCCTTCCTTGTAAAATAATACTAAATGTGAAAATTATTTTATTATCTCAATAAAAAAATTCAAAAGTATTAAATAGTTTCTCAACGCCAATATTTGAATAGTTTATATGAACATTGTACTGGCCTTTTAATTTCGCCGGTAATAAACTTAAATAATACATTTTCTTTACTTTCACTGTGAAAAACTGTTAATTTTTAAGAAATGCATTTCGATTTATAATCTTTATAATCTGTGTTTATAAAATATAAAAATTTGACATCTGAAAATCCTCAAAAGGTATTACAATTTTTAATAATTCTTAAAAATTTTAAAGAATGTACAACAATTTTTAAAAAATCTTTGAAACCCTTTAAACCCATTGGAAATTTACAGAAATCATCAACATTTTTAATTAATCGTTAAAATTCTTTAAAATGTATTAATATTTTTAAAACCCATTGAAAAATAAAAGAAATCATCAACATTTTTAATTAATGCTTAAAAATCTTTAAAATGTATTTTTTTTAACTCATTTGAAAATGTACATAAATCATTAATGCTTAAAAATCTTTAAAATGTATTAATTTTTTTAAAACCCATTGGAAAATGAAGAAATCATCCACATTTTTAATTAATCCTTAAAAATCTTAAACTCCTTGGATATTTTTATAAAAATTGCTTTTTTTGTTTTTTTTATTTTTGTGAGAAGAATTTTTATTTTTATATTATATTATTTTTTTAAATAAATCTTTTAAAAAATGATTAAAAGAATAAAATATCTAAAATCCAAATGCCATCAAAAATTTAATTATACTTATAAATTGTACATTATAGACCAGGCGGAGAAAGCACATATTATCGCAGGGCATACATTTCAATACCAAGGCGATTAATAAATATTTTTTTAGGATTCTGTCACATCATTTTTAGGTTCGGTTCAACTAACATAATGACATTTTAGCTTTACGAAGTTTAATAATAATTTGACTTTTGAACTAATCTTCATATGAAAACACAAAAAAAATGTTCAAGCAGTTTTTCCTAAAATGTAATTAGAAGTTTAAAATTAGGAACTAGGAACAACTGTTTAATAATTATTATATTATAATATTAATTTATTATAATATTAATATTAAATTATAATATTCTGCATACCCTATTCTTATCAAATAAAATAATATATATTTTTATTTAGGTTCCGTTATCCGAAGATCCCGTTGCTAAGGTACAATTTTAATTAAAATATTCATCATTAAATATAAAATGTTATAAATGATATTTTAGGAAAACTCGCCTACTCTTCTAAAATCCCTTGATAGATGCATACTTAATCAAGGAGATCTCCCGAACCTGATAAATTGTGCCGCCTCAAGAATGTTAAAAACAATCGAAAAAGCTAATAATGAACCCATTATTAACGTTGTCCCAGGTATTTCTTTTGTAAGGTAAATAATTTCAACAAACCAAAAAATACAATATTACAAAAAAAAAACTTTTAGTGATAATACCAGGCAAGCCAAACAACTTAACAATAACTTAAACGAAGTACTGCTACCAACAGACCCAAACAAAAAAACCAACAAACTCATGGAACTCATTCTCAGCGCAGCAAACAGATTTTTGTCAGGGAAATCCCTCAAAATCCAACTACCTGTCATTTCCAAAGAATCCATCGGTAGGGCCATCGAGGAGGGCCGCGGCAAGATGAAGAAAAACATGAACCCATGGATGATGGGGTTGGGAGCCACCATGTTCACCATGGTACCCATCCTAATGGGCAGTTTGTCTTTAATGGCAACTAAGGCTCTTATGGTGGGTAAAATGGCTTTGGTCGTGTCTGCAGTTCTGTTTATACAAATGTTTTTGACTGGAAGGGTAAGTAAAATTAAACTAAAAAAAAATATCAACTAAGGCATAATTTTTAGAATGTACTTCCTAATTATGGATGGAACAACATTGGAGGATGGGGAAATAATGTAGGTTATGGGGGAGGTTATGGAGGAGGTTATGGTACCAATAACATTGGAGGATTTGGAAATTCACCTCAATATCCCTACGCGAGATCAATTGAGGTTACCCCTGAAGAAAATAATGAGAAGACTGCAACAGAATTAGCTTATTCTGGACATTAAATTTTTTAATAGATTTACAAAATATTTAATATTTATTTATTTATGTTAAATGGTACAAATAAAGTTTATATTGCTACATAAAATTGTCTATTATTACTAGCTACATCTAGCAGTGAACTAGGTGTATTAAAGTGTGGGTCACTCACCTTTCTTTTTAAATGTTAAAGAACTTTATTTTGCAGTTCAATGTCAAGGTTCTATACTTGTCTAACTAGAATAATTGTAACTGCTTTATTTTACAGAAGTCGAGCTTTATTTGTGAAGTTAAACTAGAGAAAATATCATAGATGGAGTTAAATCAAATATATATTAACTTATTGTCTATTTGAGAGTAATAAAAACATTACAAGCTTTTAACTTTATAATGGTCTGGCCTCTATAATTATACACGTTGGTCAAAACTTAAGTATAGGACGAACAAAAATGCCAACCAAAACTGATAGCATATTTTGATTATAGACCCTTTTGGTAACACTAACATGTATTTATCAAAATCCCAGCTGATCATATTTTAAAGTTTTGCAAACTTTTTTGTTTTTCTATTTCTATATATTATTTTGCAATTATTGTACTAAAACTACCTGTACAATTTTAATAAAATTAAGCAAAATAATAAACTTTGTATCATTTAAATTACTTTACTCCCCAGTATTAATTTATTGAGTCACCTATTATTTTTTACCACTCAAAACAAAAGATATAAAAAAAACGAAGATTTATATCTTAAATATTTTGTATAACAAAAAATACTGGAAGTTTGTCTATGAAATAATTACAACTTGAAAATTTTGTAAAACAATAATTAAGGTGGTTATGAAAAAAATTGCTATAACGCTAGTGACATTTTGCTTTAGTTGTTTAATTAATAAAGTTAAAAATAGTATTTTAAAATGAAAATTAAACCGAAATTCAAGTTAAGCCATGCAGAAAATCGAAAGAAGGTATGTGCTGGCTGTGGAGACAAAATTGTTTTTGGTAATCGAGAAATTCAGAGTTTAGGGTTTCTGAGAAAATATATAAATTACTGCAGACTTTTTCAAACGAACACTTTAACTTAAGTGATTCAAAATTACCTACTTCAATATAAAGTTATAAAGTTATAAAGTGCTCTTTTAGTTCCACCCTTACATCCAAACTAAGATGTCCCATAAGCCAACTGAATGGCTTGTGCGGGTTAGGGGTAGGAACGGACCGACGGCTTAAAGTCCCCTCCGAAGGACTATATATGGTAAAAACGGTATTTTTGCATAGCCACAATTGCCAAATTTTCAAATTTTAGAAACTGCTAGAGAATTTTGCGGCAGTCAAGAATGTATGTGCTTTATCTGCAAAATGGCAAGATATAAAGGGCATACAAAATTATTAAGGGAAGAGGACGGACGAACGAACTAAAGTTTTGATATGCTCTTCCTTTCTAGGGGATATCGCTAGATGTAAGAAGCATGTTTGTACAGAGACTGAAGAATTTAAAATTACTGTTTCCATGTTAAAAACAATTCCATGTAAAACCCAAGAAACAGTTTTACTGAAAATTTAAGGCAAGCAGTAATCTATTTTGCTTCAAAGAATCTTTAGTTATTTATTAGTTTTGTATTAGGTACCTTAAAACAATAAATAAGATATTGCAAACTATATTTTACATTATTTTGTATTTATAATGTAATTTATCCGTATTTCAATCATGTATCTGCCAAATTTTTAATACCATTTGATAATGGCATAAACAATTTTAAAATACTAAGAAATATGCAAAACTGTAATAAAGGATCAGCTGGGATTTTGATAAATACATTTTTGTGTTACCAAATATTTTTAATTTATATGGGGTATAATACGTAATTCTTCTAGTACCAAAAAAACAAACATTAAGATCAAAAAATCTTCTTTAAATAAATAATATTGTATCAGGTTAAAACTATGTATTACTAAATTCCCAAATAGAAAAACATCATGACAGAATATAAACACTTTAACACTCAAGAATAATAATTACCAAAAAAATATTTTTAATTTATATGGGGTATAATACGTAATTCTTCTAGTACCAAAAAATCAAACATTAAGATCAAAAAATCTTCTTTAAATAAATTATATTGTATCAGGTTAAAACTATGTATTACTAAATTCCTAAATAGAAAAACATCATGACAGAATATAAACACTTTAACACTGAAGAATAATAATTACCAAACATGATACAAATTGTTGAAGAGCGTTTAAGAATGCAAAATCGGGGAAATTAACTTTTCTGTCCACGATTTAACACAGAATTTGTCAAATCCGTGTTACATACATGATTTACTAACTGCCCCCGTCAATGGTTTTTGGTCAATATAAAAGAATTTAACCAAAGTTTTTCACTAGTAGGTAGTTCATAGTTACTGATAAAATCAAAATGTTTAAAAAATTGATTTGTTTGTTCGCTTTAGTGGCTTTAGTGGCCAGTGAGGGTTGCAGCAATGTGGGATGTGTGGAGGAGGAGTTGATTGATTATGTTAACAATTTGGAGAACAAACCCGTGCCTTTTTTGGGCAATTATGTTGTCTTGGAGAAAAATGAGGAGTTAATTGAGTCGGCAAGAGATGGTGAAGATTTTATCAGCAGATGTATCAGATATTTGGCCAATCATACGTTGAAATTTAAGATTCCTTCCGAACAAGCCAGAACTGTACTCGAAGGTAAAAAAGTTATCTGTTAAGTATTGTTATTAAAGTATTAAACTTTTTATTTTCCAACCATCATTAGATAATTAAACATAACAATTATTGATATTTGAAAATATTAAAATAACTTCAAAATATGATTATGTTAAGAAAACATTGTATACTTTGATTTTTTTATTATTATAATTGCAAAATATTATCACAAAGTATTAAAAATTCTTACACGGGAAAATAAAAAGGTATAAAAAGTGACAGTTGTATTTATTGGAAGATTAGACAACAATCCTTAAAAAATTACAGGATATCTAAAATTACTCCAGTCCCCTTCACGTATTTTTATTTTAAATTTTATTTCTAAATATAAAGATGTTTTTATTATTAAAATAAATAATTTTTAGTTAATAGACGTATCATTTTATTGATTTTAAATACAAAATGATAGATTTTTTGAAACATTGCTAAAAGTAGCGTAAAATTAAGAAACATACATTTTATTTTTAACGATACTTCTTGCATTGTTTTAAAATAAATATCAATGAAATAAAATTTTAAATCTTGTATATATTAATATAAAAAATATTGGATTATAGAAAACATCTTGATTTAAGAAAATTATTGCCTTATTTCAATATCACATGTTTTTTTTTTAAGAAAATGTATTCTTGAATTAATTTAAGAATGCCACTAATTTATTTTTAAAAGAACATATTCTTGCTTTACAACAACCAATTATTTGGTTAAATAAAATACATTTTCTTGAATTAAGTAAATATTGCTGCCTTATTTCAAAAATTATATATTCTTGCTTTTAAACAATCTAAGTTTTATTTAAAGAAATTTAATTTTCTTAAATTAATAAAAGATTCTTGAAGTAAATCAACCTGAATTAAGAAAATATTTTACTATTTTAAAGAATATATTCTCTTCGTTATATATGGGTAATTCTTTTACAAACCGAACACCTTTTAACCGACACATCTCAGATTTGGCTGAAACTTTTTTACGGATTCTATGTCGAAAAATAAGAGATACGTGTCCGAGGAATTTTTGTTTCTCGCATATTTTCGATAATACAAGCTATCGAAAATTTGAGAATAACGAGTTTTTTGGCTTGGAGACTCATTTTAAAAATTTATAAATCTGGTTCTTTTTGAGCTACAAACTTCTTTTTTTATTTTAAAGCTAAAGGACTGAATTTTGATAAAAAAATATTTTTAATAAATTTTATTAACAAATTCATATTGTTATTAACTATTTCATTGTTTAAATCAATTTTTAACAATGGCCCCCACCTCGTATTAAGTTTTTAGTATTTTTATCGTATTCTCCGTCAAATTTTACATAAAAAACATGTTTTCAAAATATTTCAATTTATTTTAAAAGTGAGGTTATGTCAAAAATAGTTAAAATAAAAATTGTAGATCTTTTTAATATCTACAACTTTTATATTTGACTTTGACCCGAGCTATAGTTCTTTTTATTAACAAAAAACCGTTTTTTTATGTGTCGCGCAATATGAATTAATGTTTTAACAATAGTAATAATAAAGGTACCATATTTTGAAAATATGTTTTTTATGTAAAATTTGACGGAGAATACGTTAAAAACTTAATACGAGGTGGGGGCCATTGTTAAAAATTGATTTAAACAATGAAATTGTTAATAACAATATGAATTTGTTAATAATATTTACTAAAAATAGTTTTTATTAAAATTCAGTCCTTTAGCTTTTAAAAAATAAGTTTCTAGCTCAAATAGAACCAGAGTTATAAATTTTTGAAAATGAGTCTCCAAGCCAAAAAACTCGTTATTCTCAAATTTTCGATAGCTTGTATTATCGAAAATATGCGAGAGAAAAAAAATTCCTCGGACACGTATATCTTATTTTTCGACATAAAATCCGTAAAAAAAATCTCAGCCAAATCTGAGATGTGTCGGTCAAAAGGTGTTCGGTTTGTAAAAGAATTACCCATATGAGACAAAGATTGTTTTGAATCAAATAAATTTATTTGATACAAGAATATTTTTATTCAGTGCAGCATTTCTCTAAAACGAAAAGTGGCAAAAGGCAAAACACTTTAGTGAGGTTTTTTCGTTTGTTGAAAATAATACTATATCATACCCTCCCCCCAACTTTTTAACAATACTCTAAAGTAAATTTGAATGTCAGTGAAATTTTTCAGTTAAATGAATTTGCATTTTTGAGTGATTCCAACCCCAATAAAATTGACAATCATACCATATTTTGAAAAAAAAATACATTTGACGGAATTTGTATAATGAATTATTCTTCGAAAGACGAGAAATTTCAACAAGAAACTGAACACTGGTCGCACCAAACATGCAGTTTTTATACATCTTTAATTTAGATCATTGATTTGAGGCCGACGCTGCTTGCTGCTATCTACGATATTTGTTTTATTTTATCTTAATTTACTTACACGGCCCACTTTGCTCAGGAATGTTTCCTGACCAGTGTCCACGTTTCTTTTTTTATTTATTTCATTTCATCGACGATTTTGCATAATTAGCTCATCATTTATGTATAATGTGATCGGAATATTAATTAATAAGAAATCTAGGGTGTAAATTTAACATTCTTTAAATTCTTTAAAAAAATGTTTTTTAATTAAATGTATTTTTACAATGAAGGATGAAAATTTTTACATTATTTTTTTTATGTGTTAATTTCAAATTATATTAGATGTATCTATATATTTTTTAGTGTATTGACAATAGGTGTTTTGCTAAATAAGTCATTTCATTTGGTTATATTTTTTTCCAATAATAATACTGTTTTAATTTTTTTTTAATTATAAATGATTTTTTTATAATAGTGGTACATGATCTCTGAACGCTGTTATTTACGGTAAACCACTTGATATGGGTAATTTAATTTAAAATATCTGCAGCATGAAAAATTAGGGTAAACAATATTTTATTGCTAACTCTTTGTGAATCCGCCACAAAGTAATTTTATTGTGTTTGTTTTATAGAAAAAAGCAAGTTTAATAAAAGCACTATTCAATGAGTCACACAAAAGTTTGTAGAAAAATAAAAAAAACTGTAAAAACTTTCCATGTGTAAAAATTTATAACATGTGCGCTTAGACTTTTTTATTTTAATAATTTTCTATTATTTATACTTAATAATACGCGAAAAATGAAAGTAACACAATGTCTTCTATAATCTATAAAGTTTCAGGCGAAAATAGACCACAATCACGCCAAACCGGATTATATTTTTTGCATATAAATCCACCTTCGTGGTTGTTTCCTTTCTTTTTCTACGCCATGGCAATTTCTATTTTAAAAGAGTTTATGGTAAATGTTGCACATTTTATGAATTCATTAATTTTTAAAAGGTATACCTTTATACAGGGTGTTATGTAATTAATGTTATATATTAAAATGGGTTGTTCCTTAGGGTCCATAAAGAAGCACCTGAAACTTTTTTTTTAATTCCAAAGTCTAAAATAATTTATAATAACCTTTATCCTACCATAAAGTACGCCACTGATCGACTAGGAACTTTAGGTTAATCTGGTGGATTTATTATGTTATGGTTGGTAACAACAGTGTTTCCAAAATCTCTAAAAAAAGTTGACAAACATTGTTTAAATTTAGCTTAATTACAAAAATGACAAAATTAACAATGCAAATTGTCAATTTGGCGTTTTTATTAATTGTTGGTTATGTCATTTTTGTACTGAAGGTAAATTCAAACAAAATCTGCCAACTTTTATGACAGAATCTAGTGCATTTTTTTTTAATTTTAGGTTATGTTTTCAAATTGTAAATATCTTAACTAAGGGAAGTGCTTTTGGATTTATTTACACAAATTAAATGTTTAAAGTTTAACCTGTGAACTGGTCCCAATTTCATCTGAGTAAACAGAGAAAAAAACTGATGAAAAAATTAATTTTGTGGTAATGGATTTCAAATTTCAAAGGTACTAAATTTTCTAATCATTGCTTAAGCTAATAGCTGGATCAGTAAATAAATACAGAAGGGTATTAGAGCTTTAAGGGCATAAAACTTTTGTATTTATTGAGTTTTATTTATTTTTTGCAAGAAAAATTTTTAGTAACAATTTTTTACTTTGTTGGTTGGCATCTATGTAGATAAACCAAGTGTGTAACCAGGGGCGTATCACAAAAAATATAAAAAATTTCTAATGCATATTTTTTCTTTATGTTTGGAAAAATGTTTTTTTAAATATTTTTCCTTTATTCCTTATGTCAAAAGGTATTCAGTATTTTAATATATAACATTAATTACATAACACCCTGTATATTGTCTAGACTTTCATTTTTTAATAAAAAAACAAAATTGTACAAAATATTTTTCCGAAATTATCATTTTCTTCAGCATAGTGCGCCGACTAAGGCACAGGTGCGCACGCACAACGAATTAACTTACTGACCTAGTGGTAGGCCGTTTCCGGCTGCCCATGACCTACTTGACGGCCACTTTCCACTCCCATTCAACAACAGGTCCCCCCTAACACTGCTCGACTTCTTCTTTCCTTCTTCTCCGCGAAGTAAGAAGTAGAGGTGGATGGTTATGTGGGGTCAATCATTTAGTTATAAATATGTTGGTGTGGAGTTTGAATGTTGAGTTTGGTTCGTACCAATTCCATTGATACACACCGTATAATATGCATATAAAAAATATTATCGGAATTTTCGACCAAGGTCAATATTAATTTTATTTACGTTTTTTTTCAATGTTAGTTTAAATTTTTTTAAATAAAAATATAAATTTTTTATTTAAACTTTAGTTAATAAATAAGTATGTAAAAAATAGCTGTAATTTAATGTTTACAATATTGTTTGTTCCACTAGTGAAACAATATTTGTATTGTTCAACTAGTGTAGCAATAGCTTACTTAATTTTTGTCGAGCCTATAATATCTTAATTTCAAGTCCAAACGTATTTGTTAATCTGAAGTTAAAAAACTACGAGGGAGAGTCAATAAATCCGCGATGTTTTTTTATTTCTCGCCTTATAACTGGAAAAGCATCATAACCTACTTCTGTTAACTGCCATCTATCGGTAGATGCTTTAGTTTGAGTGTGATTGCCATCGAAAGCAAACATTTCGTCTTATAAAGAAATATTTTTTGCGCAAGTAAACCATTACTTAAACCAAGTATAAGCTTTATAACACTACATAGTAAAAAAATTATATGTATATGTTATGTTAATTTTTAACACAACAGAATGTGTAAAAGAAAATTAATATATGTTATTTTTTTTACATAACTGCAAAGTTAATTTAACAAATCGTGTTGTGTCAATTTTATTTTTTTTAAATTGTTATTTTAACCTAAACTAATAGTTAATATGATTTAAAATCTCTATAACATTAACATAATTAAATATGTAAAATTTATTTATATTTCATTTATTTTACACAAAAAAGTTACTTTAACATATAACTTTCTATTGATTTTACAAAAATAGTATGTCTTCATTAATTTTAATTTGTTATTTTAATAAAATATATAAATTAATATAAGAATATTGGTTTTTGGGCAAAAAATAAAACATATTAGTATGTAATAATAATAATTATAAAAGACTGGACTTTGCAATTTTAATAAATTCCAATGCTTCATTGCTGGCCTTTTTTTTAAATTATGTTGTAGTATAATAAATCATTGATTTATTATACTACTTTAAAAAAATGCCAGCAATAAAGCATTGGAATTCGCTAAAATTGCAAAGTTCAGTTTTTTTTGTATTCCAAAATAAAATACAAATCCATGCCATAGGGTAAACGGTCTTCAAACATTTCTGGGGTTACAAACGTTATGTAAGTAAAAAAAATATTCTCATAGCAAACTTACCTTTAAATTTTGTTAAACACACGCTATACAAAAGCACACTTAACCTTACAATTATGAACCTCTAATCGAATTAACTATCATCAACCGACTAAACGCGGTTAGAAGACAAAGGGCCTTGCAGGGTACCTACCAATTTTAATCTAAAGAAGGCAAAAATTAGCGAATTAAAAGAATAACATTTATATTTATGTGGAATTGAATAAAAATAATACTCAATTGTTTTAATTTGATTAAAAGTTTTCTGTACTCAAATATTTAGCAAATATTTTTGAGTTAGATTAACACTTGTTTAGGAGTTATTTAAACTAATGTATTATATTGAAATTAACATAATTTTATCTTAACATTAACTATATTATTATACTACAATGTACAACAAAATTATTATTTAACATTCTTATTTGTGTAGGACCTTTTAACACATTAATGTTTTTTAAATCTTTTGAAATTTTAAGATTTTAATTATTATAATTTTTGTATCAAGTATATATACATACATATACATATATAATTTATGTTATAGTTTATGTAAATTTTTTATTTAACACGCATTATTTTGCAAACTAAATTTCAATCGTAAAAAAGTCCTTTACTAAATTTTGTCACTACACCCAAAACAATATAATAAAATGAGATTGTAGAATTGCTCCCTTATTCCCCATATTCTGTGTTTTCAAATATAAAAAAAACGAAATAAATTCGGCCCTATCAATGAAATTATTGTCTATTTTGAGAACCTTGAGAAATAATAAATTTCGAAGGGATAAAAAATTAAAGAAAAAGTGGTTAAAAAGGTTAAAAGTGCTTTTTCCTTCTTACAAAACAACAAAGCAATTTAAAACATTGTTTTTAAATAAGCTTAATTTAATTTATCTACTTAAGAATAGTAATATGGCGCATCAAAACTTGTTAGCAACTAGTTAATAGGATTACTGGGGCGCACCATTAGGTTATCAGATGCTAAATTAGTAAGTTTTTTTCATGAACCACTTTAGAAATTATAATTTTTATCGATTGTGCATTAATAATTATATTTTATTATTAGAGAATGGGAATCAATTTCCTGCATGCAAACTATTGGTTATTTTATATATTTGTATATGTGGAAAAATAAAACAAAATTTATTAATGTTCAATTTAATTTTATTTTATTTATAAGTCAAGGTATGATACACACACAAAATAAATAACGGGTTCGTTGTCTCTCTACTGCTGGAGTCTCTTTCATTAATGCTGTAAAAATAATTGTGGTCATATTAATATAGGCAACGCATAATACACGAATATACTGTAAAACTATACATTTTTAAAGCTATTACAATAAAAAAATATATATATTTTTAAGAAATAATTTTACAGTCTTTTAAAGTGTTACATGCAAATTTGACCTGCGATGGTAGAAAATCGAAGTTTTTTAATAATTAATAGTATATTATTATACGAAGGATAATTAAGGCGTTTCGAGTCGCTAGACGAGAGACTTAAATCATCCAAGTGAATAATGCGCATAATCTAGAGTGTAATATTAAACTTTATCAACTCCAATAAGTAGATAATTAAATGATTTTCAAAAATAAATAAATAAAATCTGACATCTGTCAAATTGTTAACCTCACTTTTTACCCTTTTTAAATGTTATTATAGTCGCCTTCTCCCAATTAAAAACCCGATTGGTTCAAATCACAGTGAATATTGAAACCTGCCAATCACCTAACAAAGTGAATAATGAGTTGTTCATAATGTTTATCATTATTCACTGAAAAAATTTAATATTATGCAATAGGAGTTGATAAAGGTTTATTATTTCACAAGTTATTATTGTTAGTTATAGTTTATATTGTTAATCTTATATTTTTTAAATAAAATGCTAGTATACAGGGTGGTCCAGTTTAAATGTCAATAATTTGAGAGGTGATAGATCATCAAAAATAATTATTAAAAAAAATTTTTTGGGAAAACTTATGAGCGAGCTTGTGAGATACAAAATACACTGTGAAATATGAAAATAAATGTTACTTTAAAAAATATTTTCCCAGAATCTGAGGTGTAAAATTTGTTTGCGACTCACCCCTGTAAAATCTTTATTTATTATGCGATTTTAACCGGATTTGTGTAGATCTTGATAAACTGTATTTTTTTAGCAAAAAACGCCATATTAGTACAAAATACAAGGCCTACTATGTCAGTTTTTAAGAATTTATATTAGCGATTTTTTTAAACAAAATCTAAGCACGGCACTAGATTCACCACCCCTCAAAATGACATTTTACTAAATTCTATTGAGAAATTTTAAGTAGAAAGTACCATGTTACTAATAGTTTAATTTTATTTCAATGATTTTTTCATGGATAACTTGACAAAATAAATTTTTGTAGTTATTATTGTGCATTTTTCTACTTACAATTTTTCAATAAAATTTAGTATAGGATCAATTTAAGGGGTGGTGAATCCAGTGCCGTGCTTAGATTTTATTTAAAAAAATAGCTAATATGAATTCTTCAAAATTTTACTCTTAAAAACTGACATAGTAGGCCTTGTATTTTGTAAAAATATGGCGTTTTTTGCTACAAAAATACAGTTAATCAAGATCTACACATTAAAACAAATCCGGTAAAATCGCACAATAAATAAAGATTTTACAGGGGTGAGTCGCAAACAAATGTCTGATGCCGCACAAAATCATACTCTTTAAAAATTAATTAGTCAAAAATGACTAGTTACTACAGTGGCTGCTTTTTCACTTACACCATACGTACCGTACAATACCGTCAAAAAGTATGAAAGTAGAGCATTTTTTGAGACACAGTAAATATTATATTTTTTGAAAAAATTTACTATAACTCAAAAACTTTTGTCGACATTTTTGGATTTAGTGGACAATTTTACATAGAAATTGACTGCTATTGACGAGAATTATTTTTCTCGATTTTTATGTAAGAATGTCATATTCTCGCACGCAAAATCGTTGAAGAATGAAGCTCATTCTTAAACGATTTTTGGTAAAATTTAGTTTTTAAGTATTGGTACCCCCAAAATGTCAAACTGATTAATAACCTCAAATTCATTACTTTTATTGAAAATGAAGCCTTTATTATTGTTTTGTAATATAAAGTTTGCTCCAACAATGCATTTTAATGCAAAATTTTAAGTTTAATGTGTAAAAGTGCAGTTCAGGTTGTACTTGTGCAGGATAACAAATATTGTCATTTTGTGTTGCCAACTGACATTTTGCGAGAAAAATCCCCTAACTAACAACGACCACAAAACAATTAAAAAAAACCTAAATAAAAGTTAAAATCGAGAAAATAGTATAAATCCCACGTTGCAGAAGGCTATTCTCGCACTCATTCGTTCGTCCACTCGCTCCTTCGTCGCTCGAGGCCAAATTTCGAATTCGTGCGAGAATATGTGGCCTTCTGCAACTTGTACTTTAATATACTATTAGCTGTGACAATTAGTCACATTTGACTAATTCATTTTTAAAGAGTATATTGAATTTTGAAGACATTCTATAAAAATTGTTCAAATGGAGATACTACCTTAATGGAAGTCTTCCTAATTTTTAAGCTCTATTGGAGGTCTCTATTATTATTATTAATTATATTTTTAATTATTATTTTTTTTTAGAATCCAGAAGCAGCAAACTGAAAAAAATCGTTCTCCCGATCCTTCTCCTCCTGAAACTGAAGGCCGCCATCATAATCCCAGCAGTTCTTTCTGTGATAGCCTTGGTAGCGTTTAAAGGTCTCGGCGTAGGTTTGATAGCCTTGGCGATTTCAGGAGCCACTGGATTGAAGAGTCTTCTGGAGCATCAGAGTTCGAAGTTTACCTATGAAGTGGTACCGCAAATCGCCCCACAACCAGTGTGGAGTCGGTCTGGAGTTGAACCTTTCACAACTTTGCCGCAAGGATATCATACCATGCCCTAAAATGTTATTTTGTTGATATTTATACTAGTTTAAATTAATTTATTGGCAATTACTAAATACATGTTTTTTATAAAAACATTTTTTAACATTGATTGTTTCTGCAATATTAGATATATTTAATATTAATAAAATAATGACAAAATAAATGTTTCGTATGTTTAAAAATAATGTGTTTGCAGGTTTTCTGTAGCAGTATGGTTGACAAAACCACATTTGTGAATGGTTTACTTAAAAACAATTATTTATCTTTTTAAATGCGTCTATTACTTTAAATAAAGTTATTTAGTTTTATAAATAAAATAATAACTATTAGAAGCCACTCTAATCTCGGCTAGTTTCTAATCGATGGAAATGCAAGTTGGCAATGCAAGAACAAAAAGTCTTTTTTAGGTTAGAACGAAAGTTTTTTGCCTTGCTTCGTAAAATGCCATAAATTATAAGAAAAATTTCAAACTGATTGTGATGCAGCAGCTGACAATTATTTATTTATTGCACAGTGATGCAAATTATAGTTCTAGATAAACAACAGTTTATGTTTTTTCTTTTTCAAAATTTTAATAAATAAATAATAAAAAATGTATATCTTTCCACTTCTGTCCTGATGAAGAAAATGGGTGTCCTATCTGGGTGAATCTCACGAAATGTCCCCCGATGGTGACACCCCGTGATATTTAATAAAACTAAATGAGTTTCACCTACACTTTTATTGTGTTTTGATCTTTCATAATTAAGTGGTTATGACAGCCCAGGTTCCAGATTTTTAACCGCAATTAATTATTTTTTACAATGTTTTAAAAGTCTAAAACCTATCCTCCATGACTGTTACTCTTTCTAGGTTAACCTATATGTTTTCAAATATCTGAGGTATTAAAAGCATACAAAAAAATCAGTTCACTAAGTAAATTAAACACATCCAAAGCAATCGAATCAAATATAAAATATTATTAAAAATTGAAAGAAATAATTTGTATAACCATTTATGTAGGTGTTACAAAAATTGATTCTATCCTCCGTGAATCTGTTTTTGCTTTAAATTGTATGCAAAGAGTGGCGATTTAATTATTTTAAATAAGCAAAAACCTCTGTTTACGACATTATAGCTGCATGTGATTCCTGAAGGTCAGTTAGAATTTATATGCAAATGAGAGTGTTGCTGTTTTATAATTGACAAGTTCATTAATTTGCTATTTAAAAACCTATCCACCGTGAAGTGTAATATCTCAGTAAGTAGATTTTTTTAATAAATATTTTATGTATACATATATGTACAATTGTATTTTTTTTAAATATTAAGGTGTCAAAAGATACAATAACTTATTTCAAATATACAAAGGGATGTTTTATAAAAAACATAATAAATCCTTACCTCCGTGAAGCTCTAATATTCAAAATGTATAATTTCTTAAAATTCTTGCATTAGTGCAGAACCACTTATGTTATGTTATTACTAGACCTGGTGGCTTCCCAAAAACCCCATTCTAGATTAACAGGGAAACAACCAAAAATAAAAAATAATCATTTTCACTTGGGGGACATCTCAATATATTCACCCATCTAACTGCTGTTCAAAAGTTAGGGAACCTTCTGTAAAATTACAACCGAATTAATTTTTTTTTAGAGCATTTTCAGTTTAGTAAAATACCTTAAAATTAAACAAAACATACAAAAAATACCAGTTTATTCATAATGTTATAATATAAAAATATATTAATTTGAAATTTTAGAAAGTTGCCTTATTTAAAAGTAAATATACCGGCGTCTTAACTATAAAGGGGGTTCCCTAACTTATGAACAGCAGTGTATATATTAAAAAATAATAATAATTGATTTAGAAAATTACGTATTTATTTTTGTGAATTTAATTTTAAAAATACCAAAAAAATAGTTTTTTATTCAACACTTATTTAATTTCTTAACATCAACATTAACATCAGTGGTTAAAACAGATTGCAAGTTGTCAGATAAAATATCAAATAAAATTGGCTTTTAGTTCCTTGTGGTAGTTAAATAAAATATTATGGGCCCGTGTGGCAAACTCCACGTGGAATCTTATTTTTCTCCCCCTAGTCGCACAATCTACTATTAACAAGGACTGTATTGCCAGATTTTGCGAAATGACGTTTAAGAAAGAAAATAACATTTTCTGTTTAAATTTGCGAATTGACTCACTGTGTCCTTCTTTTAATAATATCTGGTATTTGAGATGATGCTAGTAATTCGTAATTAACTTTGCTACAGGCACTGATGAAATAATTAAAAAAGAGAGTATATTTTAATCGAGGACAAATCCGTTTTAATCACTATACACAGGGTGTGCGTAAAGAAAGTAGATTAAATGCAATGATAACTACGATTATTTTTTCTATTGTTGTAATTAAAATTCACTTAAGGTTTATTTTTGTAAATATGTATCAGGTTTGATAAACGCAATTCTTGTCACGAATTTTAATTGGGTATGAGTGTTTAATTAAATGAGTGATTTTTTTTAAAGAGAAAATAATAACGGGTAAAATCAAACGTTTTATGGCAACAATACTTATAATTAATTAAAATTGTGTACGCAAACAAACAGAAGCTTACTTAAACCGCTTATTATAATAATTCATTCATTTATGAATTATGCCATAATGCACTATTAAAGCATAAATCTCATTCACATTAAACTCATTATGTAACAATTGATTTAAATAAATGAATATTTATCTTCTAAACCTTCTATTAAAAATACAAATGGATATTTATTACTTAATAATAATAATAATTATTTAAAAAAATGTATTAAAATTAAGTAAAAATAAATTTAATTTTAACTTGAATATAGGCATTTTTTTGGAAAATATTTCATTATGTATTAAGTTTAATAAAAGCCACGAATTTTAATAAGGCACGAGCGAGCTTGCAAACGAGTTTTTAATTAAATTATTGTCAAAAAAAGTTTATAAACGAGTTGCATACTATACTTTTTCTACGACAAATACTAAAAATGATTTCAATGCAATATTTGTTTTTAATTGTTTAATATTAGTATGTAGGAAAAACCGATTTTTATGATAAAAAATAGCCTATAAATTTGTTTCTCAAAACATAAACTTTTCACTATATTTTTTTTCGAGGTCTTTAATGAATGGAAAAATAACTAAAAAAATAAAAATACTTAAAATACTCTTATATATCTAATAGATTTTATTTTCATGCGTATAAAAATAATAAATAGTATATAAATAAACCTTTATTATAAAAAATTATTTACCAAAAATGATCAAGATTTTCAATGAGATTTCCACCTTGGTAAGTAAAGTAAAATAGTTAAGAAAAATAAGTAAACCATTCAAAAAAATAATAACGATTCCCTAATAGATCAAAGACATCTTATTTAATATTAACCAGACATTTTTTATGTTTATGTAAAAGAATATATAATAATAACAACATCCAATATACAAATATATTATAACAAAATTCATTTCCCATATCCAAGTTTTAATTTTAATATGGTCTATATAGGAAAACTTCCTTTTAGTTCAAAAGAAAAATTATGATTTACCTTCGTACAGAAATTTCCTCACATGCAATTTACTGCATTGGCTAGCGCCTCGGCAAATGTATGCTCGGCTATAATATGAGCTTTATCCACCTAACCTATAATGCACTGATTTACTACGATTTTTTGTAATTTATATGTTATTTTTCGAAAATCGTATCCTTTTTAAAGTAATTTTTAATTAATTAGGTATTGAATATTCGAAAATTTACATTTTTTTAATTATTATTTTTATTATTATTTTTAGTGTTTGAAACATCAACTACTTCTAAGTACTTTCTTAAATTGAATTAGTCAAAATTGACTAATTAAAAGTTAAATTTGACTAATTGTCATAGCGAGAAAGCAGTCACTAATAATTAGTCAAATTCTACTGAATGAAATAGTCAAATTAGTGGGTTTAAATTTAAAAAAGTTTTGACCCAGCCGGGGATTGAACTCATGTCTGTCACTTGTCAAGCTATTGTCATAACCAATGTAGCTATCAGGCGCTCTTATAAAAATCAATTTTATTTGTCAATATTGTTCATAATATTTTAAAGTTAAATATATTATTTGTGTTGCTGTTTTGAGCTAAAGTTTTTGCATCTTTGTTTGTTTTTATTGGTCATTTAACCATGGAGCTTAGGTATATGCATTTTATTCAAATAATACCTTGTTATTGGTCGCAAACGATTAAAGAAATTAGTTACTTTTAACTCAGAAATAGTCAAATATGGTGACTAATATTAAACTAGTCAAACTTTAACTATTTACGTAGTAAAAAATAACTACTTAAAAGTGAAAACGACTATTTTATTAGTAAAAGGATAAAAGAGGTTAAAAAGAGCAATGCGGAATATAAAATTAAGAAAATTAAATTGGCGGTACCAGTTATAGAACTGTTTTGTTAAACTAATATACAATTAATTAAATAAACTATTCAAATAGTAGAATTTTGACTATTTCATTTTAAGAGAGTACTTAAACACTAAAAAATAATAATAATAACTAAAAAATGTAAATTTTCGAATATTCAATACCTAAAGGTGTTTAGGTCTTCAACGTGAGTTTTTATTATTTTTTTGATTCGAGCTCTTTGGATTGTACATCCGAAACCCTATGATTATTATTATTAATATTAATATTTTTGTCAAAAAACATTTTATTTACCCTTTAGTATTGTTTAGTTTAGTTTTTAGCTATAAAAAATATTTATTTATTGCCAATTTATTTGTATCTTAGCTTAAGGGGCATTTTGCAGAAATAATTTAAAAAAACTTTTCATTTATCATCTGCAATTTTGAAGAAAATTTTTGTATCTTAGTTTTAACATTAATATTACTATTATTATTTCGGATGTTTACTCCAGATCCTGCATTCGTCCTAGATAGAAGAACAAATGGCAAGTGGCAATATTTCATTAAAATAAGAACTAGTATGTGGAGCAAAGCAACGAGACATCCTAGTTAATATAGAACAATTTATTTCCCGTACTTTCATAATATCGGCATTTTTACATACCGAAACTGCATTTTTCTAATTACCAACTATCGGGAAACAAGTATTGATGCACTTAGGCGAATTTACCTGTTTCGCATAAATGGTAATTGCACTTTGACGCATCAATCCTTAGTTCTATCAAGTGAGAAGAAGTAAACCGACGCAGGCGAATGTGGCTTCTATGAGGAGTATGTTTACGGGTTGAACGGCACCTGGCAACTTGCTCTTGATATCACTTCTAAGATGAATGATAAGTGTAAAATAATCACTGATATTTTTTTAATTCCACCCTGCCGTGTATATAAGCTAGCACGCCGCGGATTTTCATTATCGCAGTCTTCGAGAGCAATCGAGATGGTGCTTAAGACGTCGGTGTTAGTTATCTTACTGTGCTCCTCCGTCATCTTAGCGGCCGATGCCGACAAAAGCAATGAAGTGCCCGCCGCCAAAAAGGACTCGAGTGACAAAAGTGAATTCAAAAAGTCCATCTCGAGGGACTGTGCGAACACCTATACGGCCACATGCCTGAAGCTGGATATCGTCTCCTGGGTGGACAAGCTGAACGAAAACGACGATTACAGTGTTATCCCAGGAGTTAGCGTGGTGCGGGAGAACGGAAGTGCCCGAGCGAATACAGCCGACATGGTCGCCGAACTGGCCCGGGACTTCCCCAACGACCCCAGCGCTCGCTTGGACGCGTTCATGGTCAAAAAGATCACCTCCTACTTGAACAGCCACTCGGTGCGACTAAACTTGTTCAACGCCGTTGACACCCAGATCGAGGAGGCGAGAGGCGGCGGCGGCGGCGGCGGTATGGGAGGTGGGGGCGGCGGCATGGGCGGCGGCGGCGGCAACAAAGGCGGCGGTGGCGGCGGCGGCGGCGGCGGTATGGGATACATACTCGCAGCAGGTGGTATGATGAAGGCTATGTTGCTAACCCTAGCTCTTGGTGGTATAGCCGCCATAGCCGGTAAGGCTCTAATGGCAGGTTTAATTTCGCTCGTGTTGTCGGCCATCATTGGTCTTAAGTCGCTGCATGGAGGACACAAGCAGACCACCTACGAAATCGTCTCCAAACCGGTGTATTCTCACTCCCAGTCTCACTCAGTTTCCCATGAGGATCATGGAGGGCATTATGGGCATTCCTCCTATGGTAGAAGCTTTGATACCGCGCCGTTACCTCTGGGCCTTCAACCAGATTACAAACCTAAATAATTTTAGTACCACCACAACTCAAGTCTTGATATTTATTATATTTATGAAATGTTGATAATAAAATATTTATTTGTTAACCGCTCGTTATTTATCTATATAATTATCGTAAGAAAATCACAGCCTATGGGATACATACTCGCAGCAGGTGGTATGATGAAGGCTATGTTGCTAACCCTAGCTCTTGGTGGTATAGCCGCCATAGCCGGTAAGGCTCTAATGGCAGGTTTAATTTCGCTCGTGTTGTCGGCCATCATTGGTCTTAAGTCGCTGCATGGGGGACACAAGCAGACCACCTACGAAATCGTCTCCAAACCGGTGTATTCTCACTCCCAGTCGCACTCAGTTTCCCATGAGGATCATGGAGGGCATTATGGGCATTCCTCCTACGGTAGAAGCTTTGATACCGCGCCGTTACCTCTGGGCCTTCAACCAGATTACAAACCTAAATAATTTTAGCACTACCACAAGTCTTGTTATTTATTATATTTATGAAATGTTGATAATAAAATATTTATTTGTTAACCGCTCGTTATTTATCTATATAATTATCACTGTTTTTGAACTTGTCCCCATTTTATTTTTTAATAAATGCCGATTTGTTTCTAAAGGTGAAAGCAAACAATCTAAACGAATTTTTGTTTTTTCTTTGATTTGCTCACTGCACATCCAATGCGACTACTAATTTAGAAGTTTGTCGAGTAAAAAACCGTGAAAAATTCTAATTTTAACTATATGCTGCCCGAAGATAACGAGGATGACAATATGTTATTGTGCTCCACTTCTGATCAAATTAGATAGTTTAATGTAACTATTAGTGGCAGCTTAAACCTGTCAAGGTATTAAAAAGTAATCATAACGTTACAATTACTTTCTAGCTTAAAGATGTAAGGTGTGATGGTTTCAATTAAAAAAAATGTTCAATTAAGATATTAACTGTAAATGAGCAAGTCACTTGCAAAAATGCACTTAAATGATTTAGAGATGTTTATAACATTATGGGAATTTATAAAGCCTTTAAATGAAGTTTATGCATGATACAAAACACATATTATAAAGATTAAACCTGATATAGCAATTTATGAATATAAATTATTAAACACTAAATAAGCAGTATCATACAAATTTAATACCAAGGCTTTAAACCCAATAATTAATTTTATTATGTATTTAAATATTTTATTAAGTTATTCGATTTTAATAGTATTTTTGATTCAAACACTTTTATTAATTGGTCTTCTTCTACTGATCCATTGTTCTGGATAATTATGATCCCTAACAGCAACTACATAATAATGTGAAAATGTAATAAATTTGTATCTAAAGCTGGTTTCTCATACTCTACAACATTTTAAAATAAATTTGACCATTTCAATTTTGGTCAATAAATAAGTGACCAATCTTCCAAAATCCTGTTTTTCAGGATACTGGGTGTAATTTTATCTAATGAAATGATGATATTTATTTCTCCAATGACGACAATTTTGTTTGTTAACATTTCCACTTAGATAAAAGGTGCACTCATCGCCGAGGGAAATGTTTTTTTAGTATTTGGATCTAAGTTGTTATAGAATTGTCCATGCTTTTCTTTGTTAAAAATAAAATTCGTATTTATACTTTAATATTAATATTTATTATATTTTATTACTTTTATATTTGACAAATAAATTTTCTTATGACTTAGTGAAAAAAACAATTAAAACTATTTATTTTAAAAATCATTAGCAATAAAACTAATCCAAGGTATAAAATAAAGTAAAACAGATACTAATTCGAGAAACAACAATCTCTCACTTATTGTTTCATTAAAATTACTAATTACTAATAATTTTAAGGAAAATATTACTTTCTTTTATTTATTTCAAATTATAGTTGATTATGATAAAAACTTTATTACTTAGTTAATAGTAACATTTATGAAAATTAAAGATCCTTTTGGATTTCTTTTAAAATGTAGAATAGATGTTGTACTTCCGGCTCCAAGTATTTTATATTTTAATTAAAAATAAGAAGAGACTATTTTAGTAGAAAATTGTATCACCCTCTAAAAGTATTTTTTTCTTTTCAAACATTTTTGGTCGATACCTTGCAAAAATCAAAGACGAAAAGTCTTTTACCATTTTTTTAGAATTCGCAAAATTGCGGGAGTTATTTCATTTTTTTTTTTCAAAAATAAAAAAATATTCTATTTAAGAAAAAAGCAATGACCTCTCAAGGGTTTCATTAGTTTATAAAAATAGGAGTTAAAAAACTTCTTAAGCATTAATGATGACAAGTTTGTTTGTAAAAAGGCTTAATAATTAGGTATGTGAAATATTAGATATAGAAGAAACTTTAGTGAATAGAATTTACGTAAGGACTTTAATGCTTATAATCCTACATAAATAAGTTGCAAAAAGAGAAAATGTATTATAAAAAAAATTTTATTTTGGTATATTTGAAGTAATCTTTAGAGATCGGATTTTAGTTTTATTACCTATTTGTCTACGCTAATCATAACATTAGGTGCAATGGAATAAAATCCGTCAAAAAAAGATTTCATTTGACCCTGATATTATTTTACCTATTTTAATTTTTTAGAGAAATGGACCTAAAATAATGTGATTTTATCTATTTCACCTAAATACTTATTTTTAATAGAAACCATCTAAAACATGCTTTTTTGTAATATTGGGGTTGTTGTATTTGGATGACATAATTCTTAGGCACTATGTAGTTAGTTTTGTTGGTAATGTGGTTGCCATTTTAAAAATTCTGGCAAATTTTTGTTTTTTATCGTTAGTATTTTTTTAAACATTTATATCATAATAAATGTGAATTTTCAGTAATTGAATGCTCATTTACAAAAACATTTCGTGCCGCAATCTTAAAAAATTATAAAATTTGAAATGATATTATGAATTATGATATTTTTACAATATACATTCGTCAGTTATTTTCAATATTTTCAAATCATAAAAATCATAAAATCATAAAATTTTATACAATAATAAATTAGATAATTTTACCACCTAAAAGTTGTTTTCAGTACTCTCTAAAAATGAATTAGTCAAAAATGACTAATTTAATAGTTATTAGTGGCTGCTTTTTCACTTGTACCATGGTATCCCAAAATTTAACAGCCAATTGTTATGTAAAATTGTCCCCTTAATCTTAAAATACCGTCAAAAATTATGAAAGTGGAGCAGTTTTTCAGATATAGTCAATTCCATATTAAACGGAAAATTGACTATATCTCAAAAACTGTTCTACTTTTTTAATTTTTGACGGTATTTTCGGATTCAGGGGGCAATTTTACATAAGAATTGGCTGTTAAATTTTGGGATACCATGGTACAAGTGAAAAGCCACTAATAACTATTAAATTAGTCATTTTTGACTAATTCATTTTTAGAGAGTACTGAAAACAACTTTTGGGTGGTAAAATTATATAATTTATTATTGTATAAAATTTTATGATTTTTATGATTTGAAAATATTGAAAATAACTGACGAATGTATATTGTAAAAATATCATAAACACATAACATAAATTTTGGGATACCACGGTATTACATGGTTAATCATGGTACAAGTTAAAAAGCAGCCACTAATAACTATTAAATTAGTCTTAAATTTACTGATTCGTTTTTAGAGACCTATTTTCAAAAAGAAAGTACCTTATTTATAAAATTTCTCACCCTCAAAAAGAAAAAAGTTAACCTGATTGGGTACATATTTTTATAAATTTTGGAACCTAAAATCCCATCATGTTTAATGCAAATATAGAATGAATACAAGAAATATGGAAAAGAATATAATTAAAAATATATACATATCATGTCATTAATTAAATTTAATTTTGATTACATAAAAAATTTAATATATGGGTAATCAACTTTAGTTACCTTATAACAGGAATAATTTTATGCAGGGAACAGGCACAAATTTTCCAAAAACACGATGTTGTAACTTATTTCTTGAGTATCAATTTTAATTATGACAAAGGCTGGTGGCCAGTGTAAAGTGACGGGTTGGGTGGATCTAAACGAAAAAGGAAGTGGAAAGACAGAAAAGCTCGACTTTAGATTGGCGGCAACAAAATTAAGTCATAAAAATTACAACCGTAAAATATAAGAACCCAGCAACTAGATCGGAGATAGTACGTACATTTGTTCTTTATGTTCAATGAAATTAACGAATTTGTGCCCGTCACTTACGCTCACAATTATTTCCTGCTCCACTAACTACATTCATAGATAGATGGACAATAATTTAGGTAACAGAAACCACCTTTTTTCCTCCAGATGTTCCACTATATAAACTTAAAGATTGCTATTGCTAACCATCAGTTGTCTCGAGCAATTACAACAACAATGTACAAGTATCTGTTATTTTTATTGGCAGCATCCGTCCTAGTGCTGGCAGAAGATGTCACTCAAAAACCTAGTGATCGAAGTGAATACAAGCGATCTCTATCAAGGGATTGTTCGAACAGTTACTCATTCACATGCCTCAAACTGGATGTGGTGTCGTATGTGGACAAGCTCAACGAGAACGACGACATCAGTGTTATTCCAGGAGTTAGCGTAGTGCGTGAGAACGGAAGTGCCCGAGCGAATACAGCCGACATCGTCTCCGACTTGGCCAGGGAGTTCCCCAACGATCCAGACGCCCGTCTGGACGCTTTCCTCCTCAAAAAAGTGCAGGACTACCTCAACTCTCACTCCATCAAGCTCAACCTGATGCAAGCAGCTCCGAGCGAGACCGCTCGTAAGGGCGGCGGCGGCGGGGGCGGCAAAAAGGGCGGCGGGGGGATGGGCTACCTGCTGGCCGCCGGCGCCATGATGAAGGGTACCCTCATGGCGGTGGGCATGGGCGCTTTGGCCGCCGTGGCCGGTAAAGCCCTGATGACAGCGCTGATCTCCTTGATGTTGTCCGCTATTGTCGGTCTGAAATCGCTGACGCATGGGGGAGGTAAGCAGACAACATACGAAATTATATCGAAACCTGTTCATACTCATTCATCTTCGCATTCTGCAGCCCATGAGGATGGTGGGCATTATGGGCATTCTTCGTACGGAAGGAGCTTCGACAGCGTGCCTCTTCCATTGGGATTGCAACCCACCTACACACCACCACAGTAGATTATTTTGACTAGGATGGGTTTTTAATTTATTTATTTATTTAAATATTTATTTGTTCGGTTGTGAATAAAAATGTTTTGTTCCTAAACTTTTTTTTTTATTTTAATATAATCATTCATTGTTTTTTAGAATAATTTTTTTTTTCAAAAATGCTATACCACGAAACATTATAAAGTTTTTAATATATTTTCTATTAGGTATTTGATGGAATTTGCTTAAAACATTCTTTTATGCTTCGTTTCACGAGAAAATTAACACAATTGTTTAAACAATGCATTAAAATATAAATTATATGGACTTCATCGTTCATTTAATAACAAATACGAATACAATGTTTAATATTATAAAAAATCTGAAAATTTTTTGGTAACAAATTTCATTAACCATATTATTTGAAAAACTCTCTCTTTGCTATTTGGTTTACTTTTCAGAAGCAACAAAAAACTTTTTTGCTTGAACGCAAATTTTTTTTCGGTTTAATTTTTTTCCATACATTAATAGGCATGGCCAATAAATATGATATCCGTACTATGAATCTCCTATAGTTTTTTCAGAAAAAAAATTGTTTTTTGCAAATAGAGAGTTTAAAAAAAAGGTAAACACAGAAATTAAACTTTAATTTAATAATCAACACTGAAAGAAATATATGTTTGTTTTAGCAAATGTATGTGGTTCATATATGGACTACCACATACATTGCTAAAACAAACATATATTATATTTAGTTTTAACATAATATGTTAAAACTAAATATAAAAATGGTTAAGGTAAATATATTTTATGTTTCATATATAGACTACCACATACATTGCTAAAACAAACATATATTTCTTTCAGTGAACTTGCAACATTTAAAAGAAAGACACAAACAAAAATTGGTATGCAAACGAAAAAATGCGGCTAAATGGATGTAAAAAAAGAGTTTTGCAAATAACCGATAACTCTTTAACCGATTTTATATAGCAATAAAACATTTTAAAGGTGGCAATACATTTGCAGATCATGATGAATTAGGAAAAAACGTAAATATTGATTATTTTTTCCTTAATGGCTTAAATTGTTTGCTAAAGGGTTTAAAAAAAAGTGTTATTTTTTATTTTTCCAAGAGTAATAGAACATAAAAGTAAATATTTTGTTTGGAAAAGTTATTACATTGCTCCACGAGCGAAATCCCGGCAAACATGCTTTTTAATATTTTTTCCGAAGGTACCACTGTCAGTTCAAATGCTCTGCGTAATCCCTGTAAACTAATGGTTAGGTATAGGGATATAAAAAAAATCAAACGAAACTTTTTGAACAATTTAATGACAAGTAAATATTTGAATTTGATTTGATTGTTTAAAGAGAATCGGCTATCTGGCAATTGTCCTAAGGCACGATTAGGATATCTTATAAATTTTTCCCAACCACACAAATTTAAACTAAGTAAGTAAAAAGTACTTAATAAATAATAAAAATATTAAAAAAAACTGCGATATTCCAGTTTTGGGATTAAAATGCAGCCCACCAAAATACTGAAAAAACCGCATTTTATTGATATAGTCCAAATCCATATGGACTAAATAACACTGTTATAAAATTTGTTAACATGAGTTTGTAGTTTTTTAACACATATTTTTTTAAAAAGCAAGGTTGTTAATTATTTTAACAAAGGAAAGTATTTTACCGAAAGTTTTGTAAAGGCAATAAGCAATTTTTTTAAGAATTTTGTTAATTTAAAAGGTTACAGATTAGATTGTTAATGTTTAACAAATTATTTCGTTGAAAAAGTCGCAATACTAACAACAAGTTCAACTGACTTCAGCGTCTGTAACTTATGTTTCTGCTTACTTTATTCTAATTCGTAACGTGTTGTAAGAACTGCCCAGTGTATTTATCTGTTATTCTTGTTATTCGGATTCCTTATACCTATTTAACGAGTGTGCGAAGTGCGAGTATTCAAAAAAAGATGCCATCACTAGTTTTCAAATTAAAATTAGGGAATACAGTGAAGTGGGTTAAAGTTACGAAGTGTTGTAGTACTGATAATTATATTGTACCAAATTTCTTTATAATTTGATGATTTCAGAATGGTATGGTATTTAATTGTGTGTATGTATGTATATTTTTAATTAATTAATAAAGCAATATTTCTTAACAAAATTATTTTCATTTAAACTACCAATTTCCAGAAATTACTTTTTTACTGGGTTTACAAAAAGTTTGTATAAATAAGGTCCTTTTTGAAAATTACAAGAGTTACGGTTGAATTATTGACAAAGGATTATGTTATTAAATCTACAAAGTGTTTGTTATAATTACGAACTACTTATTTAAATGGTTAACAGATTACAGTTTGTTGTAAACTTAACATAAAGTTAAGTGGACCTGGATTAACATAAAATCTGGTTAATATTTGGTTAATTAACAAATATTTGTTTACTGTGTAAGAAGCAAAATATAGAATTGACCAGGTTAATCAGAAAAACTATCCACATGAAAAAAAAGGTGTACCACTACCCCTAAGAAGCAAAATATAGAATTGACCAGGCTAATCAGAAAAACTATCCACATGAAAAAAAAGGTGTACCACTACCCCTACAATTATATTATTATATTAATTATTTTCTATTATAAAACTCGACAAAATTGAAAAAAGTACTTCCGAAGATAAAAATAACACTTAAAATTATTTCATTAAAACCCTGTGGCAATAATTAAAGCATATTAACTTTTGGAAAAGCATTTTAAAAAACTCCTCAATTATCTGCAACCATTAAGGCAATACCATAATAACTGAATAAACTAAAGACCTCTACATTTATCTATCCGAACTCAGCTTTCTTGACCTGGTTTGACTTAGACCTAGAAAGTACTGTTGCATCTTCAGTTATGTTTTAACATATTTTAAAAGATGTCGCTGTAAAGTTATGAAAAAATAAATACCAATTCTATATTATTGTCATTTTTATTTACAAAAAAAAAATAAATATTACCAATATTAATAAATAATCGAATTTTAAAAGCTGCAGTCATTTTTGTAAATTAGATTCAAGGACTAGAGGTGGACGATGATTGTGTACCAGGGTAGTATGAGGAGTAAGCCATATTTTGAGCGGCTTCCCTGGTGTTATCGTTTGAGCCAGATGAAGACCACACTCTGGAGTACGGTCCTCCTTGGTTGGGTTCCCAACCTGGTTCGTAAGAACTTGGTGGAGCCGTGGTTGGAGTGGGGGGGGCTCCGTACATGGGCGCTGGTGGCTCAGCGGGGGCCATGGACATCATTGGCATTGGCATACCTAGATGGTTATTTCATTATACAAATAATAAATTGTAAAGGGTTGATTAAAATTACCTGATTTAGCGCACAATTGGTAGATGATAAAACCTAGAACTAAAGTGATAGCCAATTTGCTGAGAATTAAGGCTTTCATGGCTTTAAGACCGATTAGGGCGACGAAGATTGGCATCAAGAGTTTCATTTTGAGTTTGAAGAGGAGCAGGATGGGCAGTAAAAGTTTCTTTTTGAGTCCCATGCCACGAGCTAAAAGTTGATTAATGACATAAGGGGTTGCACTATTATTTTAATACCTACATTCCAATGCAGCATTAGGCGATGTGATATCCAAACCGGATACAGGGTTGTAAACAATTTCAGTGTTCTCCATGATCACATCGGGAACTTTCAGTTTGAATTCATGGGTGTTGAGCACTCTAGCCGCTCTTTTGAAGATGGCAGCGTCGATGTTCTAAAAATGCACATTAACACCAAAAACTTAGTATAATTAAATCGCACCTTAGCGTTCCTGTTATCGCCCTGCAGATGAAGCACGTTATCCAAATAACCCAGAACATTTTGTTTGACACAACCGATTTCAGCACAGTTATCCAAGACGGTGGACACCAACTCATCCCCCGATCGTGGGGTGCCGATTTGGGCGGCGCATACTGCGACAACGGCTGCTAAAAGAACAAACCTGTTCATTTTGATGTTTGATTGATGAATCGATGGTGTTTGTTGTGTGGGCGCAGTTATATATCGATGACAATGGGGGTCACGGGATCGATTGCGTTTTGATTATTAATTGGCGCCGAAAACGTTTGGTTTTGTTTAAGGAATTGTTCCGCTACGAGAGATCCGGTGTCGCATGCCTGCGAAGGACGTGATGGTGCCTTTTGCTTTTTAAACAGCTTTCGCAAGAAAATTTTTAGTAAAGAAGCGTTTTACGATGAAAATAAAATTGTAAGTTTTTGGGATAAACACAGTAGTAAAGTAGTATGCTATCAATACAATTAACTATATTTAAATGATTTGAATTGTACAGTGGCAAAGCCGAGTCAAACTATTATAATTTTTTCTGACGATACAAATTTACTTGTAAGGTCAAATAATGCAGATGTACTTTACTGGGGTTGTTGAGGGTTGGTTCGCAGAAAATGAACTCAAACTCAACAAGGATATAAAAGATTTGAAAATATAAATACAGTTATTATTATTATTATTATTATTATTATCACTATTATTAATATTATTATTATTATTATTATTATTATTAATAATAAATGACTATACAGGGTGGTCCAGGATTAATCTGAAAAATTTTAATGATCGATAGAGCCTGAAAAAACAATAAAAACAAACCCAAAAACATTTTTTAAAAATACACACTAACACACTAATAGCCCTTCAAAGGCAAAAAAACGTTTTTTTTTTAAATAACTTCTGCTCAAATTTTGTGTACCTAGGTAAAATTTCCTACAAAAGGCCCAGCGGCGGATATTTTGTGGGGGTTTCCCCTTTTTACCCCCATATTTCGACACCACTGGATTTTATTGGAAAATCATCAGATTTCTTATTCAATTATCGATCATTAAAATTTTTCAGATTAATCCTGGACCACCCTGTATAAGTTTTATTTTTTTTATAAAATTTATTTTAAAATGCTATATACAATTTAATATTGTTTTTTTACTCCCACCTTTAAAACGCCCTTTATCGTACATGTTTCCATGACACTAAGTAACCTTTTAAATACACAAGTTGTGGCTTTACGGCGCTTTAGTCACTGGCTGAAGTTAGCAACAGGTTTTTAGTCACGGGCTGAAGTTAGTTTTAAGTTAGTTGACAGTTGTCAAATGTCATACAATCGTTAAAATAATGTGCCTTTCTTGTAAAATAATACTAAATGTGAAAATTATTTTATTATCTCAGTACAAAAATACAAAAATATTAAATAGTTTCTCAACGCCAATATTTGAAAAGTTATGTAGATATAAAAACAATTTTGTTGTAAAGTTTCACGAAATTTATTAAATTTTGACAGCTGTTTCGCTACACAGTAGCTTCTTCAGAATGTATACATTCTGAAGAAGCTACTGCAGTACACATGTGTAGCGAAACAGCTGTCAAAATTTAATAAGTTTCGTGAAACTTTACAACAAAATTGTTTTTATATCTACATAGTTAATATGGAGTTTCATCAAGTAAAGGTCGAAACAATTAATAATTTGAAAAGTTTATATGAACATTGTACTGACCTTTTAATTTTGCCGGCAGTAAACTATAACTTAAATTCGGGCACGGACTCTACTGTAAAGTCCTCATAAAACATTTCCCTTACCTTCACTGTGAAAAACTGTCAATTTTCAAGATACATTTCGATTTATAACCTTTATAATTGTGTTTATAAAATGTAAAAATGTGACATTTGACAGTTTCCCCTGTTGTTTCATAGATGGCGCTTTATACAAATTTTTGATTTAAATCATTTTAAGATAATAATAAGTATTTGTCGTAGAAAAAGTATAGTATGCACCTCGTTTATAAACTTTTCTATATCTCATTAACTTAAGCACTTGCTCGTGCCTAAATTAAATTCGTGTATAAAATGGCGTTTATCAAACTCGATACATAATATATACTCCTACATTGACGAGCTGTGACTTTATGGCGTTTTATTAACGGGCTGAAGTTAACAACAGTGGCTTTTCGACATTTTACGCCACGGGCTGGTGTTAGCTTTATTATAAATTGGGAAAAAGTGAGGTTAAATTCGGGTGACAGTTGACAGATGTCAAAATTTTAACAAATAAAATTGGCTTTAAATTCTGTTTTGTGTTCGTCGTAGATAAAGTATAGTATGCAACTCATTTTTAAACTTCTCTAGACACTCGTTTTTATTAAACACTCGCTCGCAAGCTTTGCTCGTGCTTAATTAAACTCGTAACTAAAATGGCGTTTATAAAACTTGATACATAATATACTATTTTCTACTCCCACCTTTAAAACGCCCATTATCGTACATGTTTCCATGACACTAAGTGTACTTTTAAAGTTGTGGCTTTATGGAGTTTTAGTCACGGGCAGAAGTTAGCAACAGGTTTTAACTCCCGGACTGAAGTTAGTTTTAAGTTTGTTGACAGTTGTCAAATTTCACAAAATCGTTGGAATAAAATAATATTAAATGTAAAAATAATTTTATTATTTTAATACAAAAATACAAAGTATTAAATAGTTTCTCTACTTTTACATATACCAGCTGTGTCGTTTTAGTCACAGGCTAAAGTTAGCCTTTTAATAAATTTTAAAAAGTTGACAGTTGACAGTAGGGAATGCAATCTTGGTATACCAAGATCTCGCACTAATTCCGCAAGATTAGTCTTGCACGAAAATCATGCGCGATCTCGCAAGATTTGCGAGATAAGGACGCAGCGCATTTCATGTGTGTTTTGTGTTTTTTGAGAAGTCATTTTTAAAATAATGTGTAGTTATTTCAATAAATAATTTTGCTGCAAAATTGCATTCCCTAGTTGACAGTTGTCAGATTTTAAATGTTTGTGTTAGTCATAAAAAAGTAGTATTCAATTCGTTTATATACTTTTCTAAACAATAGTTTTTTATTAAACACTTGCAAGCTTCGCTCGTGCATAATTAAAACTCGCGACTAATATTCCGTTTATCAAACTTAATGCAATATTATACCTAATTTACTATTAAATTTACTTTGATGGAAGAAAATTTATCGTCTTCCAAATTTTATGTTATTTAATTGTAAAAATAATAAAATTTGTGATTAAATTACTATACAATTAAGAAATATATAATAAAACGAGTAATTAAAGTATGTCCTGAGTATTTTGGGGTATGATATAACGAATATTTTTTTTATGTTTGCGCAGCACGAGTACAAATAGCAAGCGCTATATCATACTTCAAAATATCGAAATATATTTTTGAACACGAATTTGAACCAAAAATTTAAAAACTTCAAATCACAAAAATAAAAAATTATAAAATATTTACCTATTAGTACTAGTACCTACAATATTTCCTGAAATTTGTACTAGCCAAATATTCGCAACAATTACTTTTGATTGGTCAAAAATTGACAAATAAAACGCTCTGAATGGCCGATTTCAATATTTACTGTGATTTGAACCAATCAGGTTTTAAATTGGGAGAAGGCGACTATAATAATATTTAAAATTGGTAGAAAGTAAGGTTAAGCAACTGACAGATGTCAGAATTATTTATTTATTTTTGAAAATCATTTAATTATTCACTAATTAGAGTAGATAAAGTATATTAATATACTCGAGATTATGCGCATGTTTGATATAATAATATTTTATTTTTTATAAAATTAAAACTACAATTTTTTATGCCAAATTATCAACTTTTATACCATATAAAATCTGCATTTAAAGAAATAATAAAAAATCCTGCATGTACAGTTTAAATGAAGTATTTTTTTTAATAAAAAAGCATATGCAGATTATGAAATAGCATTATCATTGTTATTTTAGTTAACACCTGATATTTTTAAATATTTAAAAAATGTTTTTGATTTCATTTCAAAAATATACAGGGTGTCCCGAAATTGGCACACTAACGCCATAGCTTTTGTATAGCTTTTTATTTTGTATTGTTTTAAAAATATTTATTTTCCAATGATATAAATAAAAAATTAAAAAAATTAAGTTAACAAAGTTATAATATTAAGTTTTGATTTTTTGACAGTGTTGTTTAATCATAGCTGCCCTATTTAAATTGGTGGTATAAAGCCTTTATAATAAAGGATGTACATATAATATTTCAGCCTAACAAAGCATTTGCCGGGTTTTTTAAATTTAAATTTTAAGTAACTCTGCTAGAAAAATTCTAATGATGTTAAATTAAAGCTTCTCGATAATCAACTATGTTAAAATCATTCAATTTTGAAATTAAAAAAAAATTAATAATGTGTACTCAAATTTTAAGCGACAAGTCTGTCCCTTATCTAAAATAAGAAATTACTTTTTTCTCACAGGATATATATATATATATATATATATATATAAATTAAAACAATAACATTTATATAACAACTTTATTTTTATCAACCAAATCAATAAATTAAATAAATATCACATCAACCATAAAACCTATTGACCGTCAGCATAACCCTTGTAAGCCAACTGTTGAGCATCAACATTATCAGACCTAGCAAGGTGGTCGTGATGAACATCATGCCAAGCGGGGTGTTCGTGGATTATCTGGGGATGATGATTGTCATGGCTGATTTTTCCGCAGATTTTCCACACGGCCATACCTAGAGCAGCTACGAAGGATACGAAGGAAAGTTGAATGGCGTTCCAGGATTTGATTGCTAAGACTCCAAGAGCTAAGGGGATAAGGGTCATTGCTTTGAGGAGGATGAAGACCAAGATTGGGATGAAAATTTTCTTGAGTTTGCTCTTCTTGCGTGCTAAAAAGTAAAGAGATTTATAAGAACATTACTTTTCTATTTGTAGATTAATACCTTGTACTTCACCACCAAAGTTCAGCTTAAGATTTAGTTCATCATTGTCGATGTTTTGAGAACCCAATGTTACAGATCCAATGACTGGTAGATTGACCGTTACATCATTGGATTTGATGTAGTTTTTAACAGTTTCTTCCAAAGAAATGTCACTTCCTGTACTTTTTTCGTGAACACCATTGCTTGCCTAAAACGTTCATGTTACAAAATATTCACTTCATCATGAAATTAAATTACTTCTAATAAATTATCCCATAAAGAACCTTCAACTTTGGCAGCTGGTCCAGCATTTGCCACTGCCAAAATGGCAAAAACCCCAAAAATAATTTTACCACACATCTTCACCACACTAAAGCAAATGCTGAATGACAATGTCAATTAAAGGTACCCCATGTATTTATACTACAATTACAAGAAGTGGTATTATGGTGGAGTAAATTTTAGAAGTAGAAAGTGATTGGACTAAATATTCTTATCTAAATTTGTACGAAGTGGGATCCGTTTTGATAAAGAATGCTATGTGACTATGAGTGAATAATAATTGATTGAGAATAGAATAGGCATGTTGGTATTTAGTTTAATTATATATGTAAATGTGACTTTTAAATTTTAATTTTGGTATTGTTTAAAATGTTTATTATTACATGTGTATATTGTTTTTTATTTTTTTTCTTATTTAGTTTTTGAAATATATTCTACAGGAGTGCAAAACATATTTATTAAATAAAAGTAAAATATATTTAACAACTGATTTTTTTACATTTATATTGCAGAAAAATACATTCAAATATATTTGGTTTAGAATTATGGTTAAACATTTCGTGTTTATAAATATTTAAAATGTATATCACATTAAAGCTAAATAACCACTTTAAGGAAAGTGTAAAGAAAACTATGCTGTTGCAATTTTAATTTTATTGTTCGTTAAAATGTTGCCTGCAAATCAATTTGTTTAGTGGGTAAATAGGTTATCTTATGTATTATTTTGAAAATTTATAAGTATCTACTTATTCAAGCAATTTTAATTTTTTCAAACGATTCTTAAATTTTGTACAGTTTATATTTTGGTACAAAAACAACAATATTAAAAAAAATTATATAGAGGTTGTCCTGAAAATAGTGCCCTTAGACCATATTACGTCATAGAGAAGGTTTAGTATAAAAATTATTAAAACAGTTTTAGTGGATTTTATGTATACCAATATCTCAGTTATTAGCCATGGGATCCACACCAAATTTATAATAGTTTATAATGACTTTAAATAGACAAGTTCGGCGCAAACAGAATTTAAATTGAAGTTTGCTAAAAAAAGTTAGTTTTTTCTGTTGCCTCACCCGCCTCGAGGCCCACCTATTTGAGATAATTTAAATTAAAGTGGTGCAATTTATTATCTACTATAATTTATCGACAAATTTAAAATTTTATTTAAAAAATCCAAATATTACAGATTCGCCGAACTTGTCTATTTAATGTCATTATAAACTATTATAAATTTGGTGTGAGTCCCATCTCTAATAACTCAAATATTGGTATACACAAAATCCACCAGCCGCCACTGCTAAAACTTGTTTGACACTACAGGGTGTATTAAGTTTTCTATATTATTTTAATTTAATTTTTAATTAAAAAAAAGTTAAGTTATTACAAGTCTATTAAAATAAAACTTATAAAATATTAAAAAAAACTAAAAAACTTTTAAAAATAAAAATCCTTATTACTTTGTTATTCCTGGAAATTTAAAATTAAAGTAAGTTTTAAATGTACACATCAATCTACATTTTAATCCAATTTCTTCGCTACTATGTTTTGAGATAAAATCACCATGACAAAACATTGTTTTGTTTCTATAGTATAGTTTATTACCTACATCGTTGAATTCCTGGATTTTTTTTCTATTTAACCATATAAAATTTCGATACGGCGGCCAAGGAAAAACCAAAGATGGTAGTGGTAACTCAAAATTTAGTATGTGAAAAAAATTACAAATTTAATTAAAATGCCTTTAAATGCGAAACCATTTTTTTTTTCAGAATTCACAAAATTAACAAAGTTATAACAATGTTTGGTTTTGACAGGTTTTCAGTTTTTATCAAATCATTTGAGAACCTCATATTTTTTTTAAATTTGTAAATGCCATTTTAATTAATTTATAATTTGTCTCTAATCAAACCGACCTTGTAGCTCTTTAAATCTCTGAAAGAAAGAAAAAGACACCCATACATAAAAGGATACAAGATGCACCCTGTATAGAAGGTTTTTAAAAAATACTTTATTTTCTTTATTTTAATGCTTTATGACCATTTATTTTCATAAAACACAATTCTCATCAAAAAAAGTTATTATTATAACTATAATTTTTCCACACAAACTGTCAACCATGTCAATTATTTCTATAAAAACTGTTTTTGGACGTGCAATTTTCACTTTATTAGGCACACAGTGTTGCAAAATTTTCTTAACTTAAATGTTCAATAACTCGAAAACTACCTAAAAATATTATTAATTTATAGTAATGTAGTATAGTACCTAAAGTTTAAAATAAGTTTAAAGTTGGAGAACATTTTTTATTAAATCAATTTTTACAAAATGGCAAATGCCAGTGGGGTAACTACCACCGGTCTTACCGGTTTCAGAGACCGGGGCCCCCAGAAGTGGCAAGATCTAATGTATAAGAAAAATGATTAATATGAAAAAATAAAAATTTTGATTTTTTGTAGTAATAAATATTCGCCATAAATTCGAAATCGAATACTTCACATCGAAAGTCTGAAATTTTGAATAGGAAATATACATTTTTAGTCAAAAATAGAAATTCAGAGATGAAAAAATAAAAATGAAAAATTTGCAATCTAAAATAAGAAATTTTCTATTTCACATTTTGGATAAAAAAAATTATAATAAAGCATAAATTTGTAGTACTAATTAACATAATAAGACAGTTTGAAGTATTGGAATAAAAATATTCTTTGAAACGTAGATCTGATTTGAGTATTATACCATAAAAATAAAATGTTTTACGTAAATAACACTTGATTTTTTTTTTTCAACAACATTTTTATCCGTACCTTAAATAATACATCCCTTCGAAATCCTGAGTCACGGTGTTGGAGTGGGAAAATTTAAATGATTCAAAAAAAAAAATTCTGGTGAGGGCCCCCTAGTGAAAATCCGACTGAGCCCCTATTTCTATAGTTACGCCACTGGCAAATGCGCATTATTAATTTGTTACATGGATGTTTTTTTGATAAGGTAGATTATTTCCCTCATTATAATATGAACCAATCCAAAACCTTGAATTTTCGAAAAAATTTCGTTTAAATAAGCGATTAAATCACTAGAACTATTTAACAGCGATTAAATTTTAGCCTCCATATTGGATTTTTGTTTACGATTTTATGGTGTTATTTACAAGTTTTAACAAACATTTTTTAAAAAACAATAAAAATAAGTTATCTAGTTTACGAAATATCAATTATTACATACCTTAAATTAATGGAATTTTCTTTAAAAAAATATTTATAAATTTTGACACATACGTCAGATTTTATGAATTGTCAAATAGTTTCCTTTAATTCGAGAAATAATCTAGACGTATATCACTCAACCTATAAATTTAATCTGTCAAACTATGCTTTAAGTTTTTTATTTGATTTTTCTTTTTGGAAAATAGTTTCATGCAAAATAATTATAAATAAATTATATTGCATTCAATATTTTCCAAGAAAAACCAAACAAAAAACTACTGAGCCTAGTTTTACCGATTAAATTCATAGTTCTCGTGATATAATATATGATAATATACAAAAAAAACACAACTAAAAATAATTAATTTCAATTTTAAAATTTATTTACTTAATAAATAACAAAAAATCATAAATAAATAAATACAAGTCTTCTATTTCTTTCTATTGTGGGGCGTATGCGGAATAGGCCATATCCTGGGCACCATCCAAGGACCTGTACTGGCTGGCGTAAGCCTGGGCTTCCCAAGGACCGTGGGCGGAGATCTGTGGGTGCGCGCTATCAGCGGCGATCTTCTTGCACAGCTGGAAGATGGCCAAGCCAACGGAAACCACGAAGGAGAGGAAGGACAGTTGAAGGGCGTTCCAGGCCTTCAGACCCAAGACCCCGAGAGCCAGAGGTACCAAAGTCATGGCTTTGAGAAGAACGAAGACCAGGATGGGGATGAAGATCTTCTTCAGCTTGGATTTACGGGCTGAAAACGATTATTAGTTTGCTATCTAGTCCTAAAAGAATACGTTACCTTCTTGCACACCGTTGTTGTAGTTGACTTTGAAGTTGATTTCGTCGTTATCCAAATTCCTGGCTTCAACAGTTACAGCTCCTACCACGGGGAGTTTGAAAGTAGCATCATGACCTTTGATGTATTCCTCGACATGATCTTCAATGGATGCGTCACCTCTGCTTGTAATTTCGTTGGATCTGTAACTATTCTTGTTGACTTCCACATTTTCCATTTGGAAGTTGTCCTTCGAGAGAATGGTATCCAAGAAGGTGATGGCTTTAAGCTTCAAGCAGGCGATGGGGTCGTCTTCTGCACACAAAGACCTCGTTTCGTCCATGTTGGAAAACAAGGAATGTTTGGCTGGTGAAGCACACGCCAAACCCACTACAGCTAATGTCACGCACACTTTGAAGAAGGCCATTGTATGTTCACTGAATGACGAGTGAGGAAGGAATGATGCGGTTTTCAACGCACCCCAGGTTTTTATACCGAAGTGGAAGGAAGTCAATATGAAGACGTCATATTCCTAATTTGATATGTGGGTTGTATATTAAAATAAAACTGTTCGATTTAACGCCATGTGTCGATTGAATACTAATTTTTAAGTTCGACAATATCTGATCTGTTGGGTGTTATTATAATACCTATAGGTGCACAATTTGATATTCAGTACGTGGTTATCGATATCTAGGGCGATGTTACTTTTGTTGATGATTTTTAGTCAATTTTCAGTGAAATTTCGGTGCTCTTTACATACGATTTTGCCATTTGAACTACTTTGTTGTTTTCTGCAAGCTTTCTGTCTGGGATTTGAGGAAATTTTAAATTATCTTGCAGACAAAGAAACAACTACACAAAAGTTAATGTACCTAAAATGTTTGGTTAATTCAACAAACATTTTAGATAGGTAAAAGATATAAATTGTTTCTAAAAAAATTCTAGATTATGTTGTTTTGAGGATACAATAAAAATCTGGGATTGTTATATAATTCAAGTACTTTAAAGGGTAGGTTTAACATGTGTATGACATCTTTAAAGTTTTTGTTTTATATTATGCTTTCTTGAAAAAACAATATTAAGTTAATGTAATCCATGGCTAGAGTAGAGCAATAAACAGGTAACAATTTGTAAAATTAAATTTTCTACTTGTATAAGATTTTATTTTATGACCCCGTTTATGAAACACCCTGTATAGTATTTTTACGTATATATTTACAGTACAAAATAGTTAAATATATAAATTAAAATATAATAATGATAATATTTATTGTTTGCAAAAATACATAGATTTAAAAATTACATAATATAAAAATTATAGTAAATTACAACTATAAATATGCTAGATATGATACACAGAAATGCCACAGTGTGCACTTGTACGTACAATAAAACTGTATACAAAAACTTGATATAAATGATATAAATATAACTAATAAAATACGCAAAAATGTACTAATGTGCACTTGAAATATATACAATAAAAACATATAACTTAAAAATTTAATTATAATATAATTTAATATAAATATGATATAAAAGCAAAAATATATCAGTACACTAAAAATAACTTATATAATATATATAATATATTATATAACTAGCTGATAAAAAAATGAAATTTTGCTATGCTATCTAAAATGAATTAGTCAAAAATGACTAATTTAATAGTTATTAGTGGCTGCTTTTTCACTTGTACCATGGTTAATCATGGAATACCATGGCATCCCAAAATTTAACAGCCAATTCTTATGTAAAATTCCGTAAAAATTATGAAAGTAGAGCAGTTTTTGAGATATAGTCAATTCCATATTAAATGGAAAATTGACTATATCTTAAAAACTGTTCTACTTTTTTAACTTTTGACGACATTTTCGGATTCAGGGGATAATTTTACATAAAAATTGGCTGTTAAATTTTAGGATACCATGGTATTCCATGGTTAACCATGGTACAAGTGAAAAAGCAGCCACTAATAACTATTAAATTAGTCATTTTTTACTCATTAATTTTTAGAGAGTGGCCTTAAGAATGTATATTGAAAAAACTTGTTTTTGACGGATTTAAGACATTACCATGTATTTTAAAATATACAAACCTTAATTAGTCGTACGGGGGCACTAAGTGCTCTCTTGAAACAGTCCTATCAAAAATTACAAAATACGCTATTAACGTATTCTCTAAAAAGAAGAGGTGTACCTAGTTATATGAGCAATCATATATTTTTTACTTGATCATTTTAACTGGCCTTGTATTTTTACACAAATTTTGATAAATGTGATGGAATTAGCCAATATTATTAATTATTATTTATTATTATTATTTTATTATTAATCTACTAGGCTTGGTTTGAATTAGCGTGCCGTATATTATACATTAGACTGGGCCAAAAAAATCGACTATTTTTTTTTTAAAGTATATCGAAAATATGGTTTGGGGTGACAAAAAAAAATTATTGTGAAAGTTTGAGTCCATAATATTAATATTAAGAGGTCTATCATCGCAGTTTTAATTTTTTTGTTCCTCAGCAAGTTTTAGGCTCAGAACTCCCAAACCATTGAGTTTAACAAAATTGACTAAAAATATTTTTTTAAGAAAATTAAATGTTCTACAAAAAAGGGTAAAGTAAAATTTTCCGTCATATGAACCGTTTCCTTAAAATCATGCCTTAAAAATTGGTATAGTTTTACATTTTGATCTTTTAAATTGGAATTTTGTAATTCATGTAAAAATCTGTACCCATAATAAACCGATAAATATTCTTATGGGAAATCAAATGCTTTACAAAAAAAGCCTCTTAACATTTTTGGCTAAATTACCTCAATCAAAAGTTATTCAAGGTTAAAATTTTATTTTGACTCAAATTTAACCTTGAATAACTTTTGATGGAGTGAATTTAGCCAAAAATGATAAAATACTTTTTTGTAGAGCATTTGATTTCCCATAAGAATATTTATCGTTTTTTTTCAGGGTACTGATTTTTACTGAATTACAAAATTCCAAAGTTAAAAGATCAAATTGTACCAATTTTTAAGGCAAACTTTCACCATATTTTTTTTGTCACCCCAAACAATATTTTCGATATACTTTTTTGGCCCAGTCTAATATACATGCATTATATTAATTATTTATTTATTTATTTATTTATTTATTTATTTGAACTAGGTGGGGTACATATTATGATGCAAGCATACATAAAATCTGCTAAATTCTAAACTACTTAATTAGTTTAAACTAAAAAAAAACTAAAACTAAAAAAACTAATACTAAACTAAATTCTAAACTACTTAATTAATTTGTATTTACAATTCTACCAACTTTTCACAAAATAAAGATTGAATATTAGAATAGTTTTAAATTTCTGAAATATATTTTTATTAAGTTTTATCACATATGATTTGTTTTCAGGCAATTATTTTTTGATTTTTAGTAGGGCTTGTATATTTTCTTTTGTGTTATATATAAAAATAAGCTATACTACTTTTATATTTTGGCGCAAATACTTAAGGGTTAATTTTATTTTAGAAATATAATAAAGTACTAAATATTGCTTTTAAATTACTTAATTTTATTAAATAAATAAATAACAAATCCATAAATTATTTTAGTTGTTGTGTGCACTGTAGGCAATATCTTGAGCAGACAACTCTCTGCCGTATCCATGGTGATGATCCCAAGCAACAGGTGCGTGTTCAATATGATGATCAACGTGGTGAGGGTAGTGGACTACTTCGTAGTTTACAACCTTTAGGAATAAAAATTATTTAGAGTACCAATCGTTTGAATCATTTGTGGAAATTACCTTTGGTTTGGTGAATTTGAAGATCAACATGGCTCCAGTGAGTACCATGGAGAGGAGACCCAAAGTGAGAGCCTTCCATGTTTTTAAAGCGATCAAAGCTAAAGCGAGTGGTACCAAAACAGCGGTCTTGAATTTCAGACCCAACAAGAATGGGACGATCACTTTTTTGACGAGCTTTGATGAACGACCGGTGGCAGCAAGAGGCACTTGAACGTCTTCAGGGGTGAAAGACCTTGGCAAAAGGCTTCCCAGAGGACCTTGAGAGCTAAGGATGGCAGGTGGTTTGGCTACCAAGTCGTGAGTTTGCAGGAAGGAATCGAATTTATCAAAAATATCCTCGGATATTCCACGTTGTTCCTAAAATATATTTATATTAATATTGCACTTTCACAACAAAACGTCTACCTCTTCTTCAGCATTATCCTTCTTGACGATCACCAAATCCTCGGTGACCTTGATCACAGGTTTTTCTGCCACCTCACTCATCCAATTTAAAGCCTTAGGCTTGACACAGCTGACGGAAAAATCCTGCACGCAGCCATGGTACATCTCCTGCAGTAAATCGACGGCAGACTTATCAGCGCCAGCTGACACCACCAAGGCTGTTATAGCGAGCAAGAACTTCAAACTGACCATGTTGCTGGCAAATGAGAAAAACTACAAATGATAATAAATAAAACTCATGTAGTGGTTTTATATATTCGTTAGCGGAAATAGAAACCAAATGCGACAATTGGGGCTGTACGTGACGGGCATGCGACGCATTTTTAACATTGCGATTCGTTTTCGTTGATTATTGAGTTGGATAGAAATCCAGGTCCTGCATCAAAATTCATTAATTAATCATGATAGCAGACGTTTAGTGTTTTATTGGTATCAATTAGTATAAGTAGATATTTCTTTAACTATGTAAGTACCAAGGTTTTCTAAGGCATTTTTGTATAAATATATTCAAGTTTTAATATGTTTTTTTTTAATGTTTTTTTTTATATATAACATAATACCTAAATAATCGAATTTTACTTTTGTATTACACAGGGTGTCTAAAAATGGCGGACCTCCTTGTAGATCTCCCTTATTTGTACCATAACATTTTTAAGACAAGTAGTTTTTACGTTTAAAAAACTCTGCGAGCTCGATTTAAGAAATAACTAAATATATAACCCATCTACAGCGACTTTAAGTTAAAATGGCTGACAGATATATTTTCTGATAGTGTTTAAAAAATTCCAAACTTATCTAATCATAAATTTAAATAAAGTTTAAAAAAATTAATTTTTAAACCCTTTTAATTCGAAAACTATTTTTCAGCTTTTTATTTTGTAAAGTTACCTTACAACGTGGTCCGCCATTTTCCAAACACCCCGTATATACTTGATGGTAAAAATAGTATATTTGTGAAATTTAGGCATTATATTCTCAAAAATAATAAACAAAATATTATATTCTTACACTACACCTTTTCCAGTTGATATTCAGAAAGTAGCAATTGATATTCAGAAAGCAGCAATTGATTTTCAGATATTGCAAATGAAATTCAGAAAATAGCAAATGTAATTAAGATATTTCAAATGATATTCAGAAAGTAGCTGATGTAATTAAATTGAATATTCAGAAAGTAGCAATTGATATTCAGAAAGCAGCAATTGATTTTCAGATATTGCAAATGAAATTCAGAAAATAGCAAATGTAATTAAGATATTGCAAATGATATTCAGACAGTAGCAATTGATATTCAGAAATTACAAATAGTATTCAGACAGTAACAATTGTAATTCAGAATATGTCAATTGAAATTCAGAAATTAACAAATGATAATATTTTCATACTTCATTTTACTTATTTTCAAAAATCTCAATTCTTTGTAAATTGCTTTGTTTCCATGGAATTGACAATTATAAACAAATTTATCACCACTTAAGTAGGTATATTTGTCATAATTGTCAACTTATTGCAAGTTAGAACCGAATTTTGTTCATTTGTACTTTATATAAATTTAATTTACTTAGTTAATAAAAATAACGTGTACTTTCATTCATCATCAATTTACTGTATGCAACCCAATGTTCCTGAAACAATTGCTGCGGCTGAATTACATTTGATTTAATTTGAAAAACATTTGCTACTTTCTGAATAACAATTGCAAGTTTCTGAAAATCAATTGTGTTATCTGAATTACAAGTGCTACTTTCTTAAAATCAATTGTGTTATATGAATTACATATGCTACTCTCTTAAAATCAATTGGAATAGCTGAATTACAATTCCTAATATCTGAATATCAACTGGAATAACTGAATTACAATTCCTACTTTCTGAATATCAACTGGAAAAGGTGTAGTAATGAGTAATGAAAATATTGTATTACTAGTGGAACAATGAAATGTAAGAAGAAGAAAAAAACAAATAAAAATAATAAATTACAGCTATTTTCTACATACAATAATAAATGTATATTAACTTTACAATTAAATTGTAAAGTAATGTAAATCCCAAAAATAAACTATACATAACTTTGCTTAATTAATTATACAGTGTCCAAAAAGTTCTAAACTTTATGTAAGCAAAAATTTAAATAAAGTTAAAACAAATTAATTTTATACGAAATCGGCAGAAAGTAGTCAATCGGCAGTAAAGTAAAATAAATCGGCAGTAAAGTTCTACTTTACTGCCAATTTATTATAAAAATGTATGCAACCCATTATACATTTAAGATGTGTCTACTGCTCCTCAGCAGCAAGTTTACTTAATTGATACTAAATAATACAGTGTACAAAAAGTTCCAAACTTTATGTAATCAGAAATTTAAATAAAGTTAAAAAAACTAATTTTTAAACCTTTATAATTTAAAAACTATTTTTCAGCTTTTTTATTTTGTAAATTTACCTTACAACGTGATTCGCCATACACCTTGTATATACTTGATAGTAAAAAAGTATATTTGTGAAATTTAGGCATTATACTCTCGAAAATAATAAACAAATTATTATAATGTTACACTAGTAATGAGTAATGGAAATATTGTATTACTAGTGGAACAATGAAATGTAAGAAGAAGAAAAAAAATAAATGTAAATAATAAATTACAGCTATTTTTTTACATACAAATTATAAATGTATATTAACTTTACAATTAAATTGTAAAGGCAAATAATCCCAAAAATAAACTATACTATTAGTTTATGTTTTTTTAACATGACTTTTATGTAATCAGAAATGTAAGTAAGTTAAAAAAAATTAATTTTTAAACCCTTATAATTCGAAAAAAATTTCGGCTTTTTTGTTTTGTAAATTTACCTTACAACGTGGTCAGCCATTTTCCAAACACCCCGTATATACTTGATAGTAAAAAAGTATATTTGTGAAATTTAGGCATTATACCCTCAAAAATAATAAACAAAGTATTATATTATATATATACACAAGTAATTAGTAATGAAAATATTGTATTACTAGTGGAACAATGAAATATGAGAAGAAGAAGAAAATAATTGTTAATAATAATTTACAGCTATTTTTTTTACATACATACATGAATAATACATTTATAATTAAATTGTAAAGACAAATAATCCCAAAATGTTGGTATCAAACTCTCTATGAAAATTTTGGGGTCTCATTATTTTTATTTTACCTAATTATAATTAATAGTAATTATGGGTGAAAATCCAGATTTGACAGATTTTTATGGGTAAATGTTTGTAATTTATGGCCTTAAACATAGATCTCAGCGACCGCGCGGACTAGGCGGGGACCCCTGATCTTAAACATTAACTGAATTAAGTTTAGATTTTTTGTGTAAAATATTGTTTAAATGTTACAAATAACAATTTATTCACAATAAATCGATAAAAAAAAATAATGATAAAATTAATAATATTGTATCACATTTTTATTTTTAGTATTCACATCTATACAAAACGTAATTAATAAAATAAATTAATTAATAAATACTACTTACAATAAGTATAAATGGAAAAACTATTTTAATTAATTAACAATTTTATACAGAAAAATTGTCTACCTGAATCTGATTCCTATAATAATTTAACAATAGAAAAATATTAAATAAATAAATTAAATAAATAGGTTAATAGTAAAATAAATTAGGAAAATGATTTAACATTTATCTATTTAAAACACTAGAATAACTCATAGCTCTATATCGCTCTATATAGAGGCATTTGTTTGAGCACACCCTAAATTAAACAAATAAATAATGAATATTTACAAACGTATCTTATTTTAAAAAAGTAGTAATGTCATAAAATTTGTACACCAAATCAGCCCAATTTGAAAAATTTAGAAATATTTAGTCTTACACCCTTACGTAAATTATAATTTAGTTTTGTTAAATCTTACAACATTACTAATAATAAATAAATAAATAAATACTTTTAGAACTTTAAAGGACTAGCAAAACTTTAACCATGAAATAATAATAAATTAAAACCCTGAGAATTAATTTAATTATTAATTTGTGTAAAAACTGTTTTTAATAATTCTTGTCCAATTTAAAATTGTTTTTAATTTCGTTTAGCTGGCTGACAAATATTTTTTCTAAAAATTTAAATAATACAGTGTAGGGTTATAGGTTATTATAAAAATATTTGCTTGGCACATACAAAAAAATAAAAACTGGTTTCAAAAACTATCCAAAGTAATAAATACTTTTAAAATTATACGGATAGCGTACAGTTTGACCTACTCGATTATTATTTATGACTGAATAACAACATTTTTAACAGTTATTTGAGTCAATAGTTCACAAAAGTCTTTAACTCATAAAAAAGTCTTTTACGATAAGTTTCTCGAATTAGTTTTTTAAACAACACTTTAATTGAATATTAATTTTCTAGTTTCATTGTTTCACTATACTTCTTTCTCTTCTATATTTTTTGTTGTTCTTCTTCGATTAAATGGTTGTTTATTGCTCCGTATTAACAGCACATGTTGGATACAATCTAAGACAGTCCCTTTTATCTTGACCATCTCTTGCTGCTTGCACGTATTTGTAGAACCTTACCACAGCTGCATTTGTTGCGGTCGGTTTTTGAAGTTCATTGGAATCCCTAAAATATGAAATAAATAGTTTAATTGAAATATTTGAGTATCCCGGCGCATCCGCCATTTTTTAAATAAATATTTAAAAAATGGCGAATGTTTCAAAACATAAATGTAACAATTATTGTCATTTTGTTCACCTAGAAAGTTTTTGCAGATTTTTTTTTTTTTTTTTTAATATTTACCAGTGAAGTAAAGAATCAGAAAAATATTTTACAGAAATCAATTTAGTGAGTAATAACTGTACAATTTTTTAGCTTGATATTTAATACAACTAAATGAGTTTGACATACAATAAAATCATCAGTTAAAAATTTAAAAAAATAATTTTTATAACCATTTATGTAGGTGTTACAAAAATTGATTCTATCCTCCGTGAATCTGTTTTTGCTTTAAATTTTATGCAACGGATGGGACTTTAATCATTTTAATTAAGCAAAATTCAGTTTACGACATTTTGTATGCATGTGATTCCCGAAAGTCAGCTAAAATTTATATGCAGATGAGAGTGTTGCTCTTTTATAATTCAAAAGTTCATTAATTTGCTATTTAAAAACCTATCCACCGTAAAGTGTAATATCTCAGTAAGTAGATTTTTTTTATAAATATTTTATGTATGTACAATTGTATTTTTAAAAAATATTAAGGTGTCAAAAGATACAATAACTTATTTCAAATATACAAAGGGATGTTTAAAAAAAACATACGAAATCCTAACCTCCGTGAAGCTCTAATATTCAAAATGTATGATTTCTTAAAATTCTTGCATTAGTGCAGAACCACTTATGTTATGTTATTACTAGACCTGGTGGCTTCGCAAAAACCCCATTCTAGACTAACAGTGAAACAACCAAAAATAAAAAATTATCTTTTGGGGGTCATCTCAATATATTGACCCATATTAGTTAGCATTTAATGAAAAAGTTTTTTTTAATCTATTTTACACAGTGTCGCTAAATTGGAGAGTAGATAATTAAGAAAACCCAAGGTTTTTAATTTTAATGTGAAAACATTATGATATCTTTTTTGCTGATCATTAATAAGTTCTCTCCATTCGCTCTGAATACCATAAACTTGATTGCGATCTTCTTTAAATTCGTCATTCTTGGTTTTTATATTAATTTTATCTGCCTTTCACATTTTGAACATTTCACTCGGAAATCGTGTTATTGACAAAATAACAATTACACTTCATGACAAAATTATTTTTTTCGTTTGCCATACGGAAGCCAACAATTTTTTAGATAATCAAAAAATGACCATTTGCTCTTAAGCAATTGAAATTACCCTTTGTTTTCGAAATAATTTTTCTTAAATAAATTGAAAAAGAACTAACCGAGTTTAAAAACTAATACACCAAAATGTAGGGATTTGAAAGGCCATCTGCCCTAAAAAATGGTAGGGGTAACCATCACCCCCGCTTAGAGGTTGATGCGGGGTTGAAAAATAAAAATTGTTGGACATTCTGTGGCAAAATGGCTGCTAAACAGTCTTATTTAATTTTGTTTTATAAAATTAAAAACATCTTCTTGGTTAGCTTACAGCGGTATACATATACAGGGTGTTTTACGTTCGTGGTCCATTAAAAGTTTCTGGGGAACGTAAAAAGATATTGATTTGAAATTTTTAAAAATAAAATTCAATTAAGTCTATTTTTTTTAAATATTTTGATGGTGACATCAACTTTGTTATTTCAAATAGAACACCCCATATATTTTTACATTTTTAAATTTTACATAAAATTCTAAGTAAAATTATTATACCATGTTATATAAATAGCCTATAACTTTTTTGTTATTAGGTTTGAGGATATGGCAGTGGAATTTTTGAAATCTTATAACATTGTTCAAAAGATTCCATGTCAATTATTTACCATTTTTTAACAAATAACCTGAGAAAACCCAGGGCAAATTAGGCCAACTTGAAACGTTAATAATTTTTTAATTTTAAATGTCACACCTGGTATGTTAATAAATAGAAAATTAAAAAACATTTCGATTGGTGCAACTATTTTCTACACCTAAATTTAATAATTTCAGAAAAATTAAATAATTGATAATATCCCAGATAACAAACGTGAGGGGCATCAAAACGCACATCGCCTTCATGTCTTGCGGAATCATGCGTGACGGTAAAAACGCTGCGATATGATATTCATTTTATGATTAATGGGAATACACGCACGTGTTTGGTATAGGAGGGCACGAAATGATTGCAAACTTTTTACTTTTGCTAAATAGTTATCGCAAAATTGTAGATGTTATAATAGATCTACACTACATTTTGCGAAAATTGTTGATTTTACTTCATATTATAACTAAAATTTTCAAAAAATTGACTTACACCATATGGTTAATTTGTGAAAAGACTGGATTTGTAAAGACTATAAAAACTATAAAGACTAAATTTGTAAGTAATAAAAAATATATTTATATATATACAGGGTGTTTCTTTTAACTTGAGACAGCTCAATATCTCGAGAAATACGCATTTCACGGAAAAATGTCTTTAATAAAAGGTTAATGTGACCAAAGGGGACATTATTTGGTGCTACCGCTAGCCACCCCGTACCCCTCCATAAGGGTGAAACGGGGGCTAACTTTGGAAAGTCAAATGGAATGACCCGATTTTTTTCACAGAGTTTGGTAGTACATAAAAAAATAAATAACTTTTATTTAAAACTTTTTTCAATTTATCAACAGATGGCGCTGTAATTCAAAATTTAAGAAAAATGAGTTTCCTTGTAAAATGTATTATTTGAAACGTTTGAAAAACAAAAATTAACATTAACAACAATAGTCGGCTATGAAAACAATTTATAACAAATGTTCGAAATGTCGTCATTCCATTTCAACACATTTTTGAATGCGGGTAATGAATTCTGGCACACAACGCGCCAACATGTCGGGCGGTATCGCCGCACAGGCGTTCCTGATCCGCTCCACCATGTCCTCCCAAGTTGTAGGAATTGCAGCGTAAACTTTTTTTTTCAAGTAACCCCACTGGAAGAAGTCTGGTGGCGTAAGATCAGGTGATCGAGCAGGCCAAATTACTGGACCACGTCTACCGATCCTTCGCGGTGCACCGGCCATTGAACTCCCGATCAACACCTCTCGAGCAATTGCCGAATAATGTGCAGGACAACCATCTTGCTGGTACCACATGTTTTGGAGCCGTGCTAGTGGTACATCCTCCAAAAGGTCTGTCAGATCGTTTTCTAGAAAATTCCGGTACTTTTCGCCATTTAATGCACCATCAATAAAGAAGGGTCCGATTAATCGTTCGCTTAAGGTACCGCACCAAACGTCATTTCGAACATTTGTTATAAATTGTTTTCAGAGCCGACTATTGTTGATTTAATGTTAATTTTTGTTTTTCAAACGTTTCAAATAATACATTTTACAAGTAAACCCCTTTTTCTTAAATTTTGAATTACAGCGCCATCTGTTGATAAATTGAAAAAAACTTTCAAATAAAAGTTATTCATTTTTTTATGTACTACCAAAATCTGTGAAAAAAATCGGGTCATCCTTTTTGACTTTCCAAAGTTACCCCCCGTTTCACACTTAAGGAGGGGTAGGGGGTGGCTAGAGGTAGCACCAAATAATGTCCCCTTTGGTCACATTAACCTTTTATTTAAGACATTTTTCCGTGAAATGCATATTTCTCGAGATATTGAGCTGTCTCAAGTTAAAAGAAACACCCTGTATACATAATTTTATTTGGATTTCCAAATTGGAATTTATTATTAATTTATTTATGAATTTGTAAAAAGATATCTAATTTTAATTAAAATTAGATATCTTTCTATAGACAATTGTCACAAAAACTAAAATAAATGACTTAAATAAAAATATCTTTTGGATTATTACTTATTGACCAAAATTTCGCAATAAATCAATTTTATGAGTGATTAACAGCTGAGTTTTGGACTTGCCTTGTCTTAATTTAATTGGTTTTCTTACAACGTTTCGATTAATAATTATCTCTAATGGTCTTCAGGTAATAACTGAAGACAATTAAAGATAATTAAGCATCGAAACCTAAGAAAAACAATTAAATTAGTCCAAAATTCCTTAAAAATTCTTAATCCGCACGTATGTCACATTTATGTATTCAATTGCGTCATCAATTGAGGTTCATATAGCCAGCACATGTGATGGTTGGAGAAATTTTTCTGGGCATGATCAACAGGATCATGCCCAGAAAAATTTCTCCAACCATCACATGTGCTGGCTATATGAACCTCAATTGATGACGCAATTGATGCATATATGTGACATTAGGGTGGTCCTTAATAAAGTTATTTTCAAATTTCTTTGCTCCCAGGGGCTCAAATGCTTCCAAATTAATAAAAAAAAATTCCCTGAAAATTTGAGCTCTTAATATTAACTCTAAGATAGTGCGCATTCCAATCTAAGTTTCCTATGGAAATAACATAGGAAAAATTATTTTTGTTGTTTATAATTTTATAACTTGGGAACGAACAAATTAAAAATTATAAATTATACATATTTTTATAGAGAATTTAACGCTCTACAAAAAAGGTCTCTTATAATTTTTCCATTAGTCTATTTGTTTAAAAGTTATTCAACGTCAAAGTTTAATTTTCATATTATTATTAATATTATCAAGGCTTTTTTATGAGGCGCCGTTTGTGTCAAAATTAAAAGTGCTAAATAAACTTATTTTGTTTTAGGTATAAATAATTAATTATATGCTTTACCAAATAATTTTTTTATAAAATTATTTTTTTATAAATTTTTTTTTTGTAAAAAATTTTATAAAATAATTTTTTTTAAAATAATTTTTTTATAATTTTTTTTTGTAAATAAATAAATAATTTTTTTATAAAATAATTTTTTTTAAAAATATTTTTTATAAAATAATTTTCAATTCGAATCAAAAATTATTTAAAAAAAGACGACGGGCGCCTTTATAAATTAATTTTTACTGCAGCCATCTCTATTTGTTTGTAGACACTCGAGTAAACCCGAGTAAACCCGAACGCCCCTCCCCAGATACAATTTTATGACGGATTGGGCTTTTGTTTGACGCAATTTGGCGAAACGATTGAAAATAATAATTTATTATTTTTATTCATGAATTCATTAATTTTTTTATCTACATTTATTTTGATTTTTAGTTTTTAACAAGAATTCTTTATGTTTAAACGTTTTTTATAAGAAAGCACTTGTTAAAAACTAAAATAAATAAATAAAATAATTCTCTTGAAAACAAATTAAAATAAATAAATCCATTCTCTTAAAACAAAACTAAAAATTAAAAAAAATAATTTTATAAAAAAGAATTATTTTATAAAAAAATAATTTTTAAAAAAAATTATTTTATAAAAAAAAATTTTTATAAAAAAATTATTTTATAAAATTAAAAAAATTTTTTTTTATAATTTTATAAAAAAATTATTTGGTAAAGCATATAATTAATTATTTATAAAACAAAATAAGTTTATTTAGCACTTTTAATTTTGACACAAACGGCGCCTCATAAAAAAGCCTTGATGATATTAATAATAATATGAAAATTAAACTTTGGCGTTGAATAACTTTTAAACAAATAGACTAATGGAAAAATTATAAGAGACTTTTTTTGTAGAGCGTTAAATTCTCTATAAAAATATGTATGATTTATAATTTTTAATTCATTCGTTCCCAAGTTATAAAATTATAAACAACAAAAGTAATTTTTCCTATGTTATTTCCATAGGAAACTTAGATTGGAATGCGCACTATCTTAGAGTTTATATTAAGAGCTCAAATTTTCAGGGAATTTTTTTTTATCAATTTGGAAGTATTTAAGCCCCTGGGAGCAAAGGAATTTGAAAATAACCTTATTAAGGACCACCCTAATGTGACATACGTGGGGATTAAGAATCACGTTGTGACTGCAATATGCGTCAATTATGAACCTCATAATGTTATCTGGGATTAGTCAAGAAGAGAAAGTCTAATGTAGAAGCATTGATTAAGGTTTCACTCAACGGTAGATGTAAGAATTAAGGAGTCTGATAGTAAATGGAGGCACTTTTAGCATTTAGTAATAAATTGGTTATACAAATTGTTAATTAAAATATTGTTGGTTTATTAATTGTTTCAGTTACACATTTTTTTTCCCAAAATAAAATTGATATTTTATTGCCTCCTATGAGCTAGTGCTTTATCTAGTAACATCCTACAGCTTTGTTGATTTTTTTAAATTAGGAAATACTGTTTATATTACTTTAAATGTTTGTCAATATTTTTTCCCACTCACTGACTATATAAAAAAATTAAGGAACCGTTAGTTTAGTTATATGTTTTTATTTGTTTTTTAATACAGTTAAATTAGCCATTTTATATTTCTTAAATAAATAAATAAATAATTAAATAGAAATCTCTAAAGGTAGATGTAATAAACTAATTAGTTTTTATTTGTTTATGGTATCATGCTTCAACTTAAATTGAAAGCGGCGTTGTTATATTAAAAAGCAATGTTGCCATTATTTAAACACGACGTTTTTTTAATTTATAAATTTTATTTTATTAGGTTTGTAATAAAGCACTTTTTTCTCAAAAATGCCCATAGAAGTATTATAATACACATTGGATACTTGGTGCTACCTGTATAACGATGAGTTTGTTTCCCACTAACACTAAACTTATCATATGGTTTAGGAAACCAGTTGTTTGTGGTTTATTGATGATAAAATAAAACTGAAGACTTTTCATTGAGATATTTGGCACAATCTGGCAGCGTCGCCATGGTAAAGCCCAGACGTTTTTATTTATTGCAGTAGGTGACCGAGATTCATGACATATGTGTGTATATGTAAATACGTCGCTTTTAGTGGTCAAGGTGAACCTGATGCCTTCAATAAATATTTAACTCGATTTCGTAGGAAATATTTTAACTTCCTTTTCTGTTTGCTAAACATCATTTATAATTACTAGGTACACTAGGCATATGTATTTACGATTTCTTGTTCGAAGATGATATGCCTACTTAGAGCAGCAATCTGGTTTGCTGGGCAAAAAATGCTTTTCTGTTCCATTGACACTGATTCAGAGATAATTATAGATTTTTTTAAGATTGCCATATGGATTGTTTTCAAAAAACACCCGCCTTCCGCTGTCCGTAAGTTTGAATTCCAATAACTTGTTAAAAATTGTCGCATCTTATTGATTTAAAAACCAAGTGAAAGCCTAACAAGCCCTTAGTAAATTCTTTTAGAAAATGTTTTATTAGTTATTTCAGATTTTTTTTTTAATTTTAAAACTTGTAAAACACACATTTTCGCAAGTCCCATTAGCGTTTTATAAAACTTACATACATGTTTTTTTTTAAATATGGAATAACCAGAACTTTGTGTTGCTTTATAGCTATCTATAACATCCTTAGTTAATAAAGTAAATAATTTACATATAAATTAATTAATTTTAATATACTTTTTTTTAAATTGACTCATTTCCCAGACATTTTTTCTGTTGCGTTACGTCCGTCGCGTTACCGATAGATTCAGAATCGGATAGAATATTAAAAAACATACATATGGCAACTTTTTTGGCACTCACGTGATTAACAAATAATGTTCGGACGTACACATTACCCAGCTGAATTTATTTATTTAATCAGGAAGAAGATATCGGTTAAAACAGGTGCGGGTAACGCGAATGTAATAATTGTTTGTCCGCCAAGTTACTCAAAAAAAAATAATAATAATAATAAGATTAGAAAAAATACTATTTTTCATGTTTATGTTTATTTTAGGGCACTAAAGCTCATTGAGAGTAATTAATGACTGTAATGTCTCATTATTATTTTTTAAATATGGTTTCACAAAACTTTTTCCACTGCGTTACCGAGTCCGTTATGTTACCTTATGATAACGCAATGGAATTTAGGGTAAAGCAATAGAATTTTTCAACAAAGTGGATATTTACCGTCGCTTTTATTAAAAGTAGTTTATGATAAACCAATTTAAAATTATTTATGATATAGATTACATTCAAGGGAAAATTCCACGCAATATACAAGTACTAAAAGGGACGAAATACCTTCACCAGCTTATAGACAAAGAAAAAGGGTGTCTACAATTTAGAAATCCAAGTTGTTATTATGCAAGTGAGCACCACTACAAGGGATTTTGTTTATGCATTACTCTAAAATGTAGTTTCTTTTTTACGTTATCTGATTAAGTCCTTTGTTTACCCCAGTTCATTGTGATACCAATGTCTATTTCGTTACTTTTTTTAGTTTTTGTTAAAAAAATACTTAAAATGATTTTTATACACTATCACTTGGTAATACGTGTTTATAAATTAGAGTTTAACTTACTAATACAGTGACTAAAAGAAATTATTAATGGTAATGTTTTTTTAACTAAGAATCGGAATGGTTTCTTTTAAAAAGTAACTTAACTAACATAAATATTTAAAAAAGGCATACAATTTTTAATAAAAAATAAAATTGGAGTCAAAAGTTTGTGAACTAAGTACATTTTATTTCAAATTATTTTTATAACAACTTTTTTATTGAATTAAATTTTGGATTTCAAATTGGTAACACAGTGGAGACATATAAAGCTAGCTAAACACATTTTTCTGAAAAAAACGTAAAAAAAAATTAAAAAGTGCACTGCCTGTCTTAAATGTAAGTAAACATACATAAATAAAAATTCAAAATGACAAAGTAATCAAATAAACTTAAAAATGTAGAAATACTAAAAAAGGCAATATTTTTTCTATTTAAGGCCAAATAAGTATACAAGTACCTATAGAATAACTTAAAAGTAAAACTCTTCTTTCATTTTCTTTCAGGCCGACTTTTACATCGTTCACCCATACTCGTTAACCATGGTACAAACAATAAAACTTCCCACGGAAAGTGATAATGAACATCTAAAACAAAACTCACCTGCTTAGCTCGGCTGAAAGTAGGTTACTGTGCGGGCTGAACTTCATCGGGCTCTTATACATGCTGCAAATCAATCGTTCTCTGCAAGGCTCCTCCATAAAGCCCAAGCCCATTAGAATATGGTCGATTTTCTCCAATATTGGGCTGTAGAAGGGGTCGTAGGTTATGCTAGCTGCGGTTAAAAGTTCTTTCTCGTACGGGGTTGGTTGGTATTTAACCGATGTAGCTGTTAGGTTATTGATGTGGTTGCTGAATTGTTGTTGCTTCTTCTGCTGCAGTTGTTGCTGTTCTTTTGCTATTAAGCCTGCTATTTCCTTCTCTTGATTAGCAAGTTGCTCCCGGTTTTTCTTAGCCAAAACAGCAGCAATCTGATTCTGCTGAGCCTCACTTATCTGTACATTTTGTTGATGATTGCCTAAATAATTATTACTCTTCTCAGGTATAACTTGATTATGTTGCACATTAAAAACAGCAGGCGACATCGCATTGACATGATGCAGATGACTCAACTTATTGTAGTCGACATTTTTGACTGGCGGTGATTGTAGATATATGCTCGGTTGTCTAAAACCCTGTTGATTGACTCCGCCTTGTGGTATAACTTTTTTGGTAACTAAATTCGCCTGTTGTTTGAGTTTTTCTTGGTGTTTTATCGCGTTGTTCAGTTGTTCTTGCAGACGGAGGTTTTCTTCGTGGATTTTCAGCTTTTCTTGTTGAAGTCTTGCCTTGATCTAAAAAGTAAAATTCAAGTAAATTGATCATAAATTATGACTCATCAATACTTTTAAATGTTCTATTAACATAAGGTTTGAGATGTTACACCAGAACATTTTTTTATTGTATGCTGTCAAAAATCATTAATATTTCTTTCAAAACTAAACGTATATAACATACCAATGCTTCCTTTTCTGCCTTTAAAACCATATTCTCTATATCCTGTATACCTGGTAACTTTATTTCTGGTTTGGTCCGCCGATTGTCCTGACCTTGACCCCATGGATAAACCTCATTGTCTGCCTGACTTGAATCGTGTCGGTTGGTTATGTATCTGTCAAAAATAAAAAATTAGTGACGATTGTCGGTTATAGTATAGTACAAACATAAATTATAACCATCTTCACGCTAGGTTAAATTCTACTGTTGCTTAACAAGGTATCCCAGTATAAATTCAAATCGGTTTTGTTATGATGCATGACATAAATATTTTTTTTCTATACATTTTTATCTTTTATTGTATTTAATTTGGGGTACCATGTTATAGTTATTAAAAAGTGCTGCTAGTTTGGTTGGTTACGTGATTTTTAAGTATCTAGTACGCTGGTCGTCGGAATTCTTAACACACAATCGGCCTGCTCTGATAGAATGCAACGATAAAAATAAAACGCACTGAATTTTCTCTTTGAGAACTAAATGAGAGCACCACCTGCTATTCATATTAAATACTATTAATATCAGCGTTTATATATATACTATAAATGTATATATATATATATAATATACAGAATAAAAATCGACAATTTTTTTTGTAAAGTTTATCGAAAATATTGATTGTGCTGACAAAAAAAAATATTGTGAAAGTTTGAGTCCATAATATTAATATTAAAAGGTCTATCTTCGCAATTTTAAATTATTTTTTCATGAGCGAGATTTTGTCTTAGAACTCCCAAACCATTGAGTTTAACAAACTTGACCTAAAGATATTTTTTAAGGAAACTGAATGCTCTACAAAAAAGGTTAAAATGAAATTTTCCGTCAGATGAACCGTTTCCTTAAAATCATGCCTTAAAAATTTGTAGTTTTACAATTTGATCTTTTAACTTTGGAATTTTGTAATTCATGTAAAAATCAGTACCCAGAAAAAAAAACGATAAATATTCTTATGGGAAATCAAATGATCTTAACATTTTTGGCTAAATTCACTCAATCAAAAGTTATTCAAGGTTAAAGTTGAAGTCTAAACGAAATTCTTGTTTTTATGGATGATAATTTGATTTTTTCTTTATTAATGTGTATTATATAACTAATTAACAATTTCAAATAAAAAAACAACAATATTGTTATTATTTAAACGATTAAATAAAAATGAAAAATTAAATTTTCTAAAGAAAATGTGTTATAATTTTTTTTAATTCTCAGTAATTTTATCAATAACATAAAGATTATCATCGATAAAAGAATTCAAGTTTTTAACTGACCCAAAAAAACTCTAATGCGGTAAAACCAAGAATTTCGTTTTGACTTCAACTTTAACCTTGAATTTTTTTGTAAAGCATTTGATTTTCCATTGGAATATTTATCGTTTTTTTTTCGGGTACTGATTTTTACATGAATTACAAAATTCCAAAGTCAAAAGATCAAATTGTAAAACAACTATACCAATTTTTAAGGCATGATTGTAAGAAAACCGTTTATCTGACAGAAAATTTTAATTAACCTTTTTTGTAGAGCATTCAATTTTCTTTAAAAAATATTCTTAAGTCAATTTTTTAAACTCAATGGTTTGGTAGTTCTGAGACAAAAACTCGCTCAGGAAAAAAAATCTAAAATTGCAATGATAGACTTCTTAATATTAATATTATGGATTCAAACTTTCACAATAATTTTTTTTGTCACCCCAAACAATATTTTCGATATACTTTACAAAAAAAATTCAATACAATTTTTTTGGCCCAGTCCCATCTTTTAAACTTTTTTTCGTAAAACCATCTATTTAAATTATATAACGTCAAGTTTAAAATATATACCTTAAAAGACCAGATTTTTTTTCAAAATTGTTTTTAGACTGTAAACAAATAATAGATGATACCCCAGAGTATCTAGGAGTAAAAAGGATGTTTGATTTTTGACTATTTTCAAATTTTAACCTCCCATATTATTTAGGTGGATGGTTTTACAAAAAAAACATTAAATGCCTTTTTTTCTTCAAAAATATGTCTTTTAAATTGTATATTCTATTTATTACTTTTGAACTTTTTCTTATGTTATTTTCATTGGAATTTTTGTATTCTTTTTAAACTGTAAACAAATAATTAAGAAGACGGACAAAAGATTAACTTAGGAAATAACTGACCCTAATATCTCATAACTGATAAAAAGTAAAGGTTTTACTCTCCAGAGCAATGTTGTAAAGTATTAGTAATTATAAATTATTAGCAATAAGTAATTAAAATTTAACAGTCTGTAACCACAAAATAAGTGTTTAAACGTGACCTTATAGAAATATTTAAACAAACTAGCTAAATAGTACATAGTTTAGAAAATTAAATAATTTAGAAACCATAATTACTAATTAATATTATTTTACAATCCATTGTTAAGAGTCATTTAATAGATGTGTCCATCTTTTAAAATATTCAAAATGTAGAAACTTGGTAACGGATATATTTCAATGGTCCAAATTGTTAATTACATATCTCCATAATTCCTCCTTGATCCCATTAATAGGCCTTATTATCTGGTCCTACATCTAAAGGACCAGATGTATATATGTATGTAGGATGACCATTTACTCGTTTTTAAAACTTAGGAGCAAATTCTTTTGTACATAAGGTGGGTCCAACCGGTTTAAAAATCAAAATGTATGTTTTCAAAGCAAGCATACTTTCCAAAAAGTTTACATATGCCTAATAAATAAAATAGCAATAAAAAAGACAAAACAAAAATAATTTATAACCAATTTTATTTGTAAGCCAATATTTGTTTTCTTTTTCTAGGTTATAGTAGTGTTATAAAAAATTAATTCATGAATACAACCTACATTCAATTTTGGATAACAGCATTAAAATTTAAGATGTTCTCAACATCAATCAATTAAATTTAAATATATTTATAATTAATATTAAATAATTTTTAAACAAAACCCGTTTAACTATTTACGCAATTGGGGTGAACAAACACGAACAAAAGCAAGGATGCGTTAAAGTATGCTTATTTGGTATTGTAATGAAATTATTTACGTAAATTTTTCTCGGTCATTAACTTGAACTTGGACTTGGGTGTGCCACAGGATCCTAATCTCTCACCTACAATCTTTGTTCTCACTCTACAGTTTGTAAGTTTAAAATTTAACCTTAAAACCAAGTTAAACACAAAGAGCTGTAAGTAACACATTTACCAAAATTTTAATTATTGGTCTATTGACAACGTACTCTATCTAAATCTATCTATATTAATTCACAAACTAAGTTGTTAAGTGATCTATATCATCTAGATCTAGAGGTTCTACAACCACGTGTCTTACTTTATTTCGTATAGAAGTTTCCTCAAATAATACAAACCAAGGTTGGCGGCCCTAAAGGCTAAGAATTTAGCGTAGGGTGCGTAACGCATGGCTTTGTAATACAAAAATCGAGCAAATGGTATCGCTTTGTGATATATAGCTCGAGATATATCGGCCAAACTGAAAAATAAGGTTATGCACATAAATCAATTGGTGATAATGTTGTTTATGATAGCGAATGTGAATGTTAAGTAATTTTTTGCATTTGTACATCCACAGGTATACATGAACAAATTTTGACCAACAAAAATTAACATTTAATTTTTTAAATATATTAAAATATACAGGGTGGTCCATTTAATATGTGTTAGGGGGTTCGCTGCTGCCCAAGTTTTTTTTTTTTACTTGGATGTCATAGATTCAGATTGTTTGATTTTTTCTTTTTTTACTTGGATGTCATAGATTCAGTCATTTGATTTTTTCTACACATTATTTTTAGTGAAACTTAAATAATGTATAATTTGTTTTTGCCAATATACATACCTAATTATTTAATAATTACCCAAAAAAACTGTACAATAAAAACTTTTTAATTCCACCAGAACAATTGTTCTTAGAAACTGGGATGTTCGATACGCGCCAACTATTCTTTTTTGCTTTGTCTATGTATCAATGCAAAAACAAAAAACATCTGAAAATAACAAACCCTAACTACAACACCAGAAAGAAAACCGATATATTCCAAACGTACACACCCCGAAAAACCATAGGCCAAAGATATTTTAAATATTTATCTCCCTTACTATTTTCCCTTCTCCCAGAAGAAACTGAAACTAGCAAATCTATCCATATTTTAAGATCGAACTGTAAAAAATGTAATAAAGAAAATGACCGCTCATATATCCACCGAAAAATTGATATAAAAAATAATTAATAAATTAAACTATTAAGTGTGTAATAAGCTTGTAATTCTGGCTCGTTGTTGTGAGAGGTGATTGTATAAATTGCTGAATATTTACTTAATTAACTTTAGTAGTGTTATTTATTATTACACTAGTTTACAAAATTGAAAAAAAATTCTGCCCACCATATTCCATTATAATTTTTCCATGTATTTTGACCCACTAGCGATTTTAATAAAATTCGTTTTTATGGCAAAAATTGAGATCGAAAATTTACATATCGTCCTGGGAAGGGTTTAAATCAAACAGATAACTCCAGTTTGAATTTTTTTTCGTGAGGCTGACATTTTTACAAAAAAAAACAAGCTAATGTTGATAAAAATACATAGAAAAATGGCGAAGTTATGAATTTTTTAGTGGAAGACCAAAATTCAACGATTTTCATTTTATTTTGTTTTTTTTTGCAAAATATTTATTCTATAATAAAAACCTAAATAAAGTTCATGATTGGAATTTTTTTGAGTTTTTTACGTACTTATTGAAAACATTATTCAAAATTTAAATTTGACAATGTGAATTCTTTTGTTTCTCGTGTTGGCATAGTGATATTTTACTGTTATTTTTTGGTATTTCAACAAGGTATTTTTATCATGGTTTTATTTAGTTAATAAAAAGTGTAAAATTAGTAAAAGAAGTAGAGAGTTCGAGTGCGTAAATAACCCGGACAATCTGGGTGACGTAAGTGATGAGCACGGAGAACGTTTTCACCAGCAAATGAAGGCTATGGAGCGGCGGTATCACGGCTTCTGGGATGCAGCCATGATGGGTGATTACATTTGGTCCCTCATACGAGAAACGAAATACGAAAGCAACAAAAAACAAGGAATGAGCCAGATTTTTTTTTAAATCTATGCTTATTTAAACAAAATAAAACTTATTTAATTTCAATATTTAATGTTTAAAATAAAAATCAATGTTCAATATTAAATTTTATATAATTCAATAAAATGAAGAAAAAACGTTAAAATTCTTGAAAAACTGAATTTTGGTCTTCAACTGAAAAATTTAAAACTTCGCCATTTGTCCATGGATTTTTATCAACAGCGCCATATTTTTTTCCTTTAAGTATAATCTATAAGTAAAATAAATCAAACTGGACTTATTTTTTCGATTTCTATCTTTCCCAGAAAGAGATGTAAATTTTCGACCTCGATTTTTGTAAAAAAAAAAGGACTTTTTCAACTTCATAAAGTCGCCAGTATCGAACTACTGAGCCGATACCAAAACAATACAAAAGTTGTAGAGGTCTCAATTACCTTTGATTAAAGTGCTTGTTTGGTCAAATCAATCAATTAAAACTCGAAGTATACTCTAAAACGTCAAAACACCTCAGATAATAAAAAAAGAGTGCATAATATTTTTAATAACAATTCTTTAACAAAAAAACCAACCGTGGGATTTTTTTTATTTTGCTATTAAATTCTTAGTTACATCATAAATAAATGTGTAAAATATCACAAAAATATTTTTTTTTCAAAATTGTGTTAATAAATAATTTAGATTATTTCCCTCATTATAATATGAACCAATCAAAAGCCTGGAATTTTCGAATAAATTTCGTTTAAATAAGCGATTAAATCACTAGAACTATTTAACAGCGACTATTTCCCTCGTCTTAATTTCAACCAATCACAAACGCGCAATTTTAAATTACAAATGGTTTCTAGGTGAAAAAACTATATGACAGCACCTGTCAGCAGTTTTTTCGAGTTTACCCGCGGCAAAACTTGACAGCTGTTGTCACCAAAAATTTCAATTTATATTTTAATTGTTAACTGTTACTCATGAAATAGTCTTGTCAAATACCATTCGGGCATCAATGCTAAATAATATTTTTTAACAAAATGCATTCGTGCAGGTGCAAAAATCCTCGTCTTCGACTCGTATTTTTGTTGCCACCAGCACTCATGCGTTTTGTTAAAATATTACTTAGCAACGTGTTTTTTCGATTTTTTTCGGAAAATTAGATGCCCTTATGATATTACTTACGATTAAATTTTAGCCTCTATATTGGATTTTTGTTTACGATTTTATGGTGTTATTTACAAGTTTTAACAAACATTTTTAAAAAACAATAAAAAATAAGTTATCTAGTTTACGAAATATCAATTATTACTTATTACTTATTACATACCTAAAATTAATGGAATTTTCTTTAAAAAAATATTTATTAATTTTTACCCATACGTCAGATTTTATGAATTGTCAAATAGTTTCCTTTAATTCGAGAAATAATCTAGACGTATATCCCTCAACCTATTTATTTGATTTTTCTTTTTGGAAAATAGTTTCATGCAAAATAATTAAAAATAAAACCCCTCAATTATTTTGCATTCAACATTTTCCAACAAAAACCAAACAAAAAACTACTGAGCCTAGTTTAACCGATTAAATTCATAGTTCTCGTGATATAATATATGATTATACCAAAGTAAAAAACCCAACTTGGGAAATAACGGACACCCTTATATTTATACTGCCTTACAACTCTATAATGCAGGACAAAAGATAATTTTTATTGTTATATACTAGACCTAATTTAATCATTAATTTAATGTAACGTACACCCTGTATATTTAAATAATATAAAGTTTAAATAAATAAATAAAAATCTCTATATAGTTCTTAAAACTAAATATTTTTCAACACTCACCCTCCAAAGTAAGGCCCTCCACTATTATACTGCAACTCCCCAGTCTCCTCAGGATTAAACCAGTGCTTAAAGGGCCCCAAGGTCTCGTGTTTATAAGTATCTATAGGGGTGTGCACCGGTGGGCCGTCGGAATGGGGCGCGATCACCTCAACCCCATGGTGACCATGACCATGACCGTGACCATGACCTGGTGGTACGTGGTGGTAGTGCTGTATGTGATGCTTGTGGTGGTGGAACTTCGTGCCGTGGGGCACGTAGGCGCACCACTTGAAGAGATGGTGCAGGGCCGGAAAGACGAACAGGAGGAGTTTGAAGATTAGCTTTTTGGCCGCGGCTACTCCCATCACTGCTGGAAGGACGAACAGGAATTTTACTGCCAAAAGTTTGATCACCATGAGGATGGCCATGAGCGCGTACATGAGACGTTCTCCAAGAAATTTTTCTAGAGAGAAAAATTTATTAAAATGGTGATAAGATGTTGCTGTCTAACAACAAATGTTGTACACTGAGAAAAATGAGGTTGTTAAATTAACTTACGGTCATGTTATTCTTATGTTTGTTAAATTAAAAATTATTTTTTTGAAACAAATAAAAAAGAAATTTTAAACAAACAATCAGAGGTTGTTATACAAGAGTTCTTTATTCATTAATTTAATGTCTGAAATGCATTAATTGAAATCTTTGTACATTTTTGTAGTAATAAAAATGTACCTTCAAAGTCGAGTTTAATGTAAAAAACTGTAGGTAACATTTCGACTTTTAAATAAAACAATTATGCACATTGTTCGTATTGAATTTGCAAAAACTGTTCAGTTAATAATTATAACATTGAAATAAGAATTCGTCACCCTAATATAACAAGGTTGTACGTTAAAAAAAACGAAAAATTTAAGTCTATGTTTCTACAGGATTATACGTGGCCCACGCTTCACATACCACTTAAAAATAATTCTATAGAATGTATATTCTATGTATACATATATATATAGAGTTATTTTCAAGTTGTATGTCAAGGGTGGACTACATAAAACCTCGTAGAAGCATAAACTCAAATTTTTCGCTTTTTTAACATAAAACCTTGTTATATTAGGGTGACGAATTTACTTTTCTCAGTGTACAGTAAAAAGTTAATTTTAATTAAAAATATAGTAGTTTGTAGTACCTCTATCTATGTGTTTAAATTTACAGTGACCAGAAACAGTATGGAAAAAATTAATTGGAAATGTTTTTTTCTAAAAAATCCCTAAACAGATCGATTTTGTTTTTCAATTACGCACATTTCAATGAACAATTTTATATTTTACGCTATTTTTATAGAATCTCTTCTACAAAAATGGCGACAAATATGAAAATTTACATCAACATTTTTTGGGGAAAAAAAACATTTTTAATGAATTTGTTCCATACTTTTGTGGGTCACTGTATAAACATCTATAATGTGCAAAATGTTATTTCTTAACTAATTTAATTTCACAAAAATAAGACTAGTTTACAAAATCGAAAAAACTTCTGCCCACCATATCCCATTATAATTTTTCCATGTATTTTGACCCACTAAACACGAAAATCACACTCTATTTTTTTATGGAAGCGTTTTTGAAATATGAATTTTCCAAAGTTTTTTTTTTCAATTTTCAGAGGTTTTGATGTTTTTGAGTATAGCTTGAATTCTAATTGATCGATTTGGTCAAACAAGCCCTTAAATTGAAGGTATTTGAGCTCTCTAAAACTTTCTTTTACATACTTTTGATATCGAATAAGCATTTGGACGCTAGCGATTTTAATAACTTAAAAAATTCGTTTTTATGGCAAAAATTGAGGTCTAAAATTTACATATCGTCCTGGGAAAGGTTTAAATCAAACAGATAACTCCAGTTTGAATTTTTTTTCGTGAAGCTGATTTTTTTAGAAAAAAAAACAAGCTAATGTTGATAAATACATGGAAAAATGGCAAAGTTATGAATTTTTTAATGGGAGACCAAAATTCAGCCTTTTGACGATTTTAATTTTATTTTTTTATTTTTATTTTGTAATATGTTTATTCTTTAATGAAAACCTAAGTAAAGTGCATGATTGGAATTTTTTGAGTTTTTTTCGTACTTTTTTCACCGAAAACATTATTCAAAATTGACATGACTCCGCAAACGTGAATTCTTTTGTTTCTTGTGTTTACATAGTGACATTTTACTGCTATTTTTTGATATTTCAACAAGATATTTTTATGGTTTTATTTTATAAAAAATGTAAAATGAGTAAAAGAAGTAGAGAGTTCGTATCACGGCTTCTGGGATGCAGCCATGATGAGTGATTACATTTGGTCCCTCATACGAGAAACGGAATACGAAAGCAACAAAACACAAAGAAGGAGCCAGATTTTTTTTAAACCTATGCTTATTACAACTAAATAAAACTTTCAATATCTTCAATGTATAATATTTATTGTTCAATATTCAATATATAATTTAATTTCAATATTTAATGTTTAAAATAAAAATCAATGTTTAATATTAAATTTTATATAATTCAATAAAATGAAGAAAAAACGTTAAAATTCTCGAAAAACTGAATTTTGGTCTTCCACTGAAAAATTGATAACTTCGCCATTTGTCCATGGATTTTTATCAACAGCAGCTTATTTTTTTCCTTTAAGTATAATCTATACGTAAAATAAATCAAACTGAACTTATTTTTTCGATTTCTATATTTCCCAGAAAGCTATGTAAATTTTCGACATCGATTTTTGTAAAAAAAAAGGACTTTTTCAACTTCATAAAATCACCAGTATCGAACTACTGAGCCGATACCAAAACTATATAAGAGAAAGTTGTAAAGGGCTCAATTACCTTTGATTTAAGTGCTTGTTTGGTCAAATCGATCAATTAGAACTATTAAAACGTCAAAACACCCAAAAAAATTAAAAAAACAATTGAAAATTCATATCTCGAAAACGCTTCCATGAAAAAAATTTTAACTGTCATTTTCGCGTTTAGTGAGCCAAACTACACAAGAAAATCATAGTGAGACATGGTGGGCAAAATGGCTGAAACTAGTGTAATGAGCATTATTTAAAAATGATTATTATACTGAGTCTTGTACAACAGTACAACCTTACAAAACAAAAATACTTTAAATAATGTATATTCTTCAAATATAAACACCTATAAAAATTGTTTTATTATTTTTACTTAGAAAGTGCAAAATTACACGCTCATTGTCAGCTTAACATCTTTAATCTAAATAGTAAACAAACATTTAGAAATTCTTCGCTTTGTCTTATAATTCTATATTATTATAACACAAATTAGGATTTTATTTACTGCTATGGTGCATTTTGCTAATTCAACATCCTAAGGAACTATTATTTAAGCTACTTGTTACTACTTTTACCAAAAAGTAGTCGGGAACTGTGACAAACTTGTCCGTTACAGTCAGCACCTAAAATTACATACATAAACAATGATTACCATAAATAAATTACAAAATACATAAATTTAATTCATGTTTTAAATGGCTATTAAGTCTTTTTAATGGTGTTTCCGAGCCAAGAATTAATTTAATAATAATAGATATTATGGAATATTTTAACGAGGAAATTCAGTTATATCAAAATATACTGTTGTTTTGATTTTTAACCACGTAGGTATGTTCCAGTTTATTTTCTAGATGTGGATTCTGATTCAATGCAATTTTTAAATAAAATATTTTACAAATTCGTTACACGTAAGTATGTGAATTAAATTATTCATGAGATCTGCATAGATATCATGATTTTTAGGTTTAACATCGGTTTTAACATTCAAATGTTGTTTGGTTAATCTGGTGTACAGTTATTGAATTTCTTGAGTTTTCTATTTTATCTGTTTTAACTGTTTATTATAATTCTACAACTTAAATAATAACGTTTAGCTCATTTGATTTTGTAACGTACAGTGGATTATTATTTTCTAAAAAATATTGGAGATACCAATGATACATAGACAACGAACCCTGATTCCTTAAAAATGTGTTTTCGTTTAATTTTGTCAATTTAAATATTTTTTTCTACAAAAAAATGAAAAGGTTATAAATTTACAAAGTGTCCACTGGACACTGTCCAGTATATACTCTTTAAAAATGAATTAGTCAAAAATGACTAATTTAATAGTTATTAGTGGCTGCTTTTTCACTTGTGCCATGGTTACCCATTGAATACCATGGTATCCCAAATTTTAACATCCAATTCTTATGTAAAATTGTCCCCTGAATCCGAAAATACTGTAAAAACTTATGAAAGTGGAGCAGTTTTTGAGATAAAGTCAATTCCATATTAAATTGAAAATTGACTATATCTCAAAAACTGTTTTACTTTTTTAACTTTTGACGATATGGATTCAGGAGACAATCAGCCGATTGTTTAAAAAAAAAATAAGTAGTTTGTCGAATAAAATATGGTCGAATTTTGATATCTACTTGAGAAATAGTGTTAAAAATGTTTTATAAATGTGTTAAAATATTTAATTTTTTTGTTTTTTGTTTTTATTTTGCCTTGTTTAAAAGTTGATATAAAAGTGTTCACACAAGAATCACGTTTTTTTTCTATAATTAGAATATAAACGACCCTTTCTGATTGGCTAAATATTCCATTAAAAACGTTTCTGTGAATTTTTGCAAATTCTCTTAACCAACCGAAAAAAGTTATGAATTTGTAACTTTTGTAATATCTGACTAATTAAGATGTTTTTTAAATTTTGTTGGGTTTAAAATTACGTTTAGGAAAATATACAAACAAAATATTTAAATTTCCTTATTTATTTTTTATTTTTTACATTAGGATAATTCATTTTTATTAAATTTCGGTAATTAAGCATTACAAGCAAATTATTTAATTATAGTTAATAGTAGGTATATTTGACACACATAATACACAATCATTTAAATTAAAAATGAAAGTACTCCTAAAAAGTATATTTTGCAGCACCTAGACAAATTTACCGCAAAGATTTGTCCACATTCTTTATTCTAAAAAACTGTAGATTTTTAATAATTTGATGGTAAATATTCAAAAAACAATAATGTGTGTCAATGCGGGGTCAAAATGTGTTACCGGATAAAACGTCACATATACGATATACATATATAGCTATATATTGTTCTTATATCAACTGGTTTAAGGTTACAATAAAAAAGAGTAATTTATAAGTTAACTTTCTCCAGATTTGAACACTGCTGCATTTCTTAAGCAGGATGTGTCGTTTATTTTTGCACATCTAATTAATTTTTGAAGAATATAAAATGAGTTTGCGGAAGTTTTAATACTTTAGTTATTGGACTAATTTGTGTTCAACTTGAGGACAGTCATTCTTCGTTTAACTTTCTCCAAGAACTCAATTTAAAAACAGGATATGAAATTTGGTAAAAACGATGTTTTTAACAGCTATGCTTAAAGAATACCCAATCATAATAAACGTAAAACTGTTAAACCGCAAAGCAATAATGAATATTTGTGTAACAAGGCATAAAAAATGATGATTTACTGTCATCAATTATTAGTAAGTATATATCCGGGTGAATTAAAAGTTTTGACAGGTGTTCAAGATGGTTATCAAGAACAATTTTAATTCTCCCATATAAACAAACTAGAAAAAGAAACTTATGTCACATGATGTGACTCCCATGTCCATGCGTAAGTAATAAGAGCATAACAAGGCATTAAAAAAGAAATTTCATGCTTACTTATTTTCTTAATTGTCCTTCCTTCCCCCGCACTTTCTTCGAACTCAGCGGGGGGTAAAAACTCCATCTTCACCATCGCGCCATTTCCATCGATGGAGCGGGGTGATAATTTCAAGATGGCGTTCTGGAATATGGTTTCCGGTAATTGGAGTTCCAAATTGTGTGTCATCATGAATTTTAGGGTGTCGTCTTGCAGGGAGCGCGACATGTCCTCCAAAGGGGATGTGTCTTCATAGTACTCTTCAGTCGAATTGTCAATGTGTAAGTTACGCTTTACGTCGTTATAGTCGACTGTATTTTGTGCGAATTTCATGTAGGGTGTAAACTGCACGTCGCCGGTATAATCAAGGGTGGATTTGAGGTATTTAAAGACCTGATTTTGTATGCAGAACATTGTGGGTTTCTTGCATTCTTTGAAGATGCCGGTCCATAACGAGTTACCCTGCACGTATTTGAGATACGAGGCCGGAAATTCCTCGAAAGTCACATTCGAAGCACTCGCCCGATTGTAGGTTAAGAGAACTAAAACTATTAAGTATCTTACAAACATGTTGGATGATCTTTGGCACTGCACTTTAAGGTTATAAGTCGATTCCTTTTTGACACTTTGCACTCGTTGAACGTATGTCACATGTTAGCAGAGAACTGGACCAAGAGACTAATCAGGGCATAGTCGAGACACTCTCTCGAGCAGAGTCGGCGCGCGAATACAAGAAGTGGTCATCGCCTTCAGCTTATCATTTCTCGACACACTTTCAGTGATGATCCCCCTCTATGTGCGTCTCTGGGACTTTTACAGACGCCGAAATTTAAACGCTGCAGCGTTGATGATGAATGAGCTTGAATAGGATTTTATTTTCGTTTAATATTAGTAATAATGTTTTGGGTATTAATGGATTAACGATCACCTTTTTTGGATGCATGTTATGAAGTATATTGTTTTATGAAATTTAATGATTGATTTATATTTTGCCTTCATGTTTGGTGCATAAACGTAGATAGTGGTGAAAATTGTTATTTATTTTTAATTACATTAATAAGCTGTTTATGAACCCTATTTATTTATTTATACAGGGTATCCCAGAAAACACATACTTAAAAATTAAAATAATCTAACGCAAAGGATAAGCAAGATAAGAATAAAAAACAATAGCCAATCCCAATACCATAGAGAATTCTTAAAATTGCTAGGAAACTTAGAATCAAGGATAAAAGGAAAAACAGCAGTTCTCACCGACACGCCCGAAAAGAAAATTTTAGAAGAAAAGATACAACAAGAGAAAAGTCTCATCTGTCAATAATAAAACGGTGGTCGCTAAAAAATCGAAGAAAATCAAGAATAGCGCCAAAGAGAAAAAGATCTGCAAAGAAGAAACGTCAGGAGAATCATCTGAGGATAATACTTTTTGTTATTTGCTGTGGTCCTTACTACCAAAGTAAGGAGTACTGGTTGCCTAACATGTTTTTGTATTAGCCCTACTTAGTTTTATATTTATAAGTATTCTCTATTTTCATATTTCTGTTTAATAACTTTATTATTTAGACTGTATGCATATAAACTACCATTTAAGTGTACCCTTACATCTTTTCATACCCCTGTTACAATTGACACTTCAACTGTTACATTTGTAGGTATATTACATATTTATTTTTTTAGGATAATCCAATTTAACTCTACCAAATATGAGTATAGTATTTTGTTCTAAAAATATGTAGGTACAATTTTATTTATTTATTTTTTCCCTATATGTAGGGTACTTATAAGTTGGTAATTACTTTGGCAGATGAAAAAATAAAATAAAATTTTGTTACAATTGATACCGGTCTCCCCTACTTTACTCGTAAGTACATTTGTAACATTACGGTTACGAGTAATAATCGTGAAAACAAGAGTAAAGAGTACGAGTAAAAATGTTAGTTAATATAATTGACAATTCCTGTCAATTTAAACCTATTAAAAACTGTAAAAATCAGGTTTGCTGACGGATAAAAAGGAAGAAACAAAAATGCAAGTGAGCAAAATATTTTAGAGTGAAATGCCAAAGTTACACAAAAATGACTTAATTTATTTACTCGTGGAATTTTCTCAACAAATACCACTCAAGGTTCGATTGAGCAGGAAATTTGTTCGACTTTTAACTCAAACTTGGTGGTTCGTTAATTTGACTCTAAGAAATTTGGGCGATACAAAGTATCGCAAAAGCCATAACTCAAGTTACAAGAATTGAAAACATTTCTTGTTTAGAAGTCGTTTCAAACTATATAAAGCCTATATGGTTTATAATTTTACCTATTTAATTGTTATAAAACCAATAAGCTATAAAATATTATATTATACTATATATTATATAATTTAAAAACCGATGTTTCGATGCTTGCGATATTTTGGCAAAAAGTCATCGATATAATAAACGGAAATACTCTTAAATATTACTCGTGAATTCCACGAGTATTTTTTACTAGTATATTGAATTTGGTTTGTAAGTAGATACGTGTAATAAGTATTTTAAATGAAAAATACTTTTGAGTAAAAAAGTACTCGTACTTTTTTGCTCGTAATTGAAATACGAGTAAAAGTACTGGTGTACAATTGGCGTCTCCGAAATGTGAACGATTTTTTGTTGTCATGGATTTTTTTCATAAAATTTATTCGTTCATTCCTGGCTTCGGCCAGTGGTGTTACATATAGAAGGGAGAATACTAAGAATAAGAACAATATCCTAAATCGTTCTATTTTTTTAATAATATTTTAACAAACAATAATATAAACAATATAACAAATAAATTAACTTTAATTTGGTTTTATACAACAATATAAATTAACAAGTAGGTAAATACACAATAAAAATAACATAACTAAATTAACATATTGCTCAAGAAAATTGGTTTTTAAGTGAAATAGCGGCAGATTTAAATGTCAGTAAAAGCTGCATATTTTATATCAAAAAACGTTGGCAAAACAACAAAGATTGAGAAGACCTATCAGGCAAGGTGTAGGTAAAATCTCCAACGAAAATGAAGACAATGCTCTTGTCGCACTTATTAGGCAAAATCCTTTCAATAGCGCATTTAAGGCCCGAGAAGATACACAATTTCCAGGATCTCTTCGAACAGCTCAAAAAAGATTGAAACAAGCTGGCTTAAAAAACTGTGCTGCTAAGCTATTTTAATACTTAATTGCAGAGCCATTAGCTGCCACAACCCTTTGCAACCTTCTTGGCATGGACATTATTAGCTCACGCATGTCGTATGAATCAGCAAGCTCATCCCAAGAATTTTCAACAGCACTCCATAGTTCATCTCGGTTTGCTGGCCTAAAGTCCCGTTGATATATATTTTTAACTATAAAACCCCACACGTTTTCAATGGGGTTTAAGTCAGGGCTACTAGCTGGCCATGGCAAAACAGTTATGTGGTTGTTGTTTACCCACTCTGTAACCACGCGAGCTGTGTGAACTGGTGCATTGTCCTGTAATATAATATTTATTAGAATCGTTTTTGAATACTATACAGTTTTCTTACATGTTGAAATATAAAGTTTTCTGGAAACACATGTCTAACTGAAGGTAGCATAACGTTGTCCAAAATCCTGGTATAGTGCTCAGCCGTTAATCTACCATCAATTTCCCAACATACTCCCGGACCATGGATGCTTATCCACGCCCAAACATTTATGGAAAAGCGTCCACTATTTGAGGTTTTTAATGTATAGTTCTCCTCAAATCTTGCGTTTCTTGGACGATATACACGCAGCCTTCCATTATTGCAAGATTGGAACGTTTTTTCATCCGAAAATATAACATTATTCCAAAAATCTTCTCCATAATTTAAATAGTCATTGGCGAACTGGACTCTCCTGCGCTTATTTTCTTCAGTTAAGGGGGGGGTAAGGTCAAATCATACGAAAAAAGCCATGTTTTCGTGATTTTTTTTCTGACGACGCAGTTAAAATTTCTTTACTCAACCAATGGTACATTGAAGTATGACATTCGAAGAATGTTTCATCAAATTTGTACAAAGAAATATTAAAAAATAGGGCAATGGCAGCAATTGTTCGGACGTGTCTCGAAACAAAGTTGAATTGCGGTGCCCCTCATAACTTGGTGCTGGATCATCTGAAATCAAAAAATCAAAGTTCATTCGTTAGATAATAGTTTTCCCCAGGTAACGCTGTCGAGTTTTTTCTTTTTTTCCAATTTTTTTCATTTTTTCGAACACTTTGAAGTGAAAAACACAATTCTGTGGGAAAAAATCGGCTAATTTGTTATTGCGAAATCAAAATTATGAACAAAAAACAAAAAAACTCGACAGCGTTACCTGGGGAAAACTATTATCTAACGAATGAACTTTGATTTTTTGATTTCAGATGATCCAGCACCAAGTTATGAGGGGCACCGCAATTCAACTTTTTTTCGAGACACGTCCGAACAATTATTGCTGCCATTGCCGTATTTTTTAATATTTCTTTGTACAAATTTGATGAAACATTCTTCGAATGTCATACTTCAATGTACCATTGGTTGAGTAAAGAAATTTTAACTGCGTCCTCAGAAAAAAAAAATCACGAAAACATGGCTTTTTTCGTATGATTTGACCTTACCCCCCCCTTAAAAAAACCTTATGAGCAGCAGCACAGTTTTTTAAACCAGCTTGTTTCAATCTTTTTTGAGCTGTTCGAAGAGATCCTGGAAATTGTGTATCTTCTCGGGCCTTAACTGCGCTATTGAAAGGATTTTGCCTAATATGTGCGACAAGAGCATTGTCTTCATTTTCGTTGGAGATTTTTCCTACACCTTGCCTGATAGGTCTTCTTAATCTTTGTTGTTCTTGCCAATGTTTTTTGATATAAAATATGCAGCTTTTACTGACATTTAAATCTGCAGCTACTTCACTTAAAGACCAATTTTCTTCTAATTTGGCTATTGCCCTGGACCTCTGAGCCTCGGTTAAGTGGGGTGGCATTTTTAATATTGCAATTGACAACTCGTCACCTGAGAATTATAGTGTTCTATCTGCATTTTCTTTTTTTTATTCAGGTTAGTCTTGTTTTAAGTCTTAAAGATGATATTGATCTATCTATATATAATTGGGGTAGAAATTGTAAAGTTTAAGGCTTAAACTGTACAATTTCTACCCCAATTATATATGGATAGAACAATATCCATCTTTAATACTTAAAACAAGACTAACCTGAATAAAAAAAAGAAAATGCAGATAGAACACTATAATTCTCAGGTGACGAACTATTATCAAATTTGACAACTACCGACGACACTGATGCAAAGCCCATATTACACGATTAAATTTTGCCGTTCACATTTCGGGGACGCCAATTGTACTTGGCCAGCTCTGTAATAAAAGTTTGATTGAATGTTTATGAAATAATTACACTTCTCTACTAAGCAGATGTGCAATTATTTCATAAACATTCATTCAAATATCTACTACTACTACTGCTAAAAAATGGATCTTCAAATTAAAAAAAAAAACTAATAATAGTATATTATGTATCAAGTTTTATAAACGCCATTTTAGTTACGAGCGAAGCTTGCGAGCGAGTGTTTAATAAAAACGAGTGTCTAGAGAAGTTTATAAACGAGTTACATACTATACTTTATCTACGATGACTACAAAACAGAATTTAAAGCCAATTTTATTTGTTAAAATTTTGACATCTGTCAACTGTCAACCGAATTTAACTTCAGCCCGTCAATAAAACGCCATAAAGTTACAGCTCGTCAATGTAGGAGTAGATAATAGTATATTATGTATCAAGTTTTGTAAACGCCATTTTAGTTACGAGTTTAATTAAGAACGAGCGAAGCTTGCGAGCGAGTTTTTAATAAAAACGAGTGTCTAAAGAAGTTTATAAAACGAGTTGCATACTATACTTTATCTACGACGAACATAAATAAGATTTTAAAGCCAATTTTATTTTTTAAACATTTGACATCCGTCAACTGTCAACGGATTTAACCTCACTTTTTCACAATTAATATTAAAGCTAACTTCAGCCCGTGACTAAAATGACCAAAAGCCACTGTTGCTAACTTCAGCCCGTGACTAAAACGCCATAAAGTCACAGCTTATCAATGGTGGAGTAGATAAAAGTGTTTTTATATTTATATTAAATTAAAAGTAAGAAATGTGGTATAAACAGCAAACAAGTTAGGTCTTTTATATATATTAGAATTACTAAGAACGCGTCTCTTGTGTCTCTTTATGCTTAAAATGTTAATGGGAAAGACAGGATACAAAGGGACAGAATACATTTCTGACCCGTCTTTCGTGGACCCCTTTGTATACCATTTCCAAACCATTTTTTTAATATATTATTATTATTATTATTATTATTATTATTATAATACTGTTAGGTCTAAATTGTTAATGCATAAACATTTTTCAATAACCAACTAATTGAAATACATCATACTAGGATAATGCACCCATGTACAGTTTCTAAAAACTTTTTTTGACCAGAATACATTTCTTCTAATGATACCTCCTAATAGTAAAACAAGCTAAACACATTAATCTTGCACATTGTCCATTGTGTATTTTTTTATAGTCGAATCGAAATAAAAGAAGACAAAAATTAGCATAAGTGTCTATGAACGTATGTTAATTTCATTATCGATAAAGTGTCACACTTTTGTGACAATTTGCATTTAATGCAGCCATTTGTAGGTCAAATAATTACGGGCGCCAAAATCATCTAGGGTAAACGCAAGTAAAATTTAATTTGTGCGATATTTTCTATTAAATTATTACCCATTAAATTTTAAAAGTGTAAAGAAAATATCAGGAAGTGTTTAAAAAATGTTTGTGAAAAGTTAGTTGGTAATTAAGTCATCAGCATTGACCTTCTTTTTATTGATTCGGTGCGGGAAAAGTAATATTCTGCAAAATCTTAATAACTGTTTTAAAAGGTAAAAGCGTTTTAATATGCTATATTTATATATTAACTCACACTTAAATAAGTCATAAATATAATTTACTTTGTAATAAATTTATGTTTTAAAATACATAAGGGGAATATAATTGACAATAACAGGCCTCAAAAATTGTTTATCATCTCTCAGAACAGAATTTTACATAAAATCTATGCAATAATGGATGAAATTTTACAGAAAGTTATGGATTAGTAAAGGGCGACTTTTCAAAGCAGTACTTTCAAGATTTTTTTCTTTCCATGAAATATTACAAAAACACTTTACAATAAATATTACAGGAAAATATTGCAGGAACGAGAAGTGAGAGTTGTGTTATAAGTTGTTTTAAATTTAAAATTAGCCCCTCTATATAATTGCGGTAAAGTTCGTACATACTATTATAGTATGTACTTTACCGCATTTTTCGATAGATTTAATGATTTAAGGAATTGTGAACATAATCGAGATGCTCAAAAACACTTAAAAGTTGCACATTTTACTTTTTTAAGGTACCATTATTAATCACTTATCGATAGGCACTTTATATTACAACCATAATATTATAGCTTTTTTTTACAAATATGTGAAGCAAAACAAAATTTAGAGGCAAACTTTTTGTCTTAAATTCTATAAATTCATGTGTTCGTATTTTGGGACGAACTTTACATTGTTAAAACATTACAAAGTAAAAAAATATTTGTTAATTTTAACCTAATATTAACCATATTTTATGTTAATTCATCTGTAATTTTGTAGATTTAATGACAAAATGCTATGCAATAATTCAACCATAATTCCTCTAATTTTCAAAAATAATCTTGTTTTTACAAACCTTTTTGTAGACCCAGTAACAAAAGTATTTGTTGGAGATGGGAACTTCAATGAAAAGAATATTTATAAGAAACTTTGCTTTATTAATCAATTTTCTAAACAAAAAAATTAACACATAACTACATAAATAAACACAAAAATAACATACACACAATTAAATAACACACCATTATAAAATCATAAAATTATAAAGAAATTTGGGACACTATAATAATTATAATTATTATCAGTACTACTACAAAACTTACTTATGTATTTCGTAACTTTAACCCAGTTACGGCATCTTTTTCGGATACTTCGCACAAACGTTAAATAGGTATAGTAGGTATATAATAATAACAGATTGGTAATATATTACAAACACTTTGGACAGTTGTTACGAATTAGAATAAAGTAAGCAGCAACATAAGTTGCAGTCAGTTTAACTTGTTTATGCGTATTGTCAGTGAGACATGTTTTGATTGACTGCCTGAAATCATGGTACTTTTTCAACGAAATAATTTGTTAAACATTAACAAAATTGCATTTTACTTTTCGGTAAAATATTTTCCTTTGTTAAAATAATTACAAACCCTGGGTTTTTACAAAAAATTATTTTAAAATTTTACAAAATAAAATTAACAAACTACAAATCTGATTTTTATAACAGTGTAAATCATTCAAAACAATAAAAAATTTCAATTTAAATTTAAATCATAAAATATAACATTATTAAAAATTTATTTTTTATAGACTTGTCGTGTGCAAAATAAATTTTAAGCATAAAATAAACTATGTAGCTATCTAGTAGGAGGCACTTTTTAAGGCATGTCTGAATTTAATTTCTTACAAAATATTCTTGTAACAATATTTTCTATGATTGCTTTTATTTTCTTTTACTATATTTTCTTTGACCCATTAAAACTATTACTTACAACAATAAAATAAGTAAGTATCTAGTAGATGAATACATCACGTACAAACAATAAATTTAAATGCATTAAACAATTATTGCAAATTAAACAATACTGTAAGTATACGGTATATTGTTTTTGTTAATAATAAATTTACTGTAATAAAGAAAAGTTAATTACATATGGGTTTTGGTGTTTATTTTGTTTCAAAAAAGTTTAATGTTTGGATATGTGTGTATTTTTTAATTTTTTAATAAAAAGCGCTAAAATCTTTAATCATCCCAAATAAATATATTTAGAAAGTGGCCATAAAAATCAACCGTTAACCCAACTATATAGTTTGTATCAGCCAAATGAAATAAATTCGATAATACATAAATTAAGGCGTGTTCCAAAAAACGCTCGGACACGATTTTTAGTTCTGTAGTGTGTCGTATAATTTTTTTTTGATTTTACAAAAACCTCATGGACATAAAGTTTAAATCAATTTTTACATGTATTTGTTAATCTGTGTATTTTAGTGGCGGCCGGTGGATTTTGGGTATACCAATATTTCAGTTATTAGACATGGGACCCACACCAAATTTATAATAGTTTATAATGACATTAAATAGACAAGTTTGGCGCAAACAGAATTTAAATTGAAGTTTGCGAAAAAAAGTTGGTTTTTCCTGTTGCCTCACCCGCCTCCAGGCCCCCCTATTTGAGATAATTCAAATTAAAGTGGTGTAATTTATTATCTACCATAATTTATCGACAAATTTAAAATTTTATTAAAAAAATCCAAATATTACAGATTTTATACCATTTTAAATATTTTTTTATTTTAATAAAATGAAATACAGAAAAAAACCCTGCATGATTCATGTGGAAGTAATTGAAACAGAACTCAGTCTTCACATTACAGTTTGAAATAGTTTCATAACAAATTTACCCAATGTCTTCTCAGCAATTTTGTGCCTCATAACTATAGAACTCTAGCATTGGAAATTATTTCATCAAAATGCTGTTTTGTTTTCAAAATTTCTTTTTGTTAAGAATTTTCTATTATCTTTGGCATTAGGGGCATATAGTAAAACCAAAAAGAAGACGAAAAGTCCATTCGCCCTTAATTAGTTATTAATTAAATTAAGAAGCGTGCTAAATGAGTAAATAGTAAACAGAAGTACCAATTTTAAATATTAAAACTTAATGAAATGTTTCAAATTCCGAATAAAAAATGTACTTAAGTGGGCGAATGGATTATAGAAGAAATGCAAGTTAGGCAACTAACGTTACACATTAAACGTAATAGGAACCAAGAAAAAACTTATTCGTATAAATAAAACACAGTGTTCTAATAGATTAATTTGTTTTATTTAATACTATTTGTTTTATTTACAAAAAATATTACAATGGCTCTATAAATTAAATGAAAAGTCGTTTTAGGCAGCACTTTAACAAAAATGATATGTTAGTTTTTGTATTAGACCGAGCGTAGTTTCATAAATAATTTTATCTATAGGCTAAATAATAAAGCCTAAGAGCAAAATCCAAAAATATAATTTATTTAACTGTATTTAAGTAGTTTTAGTTTATTATCTTAGTTAAATAATTATTTTAACAACAACAATTTCAACAATAATTCTGGGCTTCTTACAAACAAGTCTTAAATGTACTCACGCAACAAATATATAAAAATGAGGAAAATCCACAAATACACATTCATACAGCATGTTCAAAAACTAAATTTTTACTTTATGGCACTATTAAGCCAAAATTTACAATAAAATGGCACACATTTTTAAACAAGCTGTATACAAATAATTAAACGTAAACATCTGTAATAAATAAATAATATCGAACGGAATTCAGATCATGATAAGTCCTGTTAAGAATATTAAGCACATTAGTCGTCACATTAGTTTATTTAAAATATCCGCGACACCTTATGGTTCAGTCAGTTTTTTTGTTTCGATTATGTACATGACATAAGGTCCAACGGCATCTCGCGATGGATTTTGGCTGCATATTGTTGGAATTCATCCAATATCACTAATATCAGTTTTATGGCAGTTGAATTGATATTAAAGCTACATCATCAGGAGAATCACAGCGCTTCATCGCCAGGGTTGTAACCGTTTCGGTTCAACGGTTGCCGTTCGGGGGCTGTTGGTGGACGGTTTCTCTTAAAGAATCCACACTGTAACAAATGATATTAGTCATAACACCTACATAATTATAAAGTTATTTTGAACAAACCTTGTAGAGGATGTAGATTATAAGAAGTAAAGCAAGAGTTCCACCCACTGCCGATAATATTACCACCCACAGTGGTATGACGTGTGGTTTGATTTCGGATTCCTGAGCAGGAACTTCCGTGAAAATTTCGTGGTTATGTAATGGTTGCTCCCTAGGTCTTCCTATGTAAGGAAGCTTGCTGATTCGTCCAACCATCATCGAAGAGAATTTTAGAGTTTGGGATTTTAACTACAAAATAATTTTTGTAAAATATATTACTAAATAAATGTATATAAACAAACCTCTCTTAGAACTCTCATGTTGATTCTAGACCGTAAGGCAATGGATACCTCTTTTTCCTTCTCCAAAGTTCCTACATTACACTTAATGTAGACACATCTTGTAGAATTACATTTGATCAAATCCTCAATCATCGAAGCCTGTCTGCGACCTCTATGTAGATTATTTAGGTTAGGTTTATCAGTAGGAACATTATCTCTTCCAACAGTCTCGAAATAAGTCGGAGGTATCTCACCGCTACGTTCAATAGTTTCCTCCATGTGCCAGGTATGTTTAACATTACCATCATTACCTTGATTACGCCTGGCAGCTTCCGTATGACCCTGTATACCTCCCACGTTGAGGGTGTTAAAGGTGAAACCGTGCCCTAAGGCGGCGTCTTCAGCGAAGTTTTTACCGGAGTGTATATTGAAATCGCCGAGAGATTGCGAACCTTGCCCGGACGATTCCGCAGAGTAGGAAGCGTTTTTGGTGGCGAACGAGTGGTATTCACCATTGGCATCGATATAACCGCCTCTGGCTTTACCGCCGGTTCTACCGCCATGACTGGAACCATGTTGTATGACGTTATCTTCGATGGTTTGACCTCCGTATGTACCGCCCACTCTAGAACCTCCTTGTTGCGCTCTGCGTTGACTCTCTTCATAAGCTCGTCGTTCATCATAGCTAGCACTGGCCGAAGCTGATCCACCTCTACGTTGGCTCTCTTCGTATGCGCGGCGTTCACTGTCGTAACTGGCACCTCCTTGTGCTCTACTTCCACTTTGAGAACCACCTCTGAAGGCACCACTTCCAGAACTGCTTTCTTCATACTTAAATTGGCCACCTCCAGCATTTTGCGTTCTACCTCCTTGATGTCTAGCATCGCTGGCATAGTTGCCGCCATGTCTAGAGCCTTGACTTGAAGATCCTCCTCTACTTTCATAACTGGTCTCGTGGTGTTCTTCGTATGAACCATCTCTACCTCCAGCGCTACCCTCGATGTGGTATTGAGTTCTTCCACCTTGTCCTCTACCACCTTGCCGGCTGCCAGAACCGAAATAGCTATCCTCGTGTCTTTCGTGCACTAACTCGCCATCTGGTGATCCGCCACGGAAACTACCGCCACCTTGATTGAATCTGCTTTGAGAAGAACCACTTTGTACAGATCCTTGATTGAATCTTCTTTCAGAAGCACCACTTTGTACAGATCCTTGATTGAATCTGCTTTCAGAAGCACCACTTTGTACAGATCCTTGATTGAATCTGCTTTCAGAAGCACCACTTTGTACAGATCCTTGATTGTATCTATTTTCTGAGGTGCCACTTTGTACAGATCCTCGGTTAAATCCGCTTCCCGATGAACCACCTTGATTAAATCGACTTTCTGATGCACCAACACGTCCCTGATTGAAACTTGCACCTTGCCTGGACCCTTGCTCAGCATTTCCAGAGGAACTGTATATAACCTTGGGGTTGTAGGTTTTATCGTAGGTTCCAAAATCTTCCACGGTGTTAGTTCTGGTGTATTGATTCACTATGTTACCCTGTGCATCTCTCACTGTAGTTACATTGGTGTACATTATATATGGAACGCCATTAACGTAGGTTCTATTCCAATATGTCTTAACATGTTCTGTTCCCAGGTTCACATCGACAGGTTTTTGGAAAGTGTAGGTTATATTTTGACGTCTTTGGTGGACCAAAGAGCCATCCCCTGATCCACTAATCTCAGCGTCGACTTTACCTTGATTTTTGTAAACTTTACCCCCACCCACTGTTCCTCTAATCCCGCTGCCTTGTTCAATGGTGACATCAGTATGTGCCCCGCCGCTTGAGGAATGACCCTTAGATATGGATCCAGATGTGAATCCAGAACTCGTAAACTCGTTGGAGTTAGTGTCGATTTCAAGTCGCTCCCAGATGGATTTAGTATGGAAGTCTAACTCATAGTTTTTGTAATTTGCTTCCAAAACACGTTCACATTTAATATCGCCGATTGTAGCCGGTTGATCCAGAAGATATAAGAAGTCTTCGTCACCTAAAGTTTGGTACGGCCATGAGATGAATACTTCAGCCTCTTGAATGGTAGCTGGTCCTTTATTTCGCAAGTTATACACGTGTATGACTTGTGGACCTATATCGCTTTCCCTTTTGATTTCTTCTGCAATGTATCTTGAGGCATTGTACTGGACAATTTGTGGATAAGATACACTAAAATATAATCGTTGTTAAAATTTATTAAGTTGATATAAAGTGACGTATAAATACCCTGTAAGTTCTAAGGTGGAGTCGATCCAAATGTCGATAGAGATATTCTTGTGGTTGTCACCAAGAGTACGTGATTCTTCAGGGTTTGTACTGTTGACAAACATCTTAAAATCGTAGCTTGGATTCATGCCTTCTTTATGGAATGGTTGGAACAACATGCGGAAGTTAGCCTAAAATATATTAATAATTATATTTATAAACAAAGAGTTTATTATCTTACAATTTTGCTAGAAGGTAAAGGATTTCCAATTTGACACTGAATCGTTCTATTCTCCAAAGGACTGCAAAGAATGTTTCCCAAGGGTTTGTTCTCGATTTTTTTATAGTAAATTCCCTCGGGATATTGAAGATCGAAGGTAGTCTCGAAAGCATCTTCACCGTAATTGGAAACAATCACATCGAACTCCAAGTTGGTGTTTGAACCTAGTAAATATTTCTCAACATTCCTGAAATTTTAAATATTTTTATTACGAAGGTAAATATTATAAAAATCTTACGATGTGACGTCAATATGTAGATCTGGGATGCAAATTTTGTCTGGGCCACAATTTTTCTGGATACTTATGGAGTCTTTTCGGGATGGGGGTAAGTTTAAATCCAGAATTGGGTACAAGTGGCTTCTTGGATCTCTTTGTTCGTTTTGTGTGCTAGTATATCTATCTGACATAAAATATTTTACTTCTGCTTCTAGAGGGGTTAGTTTATCTCGTATATCGCTCTAAAAAATATTTTTGTAGGTATATATTTTTATATTAATGTGTTATTTATTTTTATATTAATGTGTTATTTACCTTAACGTAGACTCGTTTTGTATTGCAAGATTCTGGCCTGTCTTTTTGTAGTACCATAGTATCATTGTATGTGTTAGTATCGTAATCTAGGAAAGCCATTCTTGGGTTGGCGATTTTCTTAGAGTCCAAAATGTATTGCAAGTTTAAATCTGTGAAATATGTTGTAAAAAATGGCACAATGTTATGTTAAATACTTACAAATTTGATCTGGTATTCCTTTACCGCTGTATTTGACACAGAAATCTATAGAGGTACATGTTCCTTGCTGGCCATTTGACAGCCTGCAGTCTTTGTGATTGATGTCTATAAGATTGTTCGGGGTTAGGAATTTAACATATGCTTCCACTCGTACAACAGGCCTTGATCTACAAAAACAATATTAAAATCTGTTTTGTTAAATAGTTTATATTATATGTATACCTAAAGAAGAATGCAGTGTCTGATAAATAGGCACCAACAGCCATATCTGGATAATCGTCACCATTCATATCCATACCACCGGTTACAGAGAATCCAAAAGTATTAACTGGATATGTTGCTTTCAAATCTTCAGCGTATATTACTTGTCCGTACTTTAATAGAACACCTTCGCTAGACCCATAGTAGATGTAGACTGCTCCTCTACCATTAAGGCCATCATAGGGAGCACCCACAGCAAAATCTACCAAAAATTTTAGTAAAGATAATGTTTTAAAGCATAATTAAATGTATTTACCATCATATCCATCCTGATTCAAGTCGCCCAGGGTAGACAACGAAAGCCCAAACCTAGATTTACTATTAAAACCATCCAAGTTATCAACTGCGTTAAAAGTTCCATATCTATCGCTTGCATGGTAGAAAATGTAGACTCTACCAACATCATATTTGCCTTCGTTGTTCGGCTCAGTGTGCATCGGAGCTCCAACAATCAAATCCAACTTTTTATCACCATCGACATCAGCAGCGGCAAGCGAATAACCAAAGTACGAACCGATTTTGTTGCTAGAAATGTTCTTGTAGTTCGTCAAGTTCCAGGTAAAGAAAAGTACCCTTCCGTGAAGTTCTGCGCCTCTCGGCATACCCACTACGATCCCTTGCTCGCCTGTGTCCTGGAAGTCGCCGGTGATGGTGGAATAACCCATATAGGAGTCGTCGTCTTTGGCCTGTCCTTCGTTTGTTGAGAATACGGCCGGTCTCGTCTCCAAGCTTTGTTGGTATACGGAACCTAAAAGGATTTTTATTAGAGAATGTTACAAAAATGTGATTTTTAGTATATTGTTTCTGAGTAAGCATGAAGCGATTATTCCCTGATAGCACAGTTTATTCTAAGAATGTTTTTTAAACCTTCCAGTGGGAATATTCTTAAGATCATGCTATATTTCTTCTAGTCATGTTCTAAGAATGTTTTTTAAACCTTCCAGTGAGAATATTCTTAGGATCATGCTATATTTCTTTTAAAGAACATGCTTAAAAGAAATATAGCATAATCCTAAGAATATTCTCACTGGCCTATAGGCAGGTTCTTAGAAGGTGCAAAGTTTAGTGGTAAAAATTAATCCACTCTAAACATATGCTTAGAATGTTGAGAAAGTAATTGCTATAGAAAGTTCATTTAGGAATATTCCTGGAACATTCTGTTAAGCATTTTCAGTTCAGTTATAACTATAGTACCTATAGGTACCTATATAATAGTAAAATATACCATAATCTACGTATAAAGGTACCTATACTAAGTATTAAATACTAAGTAAAAAACACAACCCAAAATATTTTTTTATAGTTATTTGTCAAATTAAAACAATATTCGATAACAAAAATACTTTTACTATAGGAATCTAAATTATCCGGCTTTTACATAAAATCTTCTATCCAACTAAAATTTATTGAAAATTTTTTTTTTATGAAGAACTATATGGTTTTTTCTTTTATGAAGAATTATTTTATAAGGAAATATTTTGTTTTTTTATATTTTATTTTATGTTCAAAATAAATATTTATTAATTTGTATACCGATTTTTTATTTCTGAATTAACATTTTTATGTATAATAATCCAACTTCAATCTAATCTGCCTTATCCCACAAAATTTTCCAATTTTACTTTTTATGAAATAATGTCATACAACTTATGGTTCAGAGGTCACATTGTTTATTTAATATTTTTAAAATTAATATGTCGCAAATTTTTTTAAGGGGACGACAAATACATTTCACTGTCATATTATGACAGTGAGACGTATTTGTCGCCTCCTGAAGAATTTTACGAATGTAGAATCCAACATATTAGAACGTGGGTATCTGATTTATTTGGAAATATTCTCAAAAGCTTCCTAGAAGCTTCATAAGAAACCTTCTAAGAACATTCCAAAAACATATTCTTAAAATGTTCTTAGATTGCTTTTTAGGAAGGTTTTAAAAAGCTTCTAAGAATCTAATTGCATCATTAAAAGGGTATAAAAGTCCCTAAGAACATTCTTAGCAATAAGGGAAGGTTCTAAGAATATTCCATTATTCCGGGTCATATCTTCTTAGAAGATTCTTAGAATCAAATTTTGCTATCAGGGTTAAGCCTAGTTTTCCAAAACGTCGTGTAAGCTGTTAAAAAAATAATGGTGATGTGTTTTGGAATTAGCTGTAATAAAATGATGATGATAATGACACAGTAAATACAAACATAACAACGCTATTAATAATAGCTATAAGTAAAAATTGTCAAGTATTGTCCAGCAAAAGTATTGAAATATTTTATCATGAAGTACTTTTGTGGCAGAATGTATTTCAATATTGCTGGGGTATATTGTGTGTACTAATAAAAAAAGCAAATAAATGATAAACATCGAACAAATATACAAACGTGGTAAGAATATTAAAAGAACGATGACAATGATAATCGATACAATTTATTCCAAAGGGGTATTTTGAAACATAAACTTTATTTAAGTTTGTTTTAGGTATTTACAAGTTTATTTGTTTGAACAAACGTTTTTTGTGTACATCCACTACTGTTTTTGATTTACCTGTTCAGTGATGATTTTATATATAAAAAAGGTGTTTCTGTATATATTTATTTGGTATTAATATATTAATAAAATGATGAATTAGTCGGGTCAATATATTATTATAAAAAATTAATGTCGAATCAATCTATAAACAAATTTAGTATGTTTCCTACACCGTTGTGTGATATAAATAAACATTAATATTTGGTAGTCTTGTGAGATTTTGTGTTTCCAGCTTTTTTTCTGTACCTTTCGCGCCGTAAGTTTCTTGAAACACTCCAGGAGTAAAGTTAAATCTTGCATTTGCATCAACGGAATACATTTGGCCTGAAACATAATTACAGGGTATACCACAATTTTTTTTTCAATGGGGAATGCTCTCTAAATCACTATAAGCCTGTAAATTTATGGAGTAGGTAATATATGATAATATTTTTAAATATTTAATAAGGATTTTAGATTTTACCTTGCCAATAGTAGCTGCCCGGTGCTCCCACGTAAAGACGGTCTCCCACCTAAAAAAATTAATATAATTATTTTAGAGTACATCTATAGCTATAGCTTAAGTTGCCATTCCTTTATAAAGGAATTATTTTATAAGGAAATATTTTGTTTTTTATATTTTATTTTATGTTAAAAATAAATATTTATTAATTTGTATACCGATTTTTTATTTCTAAATTAACATTTTTATGTATAATAATCCTAACTATTTTCAACTTCAATCTAATCTGACTTATCCTACAAAATTTTTCAATTTTACTTTTTATGAAATAATGTCATGCAACTTATGGTTCAGAAGTCAAATTGTTTATTTAATATTTTTAAATAAACATATATTAATATGTCGCAAATTTCTTTAAGGGGACGACAAATACATTTCACTGTTATATTATGACAGTGAGGCGTATTTGTCGCCTCCTGAAGAATTTTACGAATGTAGAATCCAACATATTAGAACGTGGGTATCTGACATATTTGGAAATATTCTTAAAATCTTCCTAGAAGCTCCATAAGAAACCTTCTAAGAACATTCCAAAAACGTATTCTTAAAATTGCTTTTTAGGAAGGTTTTAAGAAGCTTCTAAGAATCTAATTGCATCATTAAATGGGTATCTATTGAATGTTTTAAAAGTCCCTAAGAACATTCTTAGCAATAAGGGAAGGTTCTAATAATATTCCATTATTCCTAGTTATATCTTCTTAGAAGATTCTTAGAATCAAATTTTGCTATCAGAGAACCATTTTTAAATGTGTAATATTTCAGCTTATCACACACATACTCTCGAAAAAAAGTTCTTATATAAACTATTTAAAATAATATATAGATATGTATTCTTTGGTATTTTAATCTGTGCAGTTTGTTTTATTTGTAATATTCATACGTGCTTATGAAGTATGTTTCTGTTGGTATAGCAAAGTATTTGATTTATTTGAAGTATGCTATAATATCAATATTTCCTTGGGATATATATTTTTAGAAAATGTTGCAACAGCATATTGCATGGATCGAACGCATTCCTGTTGGTGTTGTTTGGGAAAAGTTTAAGCACTTCTATTCTTAAACAAGAAACAGTGTAGGGATTTGTAAGAATTTACATGACAATAACATGTAGGTATGGTTGGATTTATAGAGGAGAGTTTAGCTAGCGCATTCATCTTGGTTGCGTCAGTGGATGGAATAAAAACAATTCCAGAAGCACCGAAGCCAACAAATTTGAAAACAATAAAAGCAACACGGCAATTAATATCATGTGTCTCTGGCCGAATAGCAGTTGCATACAAACGAAACGTGTTTTTTTCCACTTCCATTTCAGCATCGCAAGAACAATGCGTCGTACATAAAATTCTTCGCTATAGTTTTTAAGTATGTGCATAACGGCAAAGATAAAAATAAAATTATAATACAATTCCTTTGCACGCTGAAAAAGAACGACCGTCCGCGATTATCATACAGATCTGTCATGAACTTAAACACTATTTGCATTGGAGATGTACGATATCTATGTTACTGGGAAGTCTATTGCCTTTACCAGCCAGCCAGAGATATTCAATGAGACCTCTTATCTTTATTTAGATCAATGATACACTAACTCACCATCATACTTTTATTTTCCGATCATCGCAACGATTAAATGCATCGCGATTTATTTCCTACCATTATTATTCCCATGGATAAATTCGTTTCATACATTTGACCACACACAACCACGAATCAAAGCTATAGCTTCTATTAACTTAGTAATTCCTTGTTAAGTTGTTCGACAATGTCCGAAACATTTTTCTATTTGCTTGTTGTTTTAGTTTGTCCCAAAAGTAAAAATTAATTGGGAATTGAACCTTCACCTCGCCAGAGGTGTTTTGAGTGCGTTCCACCAACTTCAAATATCGACAGACAGCTGTTTCGACCTATATTGGGTCTCATCAGTGTCGGGCAACTTGGTGGAGTGGAACACACCAAAACGAAAGACTACCTGAGCATATATAATTCCCAAGTAAGCCAACAGAGGCGAGATGTAAGAACAATTCCTCTTGAATAATACCAGTAATGGGTTAAGAAAATTTCTTGAAGAAACTAAGAAAATTGAATATAAATTCATTATTGGCTAATCCCGACTTCTTGGTAGGTATGGCCAAATCTATTAATCCATTTTTTCCAAATGTTTTCTTTGAATAATTCCTTATCGAAAGAGTTTAGTCTCTTATCCAAATTCAATTCATAATTTGGCAATATCTCCAAATACACATTGATTTCAATTTCCACCCAAATAATCACTATGATGGTTTTAGAAAAAAAAAAAATTTCTAACATACATAGGTCTAGTTTAACTAATTTTGGGCTTACGATTTCAAAAATGCCACTGGTTTTGCTCCAGGACGTCTAGGATTCGAATTGCGTAATAAAATGCTCTGCCAAATTACCTTAAAATGTATTTTTTGGTTAATATTTTGATTACCTACTTATTAAATTATTGTGCCTCAAATCAATTTTGGATGTAACGAGTCCCTATATATTTTTGATTTTTTTTTTGTAAAAAATATGCTCTATACAAAGTCAACGGTAGGTATATTTCAAATAAAAAATATTAATATTTTAATTTTTTTGTTTCATTGTAGCAGTGTTATATCCCTCATAGAAAAATTTTTTTGTCGTTTTTTTAATTACTAAATTGAAAAGGCACCAAAGTAAATGGGTTTCGGTATAAACGTACTAATGCTACTAATTGAAACTATCATAGTCATATAATTATTACATCGTATGAAATGGCACACCAAACGTTTACTGTTTTTGAATACTGGTTTCTAAAATTTGGATTGTCATCTGTAGGTACCTACAATTTTGTGAAGAGACAACTATGTAGTTCCAAAATTCCAAAAATTCTTTCCGTGAGACATGTCTTATCTCCAATCCACAAAACAGTTTTTCCTTGTCGTTTGGTACCAAAGTGTGGAGAAATTTAGTTATTTACGGAATTACCTTATTCGTCTTAAATATTCTTTGCTCTGTCGTCGCTCTTGGTCCAATCTTTTCTTCTCTTTTGTTCTAGTACTACTTTTAACGGTAACCTCGCTTACTGAAACCCCTTTGTATCTAATTTGCCCCAACAAATAACATTGTACAATACATATTTTTAATTGATTTATCGTTTTACATTAACTAATAATGTTATCTTTGATCATTTTTGGTGTAAATTGTTTTAAAGAATAAAACGCTTACATGCACTGTAACATTAGTTTGTAGTTGGTTATTTTTATTTTGTATAATGTTAACATAATTTTTTGTAGAAAATCGGGGTTTGTAATTATTTTAACAAAGACAAATATTTTACTGAAAGTTTTGTAACGGTAATATGCAATTTTGTGAGCATTTTGTTAATTTCAAAGGTTCCAGATTATTTTGTAAATATTTCGTTGAAAAAGTACACGTGATTTCAAGTAGTCAATCAAAACATTTCCCCCTGACAATACGCATCAACAAGTTCAACTGACTTCAGCGTCTGCAACTTATGTTCCTGCTTACTTTATTCTAATTCGTAACGTGTTCGTAACAACTGTCCAAAGTATTTATAATATTTTACCAGAAATCTGTTATTATTGTTATTCGGATGTGCGAAGTGCGAAGTATTTTAAAAAAGATGCCATCACTGGTTTTCAAACTGAAATTAGGGAATACAGTGAAGTGGGTTAAAGTTATGAAATACATCAGTAAGTGTTGCATTTTACTGATAACTATATTGTACCAAATTTTATAATTCCAGAATGGTGTGTTATTTAATAGTGTGAACGTTATTTTTGTGTTCATTTAAGTATGTGTTAATTTTTAAGTTAAGGAAATTGATTAATAAAGCAACATTTTTTATTAAAATTCTTTTCATTTAAGTTCCCAATTTCCAACAAATACTTTTGTTACTGAATCTACAGAAAGGTTTGTAAACTATTTATTCAATTAGATAGTGAATCTGGATTAACATAAACACAACTATTTTAGATATAACTGTATAAAAGTGTAAACTTGAGCTAGAAGAATGTCTATCCAAGCTAACCCAATTGCAAAAATATAGTTTAGAACAAAAATGAATTAAACTGAAATTTTCTGAAGCTTGTAAAAAAGGAGAATCAGTTAATTAAACTGTGCGTAGTAGTGCCTGAAGAATCTTTAAAACTCAATGAAGATTCATTCAACCCCGTGGCTAACGGATTGCTTTTTGCTCGACGATATGTTTAAACGCTTAATTGGTGGATATCGCATTAATTTGTAGGCGAGCGTGGCCAAACATGGATTGAGCAACAACATCTGACCTAAATATTGTCGTTTAATGCTTGACATTGAAGAATAATTAAATCACAATGACCAGTTTTATGCGACGTCAGGTCAATATACCATTTATAGAGTGCATTTAATTTATCGAAACGGATTTGCATGTGTGTGTTTTATCGATTAAATGATTCCAAAGGTTAATAAAAAAACGTTCTGCGCTCTATGCCGAGTGAAAACGTGTCTCCGAGTGATGTAAAAATCTTGCTGGAATGATTGGTTTTAGTTATGTTGCGGAGATATATGGTAAGGAAATATGAATTACGGTGTTTGCTATACCGCAGAGAAAACTTGCGGTGTGGTAATAATAATAATTCAAGAAAAGATCCTTGTGGGTATTTGTTTGGTTATTTTACGTGTAGTAAACCGTTGACGATTTAAATGAAATGTCAATGTTAATTGATGTGAAATAAGAACCAAATTTTTGACTACACGGAGAAAAATGTATAGTAAATTTTAGATAGTAAAAAAATATAGTAAAATTTACTTTAACAAATTTTTAGGGTAACAATATTATATATTCGTCAATACAATATTAAGTTTGTAAAACAAAATACTATTTTTTATTATACAATTTTAGTAAAGATTACAACACGAATATTACTAAATCATAAATGTATAATATATATTTTAATTTTTAATATGTTCGTATAGTAAATTGATTTTACTATCTACAAATAGTAATATTTACTATATGATATAATCAAATGTAGGGTGTACATCTATTATTATAATATATTACACATTAATAAAAAATATAGTAAAAATAAAGATACTTTTATGTTTAAGGTAAATAAACAATATATTTAAATATAATATACAATATAGTAACTACAATTTTCTTAGTTTCTTCAATAAACTTTCTTGACCCATTACTGGTAATACTTATAAGAAAGAATTGAAACTACTTGGTTGCATAGTATGTACCGATTGAGGCAAAGGCCACGTCGCGACGCGTCGTTAGACGGTGTGGATCACGTGATGTTCTTACATCTCGCCTCTGTTGGCTTACTTACCATGTTATATAAGCTCAGGTATTTCTTTGTTTTGGGTGTGTTCCACTACTACAAGTTGCTCGACAGTGTCGTGTCCACACTGCTGATAGCCAATATAGGTCAAAACACCTGTCTATCGGTATTTGAAGTTAATGGAACGCACTCAAAACAAAAAACTTTGGCGAGGTGTAGGTTCAATTCTTTCTCATAAAATTTTTGTATATTAAAAAGTACAATAAATATGTTACAATTTTTAATTGTTAACATATAAAAATATTCGATTTTAAAATATTTTATATTTAAAATGACAACATAATATTTTAAAATTTACTATACTTATTAGTAATGGAAAAAATCTAATTATAATAAGAATTAAAAACAAAATTGGTTGAGAATAATAATATTTTACCTTAAGGTTTAACATACATGGATATTTAAAAATTACCAAATATGCATAGTATCTGGCAATATACAAGATAGTTGTCCCAAATAGTAATATAAATTATAGTAAATAATTATGGTAATCAGCATTATACTTTTCTCTTCGTGTAAAAATTTTTGGCAGTGATAAATATATTTTTAAATTGCCAATTGATAAGCACTTAAATTGTTTTGCGGAAACAATCATACAACTTTAATCATTCACCATGTTCATCTCCTACGCAAAAATAACTCCTCCATTATTCACCTATTACTCATTGTATATTTGATGTACAAAACTATTAGAAAAAATAAACATACAGTACAGTTATTAATCAAACAAATGTTATAAAATAAACATCCTAAGTTTGATATTTTTCTTATGTCCATCTCATACAAGCAGCATTATTTTTTATTAGGGTTATTATTATAGTAACTAAGAGGCAGAAGTTCTTGTCGCTTCTCTTTAATTATCTTATAAAAGCACTTATCACTTTATTATTGTTGCGCTGCAGAAAATTCTTGACCTATGTTTACGATCTTGTAGTTGCGATGTTCGCACCATTATCTTTTTAATTGTTTTTATATCTAATTTAACTCAATAATGTACAGATTATTGAACTAATAATAAACCACAGATAATAATATAACCACTAATGAATAAATGAGAAAAAACTTTTCACATACATGTGGGCATCCAATTTTGGACATAACTGCCATTAGAAAGTTTAAATTTACCTAATTATAAAACTAAATTCACGATACAAATAATAACAAGTTTTTGTTTGCTAAGGCATATATTAAGAAATACACATTCGTTCATTCATGAATTCAAATTTGATGCCCACACTACGGTGAAAATGATTTCACCGTAAAGTATTCGTAAGGTGTTTGTGTTGATATGATTTATTTACTTACATTAAAGTTGTATTGTAAAGAGTTTTTTATTGCATGGGTGTATAAATTATATGATAAAGATTTTTTTTATTTAAAATTCTTTTGATTCCAAATAACTACAAAATAGTATAATAAAGAACTAATGTCATAAGACGTCATTTTGTCGCACGCGGACAATTTATAATGGACGAGTACGACAAAAGGTCTTATGACATGAGTTCTTTATGCTATTTTATCTATTTTGCAAAAAAAATTAATTTTATACCTTAAATTTAATTATTGTCAAAATCGATTCGCCATGCCATCCTTAATTTACTTATTTACAATAAGCGGCTGTTAATGTTAAAGAAGAAAAAAAGGTTTTTCTTTATTGCCAGAAAAGTCTCGTAAGTAGGTACTACAAAAATGCTAAAAATATTACAACCAATATGCAAAATATTATGTTATTTAAAGTATAGCCAACCTATAAAATCAAAATTTTGGGTGGGATAAAGTATCTCATTACAACACCGAAAGCGGTGTTATAATAAAGTCATTATGAACGCAACATAGATAATATTATATTATGTATCAAGTTTGATAAACGCCATTTTATACACGAATTTAATTTAGGCACAAGCGAGCTTGCGAGCGAGTGCTTAAATTAATGAGTGTTTAGAAAAGTTTATAAACGAGGTGCTTACTATACTTTTTCTACGACAAATACTTATTATTATCTTAAAATAATTTAAATCAAAAATTTGCATAGAGCGCCATCTATAAAATAATAGGGGAATCTGAGTGTCACCGTCAAATGTCACATTTATAAAGGTTATAAATCTAAAAGTATTTCTTGAAAATTGACAGTGTTTCACAGTGAAAGTAAAGAAAATGTTTTATGAGGACTTTACAGTGGAGTCCGTGCCCGAATTTAAGTCATAGTTTACTGCCGGCGAAATTAAAAGGTCAGTACAATGTTCATATAAACTTTTTAAATATTGGCGTTTGAGAAACTATTTAATACTTTTGTATTTTTGTATTGAGATAATAAAATAATTTTCACATTTAGTATTATTTTACAAGAAACGCACTTTATTTTAACGATTGTATGACATTTGACAACTGTCAACTAACTTAAAACTAACTTCAGCCCGTGACTAAAAACCTTTTGATAACTTCAGCCCTTGACTAAAGCGCCATAAAGCCACAACTTGTCAATGTGTATTTAAAAGGTCACTTAGTGTCATGGAAACATGTACGATAAAGGGCGTTTTAGAGGTGGGAGTAGAAAAAATCATTTTTTAGATAATATTATTTGTTGTAAAAAAGGCTAACTAAGACTAAAATGGCGTTTATCAAACTTGATATATAATATACTATTATATAATGTAAACCGTTTGAAACCATAGAAATTACAACAAACATTGTTATAATTGAATTGTACCTATAACGCTTAAAAAACTTACATTGTTAATGGCTGCACTGAATCCAGCTTGACACGATCCTTGCCTGTGATATCCCCAATGAACTGAAATAAAAACCATCTTTATTAAAATAATTCAAATACTCAAGCAGTAATAAATCTTATTTTCTTCATCGTTAATAATGTTCACACAGGTGAAACCGATGATAGTCGGTTGTGCGCTATGCCATAGAATCCGCATGCGGGGAAAAAACATAACAAGTTCTTATAAAATAATTACTTACTAGTTCTGCAAGGCGAGTATTCCTCGAAAGTTCTGAAGTCGCCGTTCGAGACGTAGCAAGTTCCGACTGGATCTTTTCTATTCAGGTCTTTAGTAAACCACATGTATCTCGGTGCACAAGCCTACAAAAGAAGAAATAAGTTGTTAAACTATTGCAGTGTTAAAGAACAATTTTACGAAGAATGCTGTGTTACATTGTATTTTAATTTTAAAATTGTTATGGACTGGCCCAATCATTTAAGTAAAAGGTTTTATAAATCATCAAACTTTTTGTTCTGATAATAATTTGATGTGACGTAGCAATGTGGTTAATATATGAAACTGTCCGAAGATACATTCCTATGAAATTAAAGAAGGACCATCAGTAAAAAGTATAACATTCCATTGTCTTAAAATGGTCCTATATTAAAAAAAAACTATACAGGCAGAGCTGGAAGTATCTTGAAAAAAAAGGTACTTAAAAGTAACTTAGATACTTAAAGTATCTAAGATACTATCTTGTAACTAAAGATACTCTTAACTCAAAGTTATTTTGTTTAAAGTATCTTAGAAAAGTAACTAAAGTCCTTTTTTTATCTGGACTGCGGCAACGTTGCAAATTTAGGGTTTTGGTTGGTAAATACAGTTGTCAAGTTGGTCGCATTGATTAAAAAATAAATCTAATTGTGGTTATGTATAAATTATTGTAGGTTACATTGTGCAGTTGTCAAGTTGAGTTATCGAAATTCGTAGTTAAAATGCAATTAATTTGGCTTTGGTGGTGCTTGGATGAGTAAAATCATATAAAAAAAGTAGTTAAATATAGGTTGCTTTGCGGCCCAGAAGATAAAGTATTCCTAGAGGATAATAACCTTCGCTTTGAAAAGAATTTATATAAAAAAAATTAAAATTTTTTCTGAACGTAAATGTTGTCCAATGGAGAATAATATGAAAATAATGTGTGATGTAATATTTATAAAACCAAATTCGTTACTTTTTTACTCCAAAAATGTCCATAAGGCGATGTACTTTTTCTTCCATTGTGGCATTTGGCATAATTTCATCAAAAAGAAGTTTTGCCCTCAAAAGGGCTTTTACATTCGAATTCGTTGCTATTATTTTTGACATAATTATCTTTTTATTTATAATTGACAAGTAAATTATCAATAATAAATATTATTGTCAATTTGACAGTGTCAAAGTACTTAATTATATTATTTAGCAGAAGTACCATTTTTAAATACTAAAAAAAGATAAAAAAAAATGAACTGTAGATACTTTTCAGAAGTAACTTTCCCAGCTCTGTATACAGGTCCAAAAACTAAACCGAAACACAAATAAATTTGTATTTGTATATTTGTTTTTGTATTTGTATACAAATGACATTTGTTGGTTTATTTTTGGACACCCCGTATAAAGAACACTGTTAGTACTAGAGATCATCTCAACATGTCCAACATATGTATAGTATGCAAGGTATCAAAAATTCCTGTGTTGGGCATAAATTTCAGTAAATCTTCTCGTATATATATGAAATAGCAATCGGTAAAATAAATGCATCTGAAAAGAGTTTCTTGTATTCTATTGACAAGTTGAGGAATGATCGGTTTTTGAACCAGACACACCGCATTGCAGACCTGTCGAGATGCCCGTATTAGCGGCGGATGACCGCGCAAGTTTTTTTTATCACAATACGGCACTATCAAGTTCGTATCTCTCAGTACGTACGTCTCTCACATCTCAGCCCCCGTACATACGTACTCATTGTGTGTTACTTACTGGAGTCAGTGTTGCCAACTGCATGCATCTGCAGGTTGAAAGGTAATGATGATACCTTAGATTTGGAAGGTACTTACTTAAATTTGTAATTTTAGTATTTTGGTATGATTACAAAAATAGATTCTCATAAATCCATGAAAACTGTGAAAAGGTGATTTATAAGATTTATTTTTGGAATTTTAAAATAAATAAATAAAATGAAGTGTAAAAGTTATATTTAAAACAGAATATACTATACCTTAACAGAATTCCTCCAGAAATCAATTTTTAAATCGAAATATTTTGAAGAGGTGATATTGAAATATTTGAAATTTTTAAAATAGATTCTACTATTCTACTATTTGAATTAGGTACTAATAAAATAGACGTTTTCACTTTTCAATACTTATTTTTTACAACTAAAATCTTTGACTGTTTCTGAGAGTAAAAAGTACCAACGATGCAAAAAGTCTCAAAACAACAACACAAAAAAGATATTTAACTATTAACAGTATTTATAGAGAGATATACATAGGTAACTAATTTTTATATTTTGGTTGTTTCACTTTTAGTCTAGAATGGGGTTTTTGGAAAGCCACCAGGTCTAGTATACTATTATAATAATTATAATAACATGCACTAATGCAATAATTTTAAGAAATCATACATTTTGAATATTAGAGCTTTACGGAGGTTAGGATTTCGTATATATTATTAAACATCCCTGTATATTTGAAATAAGTTATTGTGTCTTTTGACACCTTAATATTTTTAAAAATAAATTGTACATACATTAAATATTTATAAAAAGATATTACACTTCACGGTGGATATGTTTTTAAATAGCAAATTAATGAACTTAAACTTTTGAATTATAAAACAGCAACACATATAAATTCTAACTGACATGCACCTATAATGTCGTAAACAGAGGTTTTTGCTTATTTAAAATGATTAAAGCGCCATCCGTTGCATAAAATTTAAAGCAAAAACAGATTCACGGAGGATAGAATCAATTTTTGTAACACCTACATAAATGGTTATAAAAATTATTTGTTTTAATTTTTAATATTAATATTTTATATTTGATTCGATTGCTTTGGATGTGTTTAATTTACTTAGTGAACTGATATTTTTAGTATGCTTTACTACCTCAGATATTTGAAAATATATAGGTTAACCTAGAAAGAGTAACAGTCACGGATGATAGGTTTTAGACTTTTATAACATTGTAATGTCAAATAGAAAATATTTATATTTTGAATTTTTTGTTTAATTGTAGCAGTAGTAGTATTATATCCTTCATAGAAAATATTTAGACCAAAGGAATGGAATTTTAAATACCAATTTTTTTTTAAATTTTTGTGTTGTTTTTTTAATTACTAAATTCTTCGAAAATAATTTGATATTTTTTTAAATACCATCATGCCTAAAGTACCCAAAAATTCAATCTCCAATCTTAAAGTTATTAAATTGTATCATATGGGGCCGAAAATTGGTGCCTATTCATTAATATCAATATTAACAAAAAAGCAAAAGTCCGGAGTATTCAATTAGTCAAATATTATTAAAATTAGTAGAAGGAGAAGCAAAATTACGATATGATGTGATGTACCGAAATATTCTCCACTTTTGGTTTAAAATGTCTTCATAACCTGATGTGCGTGACCAAGAAAAAATAAAACACAAACTACTAGCATTGTACAAATGATTGCAGCCTTATTGGCAACGCTGTCTTGTTTTAAAATGGCATATTTTTTGCGAGGCTCGCTGGTTTTCAGGTTTCCCGCAGCTACGTATACATTAAATAAGTCCAAAGCGCAAAAAGAAATTGTATCATTTTATTGAGACAAATTTAGGTAGCATAGATATGTATGAGAGCCATTGTCTCTCCGAAAAAGGCAAAAAGGATTCTCGATTTTACACCGTGCGGCAAAAACGAGCGCGCGTTTAATTGTTTTTTTGGATTCGTTTCCGATTTAAATTGGAGATGTATGATGGACGACGATTTATAGTCATTTAAGTGAGGTAAGTAGTGAACATATGGTTATTTTATAACTATCAATTAGCGTGTAGTTTATCCGACAACCTTTCGTTTACGCATATATTACGTATTATACTTTAATAAATACAGTTTTAAGTACGATTTCTCAAGATTTATACCATTTCCAAGGAGTTTTAATAAAGAGAATTAAGACTGGAACTACCTGACAGTTTTTGTACTAATGAACTGATAATTGAATTAATTTAATCATTTGAATTAATGCAGCAATAACAGTTCTTAAGTCATATGATTCTAGTAGCTTCTTATCTTTAATTGATTGCAGCTTCATTATCTTTATCCTTTCACTTTAAAAAAAACTGGGCACATATACACAGTAAAAAATTTTGCCCGTGCAAATTTTTTAGTGTGGGGGTAAAAATATTAGAGTTGATTTGTAAGTGTAAAAGTTACACTACAAAATAGCATTTAGTGCTTATTAACTTTATTAAACACATTTAAAGAATATGAACATTATTTATTGGTACATTCACTCTATTTATTATTAAATTAAATCAAAAGGGTAGAAAAACTTAATGCGAGTGTTTATTACCCCTTAATGTGTTAAATAGTGACAAAATGTACACTACAGTGTATGCCAATTTCTTTGTCTGTTTTGATGTTACTAAGAGCTCTTTTTTCTGTACACTACTAGTGCACATTGTATCACAATTAAAGTTAAATTACACCAATAGTGGCAAAATAGACTGAAAAAACTGGTAATAACCGAAATTCGTTTTAAAATGTTTGGTTGGTACCTATCTACCTACGCAGTGCATATCCGGAGATACCGCGTTGTGGAAGTGTGGCATTTTTGTTCAGTTGGATTTTAATTACGGTGAATCCATTAGGGGACATTCTTATTTTTTGGTAATTATTATACTATTTATACCTTTTTCTTTAAGCCTTAATACTAAATACCAATATGTTAAAAGGATGTCCATACCCGACCTGTATATTATATATCAATAATTTACGGCAGTAGGTCGGGTACTTGTAACATTAATAATATAAATACATACACACTTGATTTACTTTTTATTTTCAAGCGTAATGGTTGTTATATATATATTAACCTATACCTACATTTTTATTAATATTATCGAAAATTTGTACACGTGTGGTAAATCCCCGACATACAGCCGCCTGACGCCTCTCTACCAATGGGATCACCCATTTTTTATAACAAAAAAATGGATTACTGATGAATTCTCAAGATAATTCATTGCTTACAAGTTGACAGCCAGTAAAACTTTGCATTGATCTAAAACTTTTACGTTTTAAGGAACCATTTTGCTTAAGCCAGCCATACGACTCAAATATAAAATTATATTTTAAAAGGCACCGATTTTGATAATTGTCATAGATTTTTGTTCCAAATAAATGTTTCTCTTTATTTACCTTTTCGTTTTATTCACTACCACCAATATGTTTTACTTAAATAATAGTGTTAATTTACACTAGAAGTTTGCACTAAAAGAGTGCCTTTCTAAAATTAGAACCTTTCCAAAGTAGTGCTAATTTACACTGAACAAAAGTGGCATTTTACCCAGGAAGTGTACACTGAGAAAAAAGTTTATTGCTCCCAAATAAAAAAAATATTTAAATATGGGACAAGGGTACAGTTTATTTATCCTAAATATATTTTTATTCCCGACACATAAAGTTTTACCAAAGTATATTTATCGTTATTATTTTGACTATTTAGAGGTAATAAACAATATAGTCACTACAAATAAAAGTATTAGGTACACAGTTTATTTGTCCCATTTTTTTCTCAGTGTAGAAGTACACGATTTTAGGCAAATTAACACTTTTTAATACAGTGTAAAATTACTTTATCCTCAGTGCTATAGTGTTAAATCATACTGGCTTACTTGGAGAAAATTACACTACAAATTAACTCTAATTGTAGTATTATAAAACAACACTATTTAGTGTGGACCTCTGTGAACTGTAATCAATGTTGCTTAGAGTTGATTTTTTTTACTGTGTAATTTCAGAAACTATAAATTAAATTTACACCTAATAATAACTATAGTTGTTGATTTTTTTTACAGATTTATGTGTGTAAAATAAATTCATTAAGCTCCCTAAAATAATAAACCTTGAGTTAATTAGAAGGAACATTTTTTCTTATGCAGTGTGCACCCTAGTCTTGAAGATATTTATTTTCATTTTTGTCGCATGCTGGATCTAAAAATAGAATGTTTATACTAATCTAAGATGTAAACCGAGTCTCAACAGTTAAATTTATTAATATCTTTCAAGTCACAGCCTTTTCACCCGTAATAATTTCATGAATCACATCGTGAAACGTACGTTTCGAAAATAATGTTCTAAAAATACTTTTTGCTTAACAATTGTTATACAAACATTGGATTTGTTCGTGTCGAAGTTTTTACTCAACCTTTTGCTTACTTTACTTTAACAGAGTTTTAAGACACAAATGTACTATGCTCCACACCTCAAAGTCCCACCACGTGACCAGGTACGGAACGCAGTCTTTTGAAAATTTGGCATTTAGGGCTTTTCAGGTTATGTATCTGTCAAAGTATAGTCAATGAAAGAAATAATATTTATAGTGTTACCGCTTATGTTTAAGTGTTAAAAGTTAATAAATCTTTATAGTATCACAATAACAATGGTTGGTTTAAGAATTTAGGAATATAAATACTGCACTTAATGAAATTCCAAAGTGTAAGGTGCAATATAAGTGATATTTTTTTGCATTGGGTCTACATTTCTCCATAAAATAGTTTTAACTAAACAGCATTTATAAAAAAAAATCTAACTTCTCTATTATGAAATAAGAATATCTTTATCAAAGGTAGGTTAATGTAGTAGAACAAAAAATATCATCTAATTTTGTATTTTAAGGTTAGAAACATCTATTTTGACCAAAATAAATAAGTGGATTATTTGAAAGAGTGTATTAATATGGTCATAAATAAATATAGGTATACTAAATAATTGTTGAATATAGTTCAAATTAAATTAAAGCTTTTATACTTCTGACGACAAAACTTGTGCATACCTCTCGGCATACTTACTTTAAGTTAGATTATAAGAAAACAAACAATTTTTAGAGAAACTTGCTATGTGAAAATATTTAATACTCCCATGACATGTGATTTATTAATTAATTTTTAAAGTTATAATGATTTTTTGATGTAGATCAAATTCAGTCGAAGCTTTTTAACTATTTGTATTGACAAAACTTTATGTAGGTACACTTTAAGCTGGATAAAAAAAACTACCACATTTTTAATTACCATATTATACAGTCTTTTAAATAATCCAAAATACTTATTTATTTTGGTCAAAATAAATTTTTCTAACCTTAAAATTACAAAATTAGATGATATTTTTGATATAATATATTAACCTACCTTTAATACAGATATTCTTATTCCATAATAGAGAAGCTAGATTTTTTTGCTGTTTAGTTAAAATTATTTTATGGATATTTGGACCAAATGCACAAAAATATTACTTTGGCACCATACATTTTGGAATTTCATTAAATGCACTATTTATATTCTTAAATTCTTAAACCATCCATTGTAATTCTAATGTTATAAAGATTTATACATTTTTAACGCCTAAACATAATATTATTTCTTTCGTTGACTATACTTTGACAGATACATAGCCTGAAAAGCCTTAAATGCCAAATTTTCAAAAGACTGCGTTCCGTACGTGGTCCCGTGGTGGGACTTTGAGCATAGTACAACCTTTATACATTTAGGAATTAACCTCATTTTAAATTGAGAAAAAACGTCTTAAAATACTTACTACAATGGGTCCGTCAGTCCTCCCTGAGGCACTCAGTGTCGCGCCAAACCATTGTCCAGTTTTGTTGTCAATTTGTTGTTGGCCCATCAATCGGTTTCCTGAAAGCCAAATTGTAATTATCGCATAAATATTTCTCGAAATCGATTTGATTTATTCGGTTCATTGATAATTAGTTGTGACGCTCCATGAATTATAATGTAGGTTGGTTGTATATGTATTATTGTCTTTTTAATGATAACTTTAATAGGTAATTTAGGCAATTACATGTTGGTTATAAAGGTAGTGAAAAGGGTGGACCACCTAAGATTAATAAGAGAGTGATTGAGTGTAATAAATCCATTTTGTATTTAGGTAATTGCAGTTCTCATATAGTATACTATATCTTGTTTTTTAATGCCCTTTTGTTTAGTGTTGTTACTTTAAATAGTTTTTAAAGCAATTTAGATTTTTTGACACAAACTGTCAACCTCAGCTGTCTTACTTGGAGTGTTTCCATAACAACCGTTTATAGATGTGTAATATTTTAGCGATGCCAATTTTTTTTCTAAAATTCTTATAAATTGTAAGAAGATAAAAAAATTGCGAATGCAATAGAAAAAATTATAATATTTTTAAAAATCCAAAAAACAAGAGTAAAATTTCCAAAAAATATCAAAATAACATTGAGATTTACCGAAAAATTAAAGTTAAAAATTTGAAGAAATTATTAAAAAATCCTTTAATTTAAGAAATCGTTAATAATATATTATGTATCAAGTTTTATAAACTTAATTTTAGTTACGAGTTTTATTAGGCACGAGCGAAGCTTGCGAGCGGGTGTTTAATAAAAACGAGTGTTTAAAGAAGTTTATAAAACGAGTTGCATACTATACTTTATGTAAGACGAACAGAAATAATAATTTAAAGCCAATTTTATTTCATAAAATTTGATATTTGACGAATTTAACCTCACTTTTTCGTAGTTTATAATAAAACTAACTTTTGCCCGTGACTAAAATGCCCAAAAGCCACTGTTGTTAAATTCAGCCCATGACTAAAATGCCATAAAGTCACAACTCATCAATGTAGGAGTAGATATTAGTATATTATGTATCAAGTTTGATAAACGCCATTTTCTACACGAATTTAATTTAAATTAATGAGTGTATAGAAAAGTTTACTTATAAACGAGGTGCATACTAAACTTTTTCTACGACAAATACTTATTATTATCTTAAAATGATTTAAATAAAAAAATTGTATAGAGCGCCATCTATGAAACAATAGGGGAATCTGTGTCAAATGTCAAATTTTTACATTTTATAAACACAATTATAAAGGTTATAAATAGAAATGTATTTCTTGAAAATTGACAGTTTTTCACAGTGAAAGTAAAGAAAATGTTTTATGAGCTGCTTTTTTTACTGCCGGCGAAATTAAAAGGTCACTACAATGTTATATAAACTGTTCAAATATTGGAATTGAGAAACTATTTAATACTTTTTTATTTTTGTATTGAGATAATAAAATAATTTTCACATTTAGTATTATTTTACAAGAAAGGCAATTTACATAATATGTTAACGATTGTATGACATTTGACAACTGTCAACTAACTTAAAACTAACTTCAGCCCGTGACTACATAAAGCTACTTGTCAATATGTATTTAAAAGGTCACTTAGTGTCATTGAAACATGTACGATAAAGGGCGTTTTAAAGGTGGGAGTAGAAAAAATAATTTACGGATCTCCCAAAAATTAAATAACTATAAAATATTGTCTTAACAATACATTCTTAAAAAAAGGATATCTAACAATTTCAGAAAGTGGTAAACCTGTCAAAACAAATTTAAATCTAAAAATATTAAATATAAAATTTAAATCTAAAAATTTTAAGTTAAAATATAAAAAATTTGAGGTATTAAATGCAACCTAAAATAAATAGTAAAAAATTAAAAGATATATAAAACTCCACCAAAAATAGGAAATAAAATTTTAATAATATGAAATAAAGAACGCAATTTTTTTTAAATTTGCTAATAAAAAAGTTGAAAAATTTTTAAAAATTTAAAATGAAAAATGTGTCAAATAGATCAATTTTAAAAATTACATCCAAATTCCAAAAAGTCGTAAATTATACGAATAGTAGGTACCTATATACTTTACAGTATATAGAGTCTATACCAGGGGTCACCAATTAGTTTTATTGGAAATTTTGGACGATAATTGTAAAAATCTGTATACATGTATACTACATACAGTGTGGCCCATTTGTTTGCGACTCACCCCTGTAAAATCTTTTTAAGCTGATTTGTTTTAAAGTGTAGATCTTGATAAACTGTATTTTTGGAGCAAAAAACGCCATATTTGTACAAAATACAAGGCCTACTATGTCAGTTTTTAAAAGTAAATTTTTTAGAATTCAGTTTAGCGATTTTTTAAACAAAATTTAAGCACGGCACTGGATTCACCACCCCTCAAAACGACCCTTTACCAAATTTTATTGAAAAATTTTAAATAGAAAAATGCATGGTACTATTACTATAAGTTTAATTTTATTTCAATGTTTTTTCATGGATAACTTGACAGAATACATTTTTGTAGTTATTATTGTGCATTTTTCTACTTAAAATTTTTCAATAAAATGTAGTATAGTGTCGTTTTGAGGGGTGGTGAATCCAGTGCCGTGCTTTTTGTTAAAAAAATCGCTAATATGAATTCTTAAAAATTTACTCTTAAAAACTGACATACTAGGCCATACAGTTTATCAAGATCCCCACTTTAAAACAAATCCGGTTAAAATCGCATAATAAATAAAGATTTTACAGGGGTGAGTCGCAAACAAATGGGTAAAAACAAAAAACACTTTTTCTAAATTCCTATTTATTTATTAAGAAATAGTAAAAAATGGCGAACGCGACTAAAAAATATAAAACAATATTTTTTTAAATTTAACAAAATTAATTTTGTATTCCTTACCAGTTTGATCAAAAGGAATTTCTTCACACATATTATCCGCGTCGGATCGACATTTAAAAACGGCCCCACCTCGTTCCACATCTCTCTGAAAAACTGACTGTTGTTCAGGGGCCCCCACCAAAACCCTGAAATAAAAAGAAACAAAATTTAACAACCTTTTTATAAGTTAAAATATGTAAGTAACTAAACATTATATCAATGAAAATGGCCAATTACACTTATTTTTTTGTAAGTGCTTAATTGTAACCAGAAATGCCACTTAGAACTATCTAGAATTCATAAATTAAAATCTAAAAAAATAGTTAATTAGTTAAGCCGTATTTTAAGTAGGCAGTAGTTATAACTTATAACATGATTAGTGATTAGAAGTGAAGTAATAAAATTTATTGCACTTTAAAGAGGCCACGTTTAATCTATTGTTGTGTGCTGGAAATAATTAACAAATCACTTTAATTACCTTTAAATGCGATAATAAAGCCAACTATTTCAATTGCATAGGAAAACTTGAATAGTTAATTTTGTTCGTTCGCTTACAATATGGCAACACTGTTCGAGAACAGCAACACTTAAATTCACTAAAAATGTAAATTAAAAAAAATGCTAATTATAACCTATTTAATTTTTCTTGTGCATTATAATTTAATTAATCTTTAGGCCGGTAATAAAACGGCCCAATAAAAAATTTATTGCGATTTTTAATGGCGTACCCCCAAACAAATTAATTAAATTTCTCTAAATATAGAACATATAAATAAGGATTGCACATCGCGCGTTGTTCTTAACTTAACAGTACTTTTCTTAATACATCAGTTATTATACCAATGTATGTACCTATATAAATTTAAATTGATGATTTTCCGGCATGTTGTGTAATTGCTTTTGTTTTCTCTCGCTAAATTCCAAGCTTTCTTCATTAGTTAAAAACGTGCCCAAAGACTTTTATAATTAAGTTTTTAAATTAAAAACATTTATTTAATTACCTGAGTCGTTTTCAAAAAACACCCGCCTTCCGCTGTCCGTATGTTTGAATTCCAATAACTTTGTTAAAAATTATCGGATCTTATTGATTTAAAAATCAAGTAAAAGCCTAACAAGCCCTTAGTAAACTCTTTCAGAAAATGTTTGTTTAGTTATTTCAGAATATTTTTTTTTTTAATTTTGAAACTTGTGAAACACATTTTCGCATGTCCTATTAGCGTTTTATAAAACATGTTTCTTTTAAATATTGAATAACCAGAACTTTTTTTTGCTTTATAGCAATCCATAACATGATGTTCGGACGTACACATTACCCAGCTGAATTTATTTATTCAATCAGGAAGAAGATATCGGTTAAAACAGGTGCGGGTAAAGCGAATGTAATAATTTGTCCGCTAAGTTACTCAAAAAAATAATAAAAATAAGGTAAGAAAAAATACTATTTTTCATGTTTATGTTTATTTTAGGGCCCTAAAGCTCATTGAGAGTAATAAATGACTGTAATGTTTTATTATTATTTTTTAAATATGGTTTCACAAAACTTTGTCCACTGCGTTACCGAGTCCATTACGTTACCTTATGGTAACGCAGTGGAATTTAGGGTAACGCAATAGAATTTTTCGACAACAAAGTGGATATTTACTGTCGCTTTTATTAAAAGTAGTTTATGATAAACCAATTTAAAATTATTTGTGATTACAACTCATGATATAGATTACATCCAAGGGAAAATTCCACGCAATATACAAGTACTAAAAGACACCAGCTTATAGTCAAAGAAAAAGGGTGTCTATAATTTAGAAATCTAAGTTGTTATTCTGCAAGTGAGCACCACTACAAGGGGTTTTGTTTATGCATTACTCTAAAATCGTACCACCCTATATAGTTTCTTTTTTACGTTATCTGATTAAGTCCTTTGTGTACCCCAGTCCGTTGTGATACCAATGTCTATTTCGTTACTTTTTTTAGTTTTTGTTAAAAAATATCCTTAAAATGATTTTACTATCACTTGGTAATACCTGTTTAAACTAATACAGTGACTAAAAGAAAATATTAATGGTATCGTTTTTTTAACAAAGGTAACACAGTGGAGACATATAAAGCTAGCTAAACACATTTTTCTGAAAAAAATGTAAAAAAAAATTAAAAAGTGCACTGCCTGTCTTAAATGTAAGTAAACAAAACTGTAAACATTTATAAAAATCCAACCAAAAGTCAATTTAAGCAACAAAAAAATTTAATCTTCATTTTCCTGAAAGCGTGACTACGTCAAAATCAAAATTTGAACAACAAAAAATCTCAGTAATTAAAATGTCAAAGTTTGCTCCCAACTAATTTCTTATCATTTGCCTTTAAACTTGTTTGTAATTTTTTGGTGGTTAAAATAATAGAACTTTACACCTGATCACATTGTTTGTTCCAATACAGTTTAATCTAAACCACTACGATAAGTAATCCATTAAACATAATGGTGTTTAAGTGCTACTTGTAAATACTTTCTTTTCTTGAGATAATGAACTCTCTAGGGCACCAAAAAACTATGTAGTAACTATGAGAACCTACAAATAATGTATTATATAACACCATATGACATGGTTATTAATAAACTAATTGAACATTTTTATGCCTATTTTGGTGCTATAGAAATATTAATGAACATCTGATTAGCTTGGCTGTTGATTAAAATGCACTTTATTATCAATATGAGTGATTAAAATTAACTCATCAACTCATATATGAATTGGTCAATCAAAAATATACCGTACGTTTTTAGTTGTATGTATATACAATGAGGTATTAATGATGATTTTTTTACTATTCCAAACACGTTTATTTGTTTAATAAAAACGACCTGAAACTTGTTAACACAATATTAAATCAAAAATAACACATTAATCAATATCAGTTCTGAAAAGTAAACATCTTATTTAAGAAGCTGCGTCTTCTCTTGTACGCTCTTGACTACGTTAAGTGTTTTGTTGCAACTGTATATCAAGAGGTTCTTTATTTTTTTTTTGGTGAGTTTGCAGATGCATGGTTTTTAATGGGCCTGAAGTTCACTCGATTCGGAGAGACCTTTTCGTAGACGCAATCATAAGGTTTCGCTGTTAAACTTGAATGTCAACCATGTTATATTTATACACGGAAAAAATTGTATATTAAAAAACGCATATTAAAGTTTATGTAAAAGAAAGTAATTTTCCATTTAATATGGAATTGACTATATCTCAAAAACTGCTCCACTTTCATAATTTTTGAAGGTATTTTCAGATTCACGGGACAATTTTTCATAAGAATTTGATGTTTTTACCGTGTAGCTTAAATTGACATTATAAAAAGATTTACGAGGTGTTTTCAGAAAATATCGGGAATTTTTGTTTTTTGAAACAAATATTTATTTATTCGTCTACATTAATGTTGTCGCCTTCAAAATAGTCCCCATTGGATATTATGCACATGTGTCAGCTCTTCTTCCAATCCTCGAAACACTTCTAAAACTCGATCTTTGGGATAGCCTTTAGTTCTTTCAGCGATGCGCTTTTAATGTCATCTATGCTTGCAAAACGACGGCCCTTTAAGGTTCTCTTTATTTTTGGGAATAGGAAAAAGTCAGACAGTGGCATGTCTGGCAAATATGGAGGCTGGGGCATCATTACAGTATTGTTTTTGACCAAAAATTTTGTTCAAAATTTAACAATTTTAGAACAAATTTTGCTGCCACGCGTTTCATACCCAAAACATTCGAAAAAATTTCATGGGATGAGCCAATCGATATACCAACATCATTAGCGACTTCTCTGATGGTTTATAACGATTTCTTCCACTTTTTGTTTTTATCGGTTGTTAATGTGCTTGTACGTTCGGGGCGTTCGTCATCTTCAACGTCTTCACGACCATCTTGGAAACTCTTATACCACTTGTAAACTCTTGTTTTACTTATAGCAGACTCACTATAGGCCTTTGTTAACATTTCACAGAATTTATTTCATTTTTTAAGCAAAATTGCATACAAATTCTTTGATTCATTTCTTTTAACGAACGAAAAATCGCCGAGCTCATAAAACACGTCTAACCTTAGCGGCTGCCACAGACAAAGTAAACAATGAAAACAGCTAAAGTTTTTATCATACTTCGGGGGCATGTATACCAACATAATAAAGAAAATTTTATGACAACCGGACCATCCGAACCCGCGAAATTTAACAATTCCCGTTATTTTCTTAACTCACTTCGTATATCTAAAAACATGGATCATTTTGTTCAATTTGGCGCATCCACCATTGCAAAAATAAAGGTGATTTTGAGATAAATAGGAACAATGATAAACCTGTTTCCATCGACCTTGTAAAACTGTTTAGCATAGCTATTTTATGCTCGAGACAAATTTCCGTATTTGCTGTAGCAATAAAGAAGTCATTTGAATAAATTTGCCGATTTAGACGAAACCTTTACATGGTCATTTATCTGGCGGCAAGCCTGTCTTTAGTGGTGACATTTTAATGCTTGCGAGCGGGCCTTTCAAAAATTAAATTTAAGATGGTTTTATACGATTTGATCGTAAAGATATAACGGAATTTTACAGGCAATAAAAGATAATTTCATAAGCTAATTTTTTTACTTCTTTTCTTTGGCAGTTTAATTAAGAGATAGGACGAAAAATTCGATTAAAAAGGTGTCACTTTTAACTTTATAGCTGCAATTACAGTACTTCAGATTATTGTACTTACAAGGCTTAAAAGCATCTTAAGTCACACTGATCAAGAAAGTTGTTAAATATATACCTTATAGCGATGAAATTTATTTTTTCTACTCCCACCTTTAAAAACCCCATTATCGTACATGTTTCCATGACACTAAGTGACCTTTTAAATACACATTGGCAAGTTGTGGCTTTATGGCGCTTTAGTCACGGGCTGAAGTTAGCAACAGGTTTTTAGTCACGGGCTGAAGTTAGTTTTAAATTAGTTAACAGTTGTCAAATGGCATAAAATCGTTAAAATAAAGTGCCTTTCTTGTAAAATAATACTAAATGTGAAAATTATTTTATTATCTCAATAGAAAAAAAGTACCACCTAAGGTACCTTTTTTATTAAATTTTCTTATTGGGACAAAAACCTACGATTTGTCAAAGTAATGAGATTATTTT